CCTGGGCCCGCCTCTTAGATAGCCAGGCCTCCACGCACGCACATACAGCAGGCCTCCCTGGCCCGCCAGCCAGGCGTGTGCGCATAGGACCGGCCGCGGGGTGCAGGGACGGCCTGCAGGCCTAAGGGGGCCTCCCGCCAACCCAGTTACGCGGCCAAACACGCAAAAAGTCGGTTTGTGAGGGCTGCAAAACAGATCGTCACCAGGGGTTCGCACGTGGTCCCCCACCGTACTACTGATCTGGCCCAATGGTGCTTACGTGCCCAGTGCTGATGGGATGGGCGGTTTTCACCATGGTATGAAAGATCCATACCAAAGGGCTCAACCTTGGGGTACATGTACCCCAAACGCCCGAGGGCCTTATGCCCGCAGCGTCTCCCAGCACGCGTTTCCGTGCGAACGGGCACGATTCACGTGTAGACGCCCGCCACAGTGCACGGCGCCGCGTTTGGGGCCGGCTCCAGCACCCGCCACGCCCTTCCGTGTTGAGCAGTAGCGCACTCGCTTTGGAATGGGGGCGGCCGCCTCGCAGCCGCCCATGCATGCATGCATGCGCAGACGACGTGTATGTGCGTGGGATGCGCAGGTAGATAGGGCCACCACCCATGCAGGCGCTGCTGATCCAGCAGCTCCTGGGCCCGCCTCTTAGATAGCCAGGCCTCCACGCACGCACATACAGCAGGCCTCCCTGGCCCGCCAGCCAGGCGTGTGCGCATAGGACCGGCCGCGGGGTGCAGGGACGGCCTGCAGGCCTAAGGGGGCCTCCCGCCAACCCAGTTACGCGGCCAAACACGCAAAAAGTCGGTTTGTGAGGGCTGCAAAACAGATCGTCACCAGGGGGTCGCACGTGGTCCCCCACCGTACTACTGATCTGGCCCAATGGTGCTTACGTGCCCAGTGCTGATGGGATGGGCGGTTTTCACCATGGTATGAACGATCCATGCCAAAGGGCTCAACCTTGGGGTACATGTACCCCAAACGCCCGAGGGCCTTATGCCCGCAGCGTCTCCCAGCACGCGTTTCCGTGCGAACGGGCACGATTCACGTGTAGACGCCCGCCACAGTGCACGGCGCCGCGTTTGGGGCCGGCTCCAGCACCCGCCACGCCCTTCCGTGTTGAGCAGTAGCGCACTCGCTTTGGAATGGGGGCGGCCGCCTCGCAGCCGCCCATGCATGCATGCATGCGCAGACGACGTGTATGTGCGTGGGATGCGCAGGTAGATAGGGCCACCACCCATGCAGGCGCTGCTGATCCAGCAGCTCCTGGGCCCGCCTCTTAGATAGCCAGGCCTCCACGCACGCACATACAGCAGGCCTCCCTGGCCCGCCAGCCAGGCGTGTGCGCATAGGACCGGCCGCGGGGTGCAGGGACGGCCTGCAGGCCTAAGGGGGCCTCCCGCCAACCCAGTTACGCGGCCAAACACGCAAAAAGTCGGTTTGTGAGGGCTGCAAAACAGATCGTCACCAGGGGTTCGCACGTGGTCCCCCACCGTACTACTGATCTGGCCCAATGGTGCTTACGTGCCCAGTGCTGATGGGATGGGCGGTTTTCACCATGGTATAAACGATCCATACCAAAGGGCTCAACCTTGGGGTACATGTACCCCAAACGCCCGAGGGCCTTATGCCCGCAGCGTCTCCCAGCACGCGTTTCCGTGCGAACGGGCACGATTCACGTGTAGACGCCCGCCACAGTGCACGGCGCCGCGTTTGGGGCCGGCTCCAGCACCCGCCACGCCCTTCCGTGTTGAGCAGTAGCGCACTCGCTTTGGAATGGGGGCGGCCGCCTCGCAGCCGCCCATGCATGCATGCATGCATGCGCAGACGACGTGTATGTGCGTGGGATGCGCAGGTAGATAGGGCCACCACCCATGCAGGCGCTGCTGATCCAGCAGCTCCTGGGCCCGCCTCTTAGATAGCCAGGCCTCCACGCACGCACATACAGCAGGCCTCCCTGGCCCGCCAGCCAGGCGTGTGCGCATAGGACCGGCCGCGGGGTGCAGGGACGGCCTGCAGGCCTAAGGGGGCCTCCCGCCAACCCAGTTACGCGGCCAAACACGCAAAAAGTCGGTTTGTGAGGGCTGCAAAACAGATCATCACCAGGGGTTCGCACGTGGTCCCCCACCGTACTACTGATCTGGCCCAATGGTGCTTACGTGCCCAGTGCTGATGGGTGGGCGGTTTTCACCATGGTATGAACGATCCATGCCAAAGGGCTCAACCTTGGGGTACATGTACCCCAAACGCCCGAGGGCCTTATGCCCGCAGCGTCTCCCAGCACGCGTTTCCGTGCGAACGGGCACGATTCACGTGTAGACGCCCGCCACAGTGCACGGCGCCGCGTTTGGGGCCGGCTCCAGCACCCGCCACGCCCTTCCGTGTTGAGCAGTAGCGCACTCGCTTTGGAATGGGGGCGGCCGCCTCGCAGCCGCCCATGCATGCATGCATGCGCAGACGACGTGTATGTGCGTGGGATGCGCAGGTAGATAGGGCCACCACCCATGCAGGCGCTGCTGATCCAGCAGCTCCTGGGCCCGCCTCTTAGATAGCCAGGCCTCCACGCACGCACATACAGCAGGCCTCCCTGGCCCGCCAGCCAGGCGTGTGCGCATAGGACCGGCCGCGGGGTGCAGGGACGGCCTGCAGGCCTAAGGGGGCCTCCCGCCAACCCAGTTACGCGGCCAAACACGCAAAAAGTCGGTTTGTGAGGGCTGCAAAACAGATCGTCACCAGGGGGTCGCACGTGGTCCCCCACCGTACTACTGATCTGGCCCAATGGTGCTTACGTGCCCAGTGCTGATGGGATGGGCGGTTTTCACCATGGTATAAACGATCCATGCCAAAGGGCTCAACCTTGGGGTACATGTACCCCAAACGCCCGAGGGCCTTATGCCCGCAGCGTCTCCCAGCACGCGTTTCCGTGCGAACGGGCACGATTCACGTGTAGATTCACGTGTGCCCGCCACAGTGCACGGCGCCGCGTTTGGGGCCGGCTCCAGCACCCGCCACGCCCTTCCGTGTTGAGCAGTAGCGCACTCGCTTTGGAATGGGGGCGGCCGCCTCGCAGCCGCCCATGCATGCATGCATGCGCAGACGACGTGTATGTGCGTGGGATGCGCAGGTAGATAGGGCCACCACCCATGCAGGCGCTGCTGATCCAGCAGCTCCTGGGCCCGCCTCTTAGATAGCCAGGCCTCCACGCACGCACATACAGCAGGCCTCCCTGGCCCGCCAGCCAGGCGTGTGCGCATAGGACCGGCCGCGGGGTGCAGGGACGGCCTGCAGGCCTAAGGGGGCCTCCCGCCAACCCAGTTACGCTGCCGACACCGATGGCCTCGAGGCAGGAGAAGAGGATGTCCCTGTCAACTGTGTTGTAGTCCTTGTAGGCCGGGACGTCAGCAACACCAGGGCGGCGCTCCGCCGTGCGGAGCAGCTCGGGCAGGAGTTGGAGCAGACGGATATTTGTCTGCAATGCGTCGGGAGTGGAGGAACGCCGTCTAGGAGGGGTCGATGACGTCCCCAAAGACCCGCAGGAGGCGCTTCGCCAGGACGCGGACAAGGGTGCGGTAGTCGGTGTCAAAGGAGGGCGATGGGCCGGTAGTTAGCAGGCAACGTTGGGTCACCAGCCTGGAAAAGAAAGGAGACGAAACCGTCAAAGGGGCCACGGGGAGTCGTGCCAGTGGTCCCGATGGTGGAGAAGACGCGGGCCAGGAGGGGTGCAAAGGTGCTAAAGAACTCCTTGTACAGCTCCACAGGCAGGCCATCGTCTCCCAGGGCATGCCGGAGGAGGAGGAGGAGAGAGCCGCCAGAACCTCGGCAGTGCTGACCTCAGCCTTGCCAAGGGCAGCAACCATCCCCTCGGGACAGCGACGACTGTGTGAGCGAAGGGCCCCCTAGATACGCTCGCGGGCAGCCAGAGTGGAGGGGGAGGGGGCGGCGGGTGTGCAGATGTCCCGCCAGAAGGCAACCATGACACAGGGCATCTCCAGGGGGTCAGCTGTGGCGGCCCCGGTAGGGCCTTGCAGGGCGGGAATCGGCCGGCAGGCAGTGGGAGGGCGGAGGAGGGCGGTGAGGGTGGGGCAGGGACGTTCTCCAGTGCGCAGCCAAGCGTGCCAAGCGTGCGGCGAATTGCTACGACAGAGTGTACGAGCCAGAGCTTAGTACACACCATTCGACTCTGCATGTCGTTAAGAACTAGGAGTCGTTCGGAACGCGGTTGGGACTTGCGTGCTTCTCGCCGTACGGTTTCCTGACGTGCCTTCCAGACTCTTTGCTAGGGCGCTATGCTCTGTTAATTTAAGCTGTTTTCTCCTACTCGGCTCCTCGCTAGTGTCCAGGGGCACATGTCCGGCCCAGAGGGCTAGCTAGGTAGGAACTATAGCTTCATCCAGTCGCCAACTGGAGCCAGTTCCTGGCGACGGTGCTACTGCTGCTGCCGCCACCTCTGGCGCTAGTGCCACGACCGCCGCCGTCCCTGGAGTTCAGCAGCTGCTACTGCTGCTCCTGCAAACCCTGTTGACAGGGGGCCTGGCGTCCGGGCAGCTTCAACTCGTAGATGGAGTGCTGCGAGTCAAGTCCGGCGGCGGTGATGGTGCCGAGCTGGATGGTGCATGTCACGTAGCTCCCACAGCGCAGCGATGGCGACAGCGGTGGTGACAGTGATGGCTGCTGATTGCAGCATCAGCGGCGTCAGCGGTAAGACATCCGCCAGCGGCAGCATCGCGGGCTTCATCAGTGCCACCATGAGTAGCGTCGGCAGCAGCACCAGCAACGGCAGCGGTGCATGCCTGGCTAGCGAAGACAACGCCGCTGCTGCTGCGCTGCTCCGTTTGGGCGACTTACCGCTAGTGTCAAACACAAAGACGAAAGCGATTCAAAAACACGTAGTGCCTACGTGGGATATAGCCTAGCAAAGAGTCTGGAAGGCATGGCGGGAAACCGTACGGCAAGAAGCACGCAAATCCCAAACGCGTGTCTAACGACTCCTAATCCACAATACCGTCATAGATGTTTGTATTCGTCCATACATGTTTGCATTTTGCCTGGTCGAGGTTAAGGTGTCGGTCGCACTGAAGCATGAATTCCCATAGGTAGATGTTTTTGCCTTAGGCGTAACACGTTCAGGATCATCCAGCTATTAACAATCTAAGGAAGTACGTTTTGGAAATACCCATATGGAAAATGTCAGGAAAGCGATACCGCGCGGATGCAATAGCCAGCCTTGCTGCTTTTCTATTTGCCTTTATGAACCTGGAGCTTGCATACAGTGGCCCTAGTCGGGTACGTGTAAAGTACTATGAACAAAAGGTGCCTGAGCGTCAATACACTTGCAAGCTTCCGGGTGCGACTGCAGAATCTATTGGGGTTCTCAGTTCCAAAGGTCAAACACATATTACCGAGCAAGCAGTACATAATTGCCAACAATACAGCACGAGGTGGGCGTAGACGGGCTACGCAATCTGTACTGCTATGCTCCAATGGCACCTAACCTTATGGCACCCCCCGCATTACAGCAAACGCCCAGTTCCGGGATACAGGATACTGGCAGGCTGGAAGCGGAACAGGTAAGTCACGACTTTGCTCGACCTACCTTTGCATCGATGTATCTGTTCGTGTTAAGAGCCGCTCATCCACGTTGTGCTTCGCCCTCCTCCTAGTGGGCCCTGATGGGGTAAGCCGCCGCCGCTGTGCGGTAGCCCGGGGCACCTGGTGTGGCCCCTACTCACGGCAAACGCCCATCTCCACACGCCCTGTGCCGCGGGGCTCCAAGGAGTGCCCCAACAAATGCTCCGGGTGGGGAAACTGCAACTATGACTCGGGGAAGTGCGAGTGCCCGGCGGGTAAGCATGGCGGAGGGAAGGAAAGGGCGCGCACCCATGATAAATGGGGTTCTAGTCTCTGCAGTAAAGCCCCATCTCTCAAAGGGTCTTGGAGCCTAAAGCAGTCGTTGTATACTGCTGTTGCTGGTGAGAGCCTGCTCTGACGGCTGCTGGCGGTCATCCTTGTGGTGATTCACATAGGATGAGCTTTCGCTACAATGGAGATGCATGTAGGGTTGAAGGATCTTAGCCGTCATGCCTCTCGGTGGCGCTGGCTGGGGTGCCGTTCTGGTACCCATACGTCGGGGCAGGAGGATGCCTAATGCCCGTACTGCCGATGCCCATGCCCATCCGCAGGTCGGGGCGGGCCGGACTGCGGCCAGGAGGTTAAGCGACCCTGCTCCAACCGCTATCGTCACCCCCACGAGCACGACGTAGACCATGCAGTGGTGCGTAGGATAACGGAGGAGCTAGGATGTACAGGCTTTGGGATGGGCATTAGAGCATTGGATTTCTTGCTGTGTGGAGGCATCCTCAGGGTCCTTGCGCCATGCCTCCATGGCGCTCGGGGTTTGGGCACTGTTGGGCTCACTGGAGGCCACGCGTAGGGGACAGCGGGTCAGGTGGGGGTGAAGAGGAAACAGGTAACTGACCGTGTGATAAGGCATCATCATGGTTTGCAACATATGAGCCAGCCCGACCCACCCAGCCAGGTAGGGGTGGGAGGGGTGGCGGACCCGTACAAGTGGTCGGGTGGGTTGCTCGGGCAGCGCGAGCTGCTGACGTTCGGATTCTTGAGCAGCACAAAGTACGCCCCATCTGCCCTCGCCCCCCTGTTCACCCCATGCAGGGTCATATTGGTCCCGACAAGCACGATCTAAACCCTTTTGCGCCTGGATGGCTGGCTAGCAGGTGCTATGGTGAGTCATGGAGTTGTGGCTGGCTAGCAGGTCGGCTTCGGTGGCCATAGGCTGCCGTGTTACTGCATTAGCGCTCAGTTGCGCGGCTCCCTCCCCTAAACATAACACGACCTTGCTGCTTTGTGCATCTTTCTGTGCTCGTGTTTAGCTGGCTGCATAGTAGTGGCAAGGACCGAACGCTTGAATGTCCTATCCTTCCCCTGCTTGCGATAATCATCTCGCATGCAGGTTACTGTGTAGACGATTTGGCGCTGTGTGTATGCGGCCATGAGAGCAAGTACCGCCACGTAAGTCTTGGGCCGTTTATATGACGCTTCATGCCTCATAACAGGAGGGGAGGACGATGCATGTCTTCAGGCTACCAGAGGGCTTGGGACCAGGAAGTGGAGCTTGTCGTTCGCCATGGCCGTGCATCTTCATGGCGCCTTCATGCAAGTCATGCTGCATCGTGCCTGCACAACGCCCCGCCTGTGTTGCAGATTCCGGCGCCGCCCGGTTCCCCGCCCTGGACCCCTCCGGTGCAGTGGGGCCGGCCCACAGTCGACGGATGCATGATTGGAACCGTGAGTCGTTACAGGACATTCGGGGGAAGGGCGTCTTCTGCGGGCATTTGATGGGCATGCGTTTTTGGGGTTTCCAAAAAACCAGGTGTGCTAGGTCAACTGGCGCGATGGAGACAAAGGAGCGCATGCCGTGACATTCCAGTGATCGTAATACGTTCCTGCACTGCGCGGGGGGGGGGCTCCGTTACTTTTCAGCTTTGTTTGGGTAGCTGAACCCCCCTTGTTAGCTCTGGGCCTTAGGGTAACCTGGTCCAATCAGCCGGTCTGGCCTGACGCCCTAAAACATGCTGCTGGGGCTGTGCTCTTCGCTATCCAACAGCACAAAGACGGTCGGCGGCTGGACTGGGGTCTGTCGTACCTCAAGTACGAGGACGTGTACGGACCGGACGGCTGGTGCAACAAGGAGGATCCGACACACCAGTGAGTGGCGGACGTGGCTGACAGCGCGCAGCGCTTTCCCGCTTAAGTAGACGTTTTGCATGCTGCCGCCCGCTTGAGCATTAACTTTTGCGCCGTGATGGGTTTCGTTTGTTCATACTGTGTCTGCATGCACTGATGGTCATCCCCTTCCGCCTTCGCCCATCTTCGTACTACACCTTTCACGACGCGCCCCTCCCTCCCCTCCCTCGTCTAACGATCTGCTGAACGTTATACGGCCACACAGCTGCGGGTGCGTCTGGGTGAGTTGCAACGCTGCGTCATGCGCAAAGGTGTCCACACGCGAGACGGTGTACAGAGCTGTGGCAAACCTTGTTACGAAAGCAACTCCTGTTGTAACCCACACAGCAGCTGTGCGCCCCCTCTAGTTAGTTATAATCCCAGTGCATCGCGCTTTCCGCGTCAGTTCTGTAGCCGTATACCTTGCCTTGGTAGCTCCGTGCGTCCACTCGCACGCTGTACACCCCTCCCGCTCAACCCAACCCAACTCAACCCAACCAACTGAACTCAACCCAAGGACGGCAACGCCTGGCCTTGCGACGGCTCCCGGCGGTATGAAGCTTTTTGCGTGAACCAGTGTACGGGACACGGCGACTGCCACATGGGGTATTGCAGGTACGTGCATCCATGTGCACCGCCTGGTCCTACGTTTACGACCATGTACCCGCACACCATTTCCTCACCATACATGCGCATGGAATGCCGCAATGTTGCGCTACCAGGGTCGATGTATATTTGTATATACCGTATATACCGTAGGACAAGTTGTACCAACAGCACTCCCCTCGCCTGCCGGTTGTGTTATACGACATGAAGTTGCTGAGGTTACATGTGCGCCCTGCTCCGCTTCTTCGCCCACTCTATTATGTTAGAAGCCACACAGCCGTAACGTCCCGGTGCAGGTGTCACCCAGGCTGGTATGGCCTTGACTGTAGTCGGAAGCAGGCCGGCGCCGAGCTGGAGGAAGGTGGGCTTGCTGTTCGTGCACCTTAGCTTTTCTAATTTCTCGCTGTAGTGATGACGGCAGTCCTGTCATGTAGGGAGCAGCGTTGCGTCTTACACCTTTACCAGGCATCCACCGTACATGCAACCACAGTGTGCCAGCCCATGCACGCGATCGGAGGCATTGCTTCATATGCCCTTCCCTTCCCAGCCGCTTACTGTACTCTTGTCCGCATGGCCGCCACCTCCCGCTCCACCCAGGGCGGCTAGGGGAGCCCTGGCTCCAAGAAGTGGTTGTGGTGCCGCCTGCGTCGCTGCCCACCCCGCCTACACCCACACGGCCCCGCCCACTCATCTATGTGAGGCCAATAGTTTCTTGGGTGGACGTGCTTTGCTCACTTGCCACCCTTAAGGCTTAGGCAAGTTATGTCTTATGTGTCAAATGCCTTCCACGTGTTTGATTGCATGCGTCTACCAACTCTGCCCTGATCTCTGCGCTTATGCCATCCGCCCCCGCTCTCCTCCAACTTATCTATAATCCCCCCCATTGTTCCCCAGGTGTACGACATGCCCACGGAGTACACCAGCAAAATGCTGCAGTACCGCCTTGGCGTGTAAGTGGAATGATGCACTAATCATGCTTGCCAAGGAAGAGAGTGAAAAGGCAGGGAGGGAGAGGACAAGGCAGGGAAGGGCAACGTAGAGCAAGAAGGAAAAGAGAGGGGAGGAAAAGGCGTGGGTGTATTACTTTAGAAGGAACGAAGGAAGGCCTTTCACGCCATAGCCGTGCGCTGGACTATGCCCGCCCGCTACCTTACCCATACCCCCGCCTCCTCTCAGGTTTCCCGCCGCGATTTTCTCCTTCCGCCGCTTCTCCGCCCTGTCCCCTCCCCCAGCGACTCCTGCTTGTGGCGGCGCTATACGGAGCAGAACACCAGCCTGCTGCTGTCCACCACATACGCGGTGGAGATCTATCTGCACGAGATGATGTTGCAGAGCGAACACAGGTGGGTGGGGCGGCGCAGCAACTGAGGAGGAAAAGGGTAGCATCTGCGGAGGGTGCTGCGGGGATGGCTGGATACCGTACCTCCATGCAACCGTGCATTTTACAACGCAACCGTGCACTTAGGCATTACATAATGTTTCATGTGAAGTATGAAGGCGAGATGCGTCGGCTGTTGACTAGAGAGCATGGATTCTGGCAGCCTCTGGGGCCTCTCTCGTGAGCGAGCGACTCGGACATGTGATTGATGTTGCCAAATTTTGGCAACATCAACATCAGCGCAACCAGGAGAATGCAATAAGAAACGCCAAACAGCACAAAAGGAGGTTTTTATGTGTGCCTACTTTGCTGTCTTGATGAGGTGATGACGCAAGTGCATTTTGCACGCATGTTGAAAAGGGGGGATGGAGGTATGGGGGAAGGGGCACCAGCAATCAGTGAAGGTCACGTGGGAGAAAAGCAGTCATTCGCCAGCCGCCTCACGTCATTCATCTGCTATTAATACCGGCACCATGTTCGGTTTGTTCCTGGTGTTGAGTGCTTGCCCTGGACAGCTCTCTACTCCCTCTTGAGTTGCGTACTGCTTGAGAAGTTGAGCCTGGTTTACAAACCTAACCGCATTGCCCCATGTAGGACATTCGACCCGGAGGAGGCGGACTACTTCTACGTGCCCATGTATATCACCTGCTTCATGTGGCCGGTGTTGGGCTGGGCGGACCATCCCTGGTGGCACGCGCCGTATGGTGAGAGAAAGCGAAGGCGGTTGGGGGTCGGGGACAATGTAAGGAGGGGCTGGGTTGAGTTGAGGGGGGTCAAAGACCATACCGAACCATAGGAAGCCACAGGTTGGGGCAAGACAATGGGGATAGGAGCGGCAGGGTGCCACACAAACAAGTATAGGGGGGGGGCAGGTGAGAGGAAGCGAGGGTGGTGGGGTGATGCAGGGGCACGAGTGTTGGGGAAGGCGCGGTGGGCTTGGAGGCATGGGCTATCGCTCACTGGGCTATCCTGGGAGACTTGCTTAGGATCACTGGCCTCCCTCAAGGTACTCATCGGGGCACATCGTCCTGAGCCGCCGTTTACGCCTCTGCCCCTGTCCTGGTTGCCGCAGCCCACACAGACCCCTCTCGTATCCACCTTAACTTGTCTCCTTCTTCTCCTTTTCTCTCTTTCCCTGCCTTCACAGCTCACAGCCGGCCCATGCACGTGGCCAACATGATTCTGGAGGCGCACCAGTGGCTTTCCACCTCTTTTCCCTGGTGGAACCGCAGGGGGGGCAGGGACCACATTTGGCTGGTAGGGGTTTTAGGGTTTTTAGGATGGGAGGGAGGATTGAAGTGGAGATGGAGGAGGGATGTGAGCGAGAGAGATGGGCGTCTGGGTTGACGAGAGTGCAACGAGAGGCATGGGGAGGTATGGTTGGAAACCGGCTTTCCCTGGCGACCACATCCGCTGCCCCTTTGGTTCGCCTTTGCCCACGCTCACTGAATGCCACTACATCCGTTGGGCCGATGCATCTGTCCATTGATGCCCCAGTTTGCGGATGGCACTGTTCCCCAGTGCCCTTATTTGCGCGATGCTCCCTCGCTCTGTTGGCCGCACCAGATGGCTCACGACGAGGGCGCCTGCTACATGCCCACCGTGGTCTACAACACCAGCATCATCCTAACGCACTGGGGCCGCATGGATCTGGAGCACACGTCGGGGTCCGCATACGACCAGGACAATTACCATGAACCCATGAAGGCTGATACGTTCCACGGCTGGAAGGGCTTTGACTGGGTCAACAAGACCACCGGCCACCCCTGCTACAACCCAGAAAAGGTACGACAGATCTACCTGTGGTGTCCGCACCTCCGCAGCCTTCCGTACCGTACGTCCAAGCTTGTCATTATGCCAAGGCAGTAGCCATGGCTCTAGGTCCTAGCCAAACGGAGTGGTGTGCTGTTCCTAAATTACTCGGCATACATTTCTCAATCTTCATCAGGCGCCTACACACACGTCTGCACGGCCATAGATAGCCGCTTTTGTGCGTATCGCTAACGTCCCATCCCACCTTTTGTACCCTACCCTCCACCTAACCTCCCCCGCCCAACCTCCTCTCCCATGACCTAGTCAGTTTGTTCGCTGCTGTTCCTGTCCTCTTCTTCCTCGTGGCTCCTCACCACCCTCTATCCGCAACCATGTTTCTTCCCCAGGACTCACTTTCCCTTACTCGTGGCTTGGTATCTCTTTTATCCCCAGGACCTGGTCATCCCGGCGTTCAAGCCGCCCGACCGCCTGCGCCATTCACCGCTGCTGAACGGCCTGCCGCTGGTGCGCGACATCATGCTGTATTTCCGAGGGGACATCGGGGCCGGCCGTCAGAACCACTACAGCCGTGGAATACGGCAAAAGCTCTTCAAGTAAGAGGGAGGGACAGGGGTAAGGGTGAAGCAGCGGCCTCTGTTGTGCGCGCCACCACTTACCGTGCTGCTGCTAGCACCAGTCCACTACGCCGGCGCGTTGTTCCTTCACGTATCATGACCATATTGTGTCGTGAACACCGATTTGAGGTTATGAGGCCTTTGTACACGGCGGCTTCTGGGCGTCTGGCGTTGTCAGGGTTTCCGCACGTCCACCCGCTGTAATGCTTTCCCGCACTGCTCGCTGTAACGCTTTGCTGCAGGCTGGCGCACGACGGGGACTGGGCCACGAAGCACAGGATTTACATCGGCACCGGCGAGACGCTGCCTGGAGACTACAGCGAGCACCTCTCGCGGTCTAAGTTCTGTTTGGTGGCGCCGGGTGCGTGCGTGCGTGCGTGGTAGTGGTGGGGGGCACGGGCGCGTGCAAGCATGCACAGATCCTCAAAATGCCCTGCCCTATAAACTACGCCGCCCCACACGTCACGCCATACGCCCCCGCCGGCACCCTCGTACCACGCGTCCCCACCTCTCCCTCCATCACATCACCCCCACAACGCTACCCTCCTCTTTACCCCCCAGGCGATGGCTGGTCCCCTCGCGCCGAGGACGCCATCCTGCACGGCTGCGTCCCCCTGGTCGTCATGGACGGTGTGCACGCGGTGTTTGAGAGCCTGCTGGACTGGGAGTCCTTTTCGCTGCGCATCCGGGAAAGCGCGCTGGAGGCAGTGCCCGAGCTGCTGGAGGGGGTGGCGCCGGAGCGGCTGGCTCGTCTGCAGCGTAACCTGGCGCGTGTATGGCACAGGTGGGTGGAGGAGGTAAAAAAATATAGAATGAGACACAGGTGGGTGGAGGAGGGGGTGTGAGAGCGCGTGGAGGGGTTTCGTCATGGTCTTGGGTTTTGAATATAGGATATAGGAATTTAACAATTTTGTCTGTTTCCGCGGTATAGCAAGTACCGGGGGCCCAAGTAGGGTAAGGGGAATAGTATGGCAGCTGTGGGTACGGCATGGATGAAGGGCAGGCACGGAGGTAAGGAGGGTGTCCCTTGCTTGTCTACGGTCAGCTACCGTAGTCATTTTGCGATCCTTGAACACGATCCTAAACGCTGATATGCCATACAGGTTTGCCTACGCAACGGGTCCAGTGCTGAGGCAGCGCTATAAGTTTATGTCTGACAGCAACGACAAGGACCTTCCTCGGGATGTAAGAGAAGGGCTGGCTAAGCTGCCTCCGCGTGAGACACCCTTCCAGCCAGTTCGGGAGTTTGCGTTTGAGGACGATGCGTTCAGCACCATCATGCAGTGGCTCTACCATCGAATCAACGAAACGAGGTGACGTGCGTTCCTATGGGGTTAGGTATGGGAATAGGTGTCCGGCGGTTAGCTTTTAGCTCCTGAGGACGGCCGCAAACGGTCGAGGCAAGTAGAGACGTCTGGCAACTCTGACTCACGCGTGCAGCTAGCGTGTTCGGTCGGTTCGTATATGGAGGCGGTTTTGGCGCGCAAGGAGGCTGCATGCGTGGTGCTACTGTAGCTGGCCTGCATTGGACGCACAGGTGTGAGTACTTTTGGATCCGGGTCTTGAACCTGCCAACGGTGAGCCGAACCTTTACCAGTATTGCACATCGGGCTGTGTCGGCCTTCGGATCCAGTGGCAGTGTAACCATAAGGCTAGCGGCACGCATGCAGCCTTGGTGGTGCCCTCGAGCTTATGGTGCACACCTTTTGCTATCTGATTGGCTCCCAAGACGCAAAGTTAATGCAACGGTATCGTGTGTAACAAGTAAGATATGGTAGGGCCACTACCTCCTGTACCTCCGCCTTTACGGGACGCACGCCCAGAACAGAACATAGCACCCAGTAGCGGGCTGTACGGCATGTATTATACTCATAGAGGTAACCGCTTACCACAGTGTACGGAGCCGCATTCGGGGCCGGCTCCAGCACCCACCACGCCCATTCGTGCTGAGCAGTAGCGCACTTGCACACATGCGCAGACTTCGTGCGTGGGATGCGCAGGTATATAGGGCAGCAGCACGACCATCCGTCCATTCGTCGGCGCGTGCGTAAGTAGATCGCCGCCTTCCATGAACAGGTGGCCAAACCTTAGCAAGCATTCCCGGAAACAAGGGTCGAAGGACAAGCAGGCCTGCCTTTGACAACGGCCTTGGCACTCTACTAAAGATTCGCGCTTACTAATGCGGCATGTCGCCTTTACGACTTACACTGTTTGTCGAATTACGCTCTTTGCTGCCAAGCATTGGTTCATATCTATATGTAATCGGAGCCAGCAAATGTAAAAATGGCCCAAGGCGCTGTGCTTCTGCCTTTATGCTTTCTTATCGCGGTGTTAATTGCCAAAGGAATCACCTCTGAGGCTGCACGCGGTCAGGACAACCTGCTTACTTATGACAGCTTACATCCAGAAACTGCAAAGGCTACTGGTCAGCTTCCCAAAAGCGATGCCCATGTTGAGATCGTCAATGCTGACGCATCTCAGTTTCCTCAGAAGCAGCGCCTTGGCGTCGATAAACTAGGTGACGTTAGCGATATCGGAACCGACGAGGATGGGCTAAGTGACGTGAGGTAAGTTGCCACTGGTCCGTTGAATTGCCTGTTCTCGTCCCAGGGTAACAGGGCCTGCACAACAATACAATTGCCGCTTAGTATCTTCTTTCGTCTCCTTTACCGCAACCTGTAAACTTCATGCGAAACGCCTTCACCGGCAGCTTCCTGCTGCTTGGCGCGTCCCCAGCCCCTGATGGGGAGGCGTTTTGCAGCCGGAAGCGCTATCGCAAGTGAGGCGGATGGGAGGGTGCAACTTGCTTGGTTTCCTAACTGCAGAAGGGAGACGACTGAAGGGGCCTTAGGAGTAGAGGGGGATGGAATACGATTACCCCTCAACACCCATCCCCCATAGTAATATACCCCATAGTGCTATACAGACCACTATCAGGCGGATAAGCTTTTATCCCTTACTTGAACAGGGATTATTGATACCAATGACTTGAGTGGGCATGACCTATGCCAAGCCCATGGGTTTGTGCGTCGACTTGAGTCGTTCTGACTGCGTGTCTACCCTCACTCCTACCGACCGCCGACGCCTCCCTCCCGCCCCTCAGACGCACGCTCAAGGTAGTCAAGGAGATGCCCTTCGCAGGCCTCTTCCCAGAGCTGCAGGTAAGTTGTGCGCGCGCGCGTGTGTGTGTGTAGCATACTCGTTGCGGTGGCCGGTGCGTTCCCCTCCCGCTTTCTATCCCAGTCATGGACCCCTTCTTCCTCCTCCTCCTATCCCCCTTGTGTCGTGCTCCGCCTCCTCGCCTATCTCCCGTATGGCATTCTCCCTCTTCTCCTGACCCTCTCCCCCACACAAACTCATCATCCAGTTCATCAGTTTTCCTATTTTTTTACCCCCAACACACACAGCGCATCCGCCGGTTCGAGGGCAGTGGGGTGACACATGCCAACGGCTCCTACTACGTGGTGTTCGACAGCCTCAGGTAGATAGGGTGAACGGGTGTGTGAAGTAAAAGAGAAAACAACTGACACAACCAGAACTAACCGCATAAAAATGCTTGGGTATGGGAGGGGTGTGGGTCAGGAAGAGAGGTGGGACCTCTCGGTTTGACAGCCAGCCGGAGTAAGCAGTACAGTTACACGGCACGGTTGGGTTGGTTACGCACATGGGTAAGTCGTGTTGTACCCGCCCTGCTGCAGGTCGCTGGGTCAGGTGGACCTGCGCTTTAGCTTCCGCGGGCCTGAGAACCGGCTGGTGGGGGCGGAGGGCGGCGAGCAGGAGAGCCAGTTCGAGGTGTGAGGGTGAAGAGGTGAAGGGGAGGGGGTGAAGGGATGGCGGAGAGCGTGTTTGAGGCAGGTGAGGGTATTCCTTTTGGCATAAGGGACTTGATTACCCGCAACAGTGTTGCTGCCTGTCTCAGCTGTCCCTTGTCTCCATAGGATATCTCCAGAGGATAGAAACTGTGCCAGCTACTCCTTCTTGTGCGTATTGTCTGTGTTTGTACGGCAGGGTATTTCCTACAACGAGCCCACGGGCACGTTTTTCGTCGTCCGGGAGTCCTTCCAACACGACGCGCATGGACTCGTTCCCGTGACGGAGGAGCTGCAACTGACGGGAGGTGGAAGCACGTACAAGGTGGGTGTTCGGGTGTCTGGTATGTCTGGCACGAATGTACGGACGGTTGCAGTTGGTTTCCCTTTCACCAAGCTCACCTGCTATGTCACGCAAGCGCCCTCAGGCGGTTATTACGGTTACAGTAGACCCATGACAACGGAGGAGGCGACAAATTCCTCAATATGAATGTTACTGATTGCCAACTGATACCAAGTCATTGACCTCTAAATGCCGTACGACACGCAGGTCCTGGAGCGCTGTCCCGTACGGTTTCCCCTTCAGGACGTCAACAAGGGTTTTGAGTCGTTGGTGGTTTACGAAAAGGACGGAGTACGACACTTGCTGGGCCTTTGCGAAAGTAAGTTATGGTCTCTTGGCTTACGTCGCTGTTCCAACCATCAAAAGGCTCTCCGCCCTTACCTCTTTCCCTCCCTTCCCCTCCGTTGTTGCCAAGATAGGCAACTTCTGTGCAACGATTCATGGACCCGATGCGCCTGGCCTGCAGGTAATAAGTGGTAGCTGGCAGATGGTGCAGTTGACCGTGTGTGCATGTTGCTACGACGGATGGAGCTGTGACGGATGAAGCTCTCCTTGGCTAGGGGTATCAACTTCATCTTGCGCAGCTATCGCTCCAAGATGTAGCTTGTTTCTCATCATGACATGCATGGATATTGACAAAAAAAACTCTTTACTAAGTTGTGTGCACACCAACCAACCCAATCCCATCCCCGAACTGCATGTTGTTTGACTTGCGCCAATGCAGAGGGGTAATGGGCGGTTGGTTTGGGCGAGGTACCGCGCTGTGGCGGGTCCGAATGACGAGTGCAGGTGGGGGTTGGGAGGAGGTAGGGGCCCATGCGTTGACCCATGGGTCAGTCTCCTGCCTCGTGTACGTCTTCGAACCCAGATGTGTTCCCGATGCATGATGGACACTTCCCAACGTTTATCGCCAAGCAGCCAAGGTGTTACGCTATCTGATTACATGCTATACCAACAACATGTGAAGAGAAGTGCACGAGCATGGTCTCCATCTTTCATTTTGTTGCCCTCCCTCGCGCAGTTGGGAAGTTGAAAAGGTCATCGACTTGCCGAGCGACGTCTACTTTGTCGACTATTCAGGTTAGAGTCTTGGCGTATGTATATACGGAATACATGTTACAGTCTGTACGCGTGTACATTGTGTCCGTACGAGCCAGGGGAATGGACTGCAAACGTCCAGGGAACCCTTCGACTCGCGACGTAATTTAATTAAGTACGTATTAAGTATATATGTGAAGAGCGGTGCTGTGCGATTTTAATAGTTCAGGGGCCCCTAACAAACACCCATCTCCTCAATTCCTCTCCGTCGTACGGCATCACGCAGCCATCGCCTTCCGTACGGCAGCTTCAGGCGGCGGAGATGCGCCGTACGGAGTAGGCGTTACGGATGTGGCGGTTGCCAGTCAGGAGGATGCGGCGGTGTGGGTGGGGACGTTTGACTGGGAGGTAAGAGCGATGGCCGGTGGAGAGAGAAAGCGCAAGAGAATAATCCATTGATTCCTTTTACGTCCAAAAAAGCATGGCAAAGGATAATCCAGGTAGGTGTGGGAGGCACCGAGCACGGACCGAAGCAAGCTACTCTGTCCCGCCTTCCTCACCGGTGCCCCGCTTGCCTGCACGGTGGTGTTGCCCCATGCTCCATGCCCCACCGGTCACCCCGGGGGGCACTTCCCTTGCCCTCGGGATGCTTCACGACTTTTTCTTTTGTGCTCCTTTCTTCGCCCCACACCTGCCCTCCGACCCCAGACCATGGAGTTTGTAACGCCGCAGCCGCAGCAGGCGGAGCCCGCCCCCGCGGGTCGCATCTACCACTTTCCTCGCACCGGCGACTGTAGCAAGGTGGGTGTGTGGAGGTGGGTGGGAGGAGGGCGGGGCCGTCTGGATGTACGGAAGGTAGCCTTGCATTCCCCCTTCCCTGAACACATGATATCACCATACTTCACCCATGGTACCTTAAAATCCCACCATACTCCAGCAATACTGCAATGTGGAGGGGGTGGCGTGGATTGACGCTGAGCGCCTGGTGCTGACCAGCGACAAGTCCAAGAGCACCCAGGACTGGAGGTGCGTGCGCGGGTGATGGCGTTGGGGGCGGGGGGTAATGAGTATAGGTTTACTCGAAGCGGGATGGATGGAGTGGGGGGTGGGGACCTTTGGGTTAGCCCTTGGAGCCCTGCCAATGAGAGCTGGGCTGAGTGCTCCTTCGTCCTCCCATTTTCATAGCAGGCCTCCTACTTTCACATGCCCCCTCTCTTCCTCTCCCTTCCTTCCCTTCCCTCCGCCTCCATAGGTGCATGGACAAGGACCAATCCGTGCACATCATGGCTCTGCCGTAATGCTAAGCGAAGTAGCGTGCCGTATATACGGTAGATGGCTTTGTCGTGCTTGTTAGCGACGTTGGTATTGCCGTCATTGCCATGCAGAGCCGCGGTTTATTTCCCGTACGAGCCAAGGCATTGCCTTGGGGGTTAATGAGAATCGCGACTAGATGACATATGTCGTACAAGACATGGCTTTGCCGTATGGTTGTGGATATGTTATTTGGTACTTCTGTCCCGCCCTACCGCATAGCCGTTGCGTTAGGTTACGATTGCTTACAGTCTGCCGTTCCCGTACAAAAGCAACATTGTAACCTATCCGTATGGTAAGATGGTCAATCCTGGTCTTCCTCCTTCGTTTGTCGGAGTTTAGGAAAGTCCTGCCAGGCAGAAGGTCAAGTTTAGAGCATATTGAGGGTGGTTCCAAGCTGCGTGTTTCTGTTTAAGGTAGCCGATGGAAGTTGCGCAGATAGGGAACCATGGGGGATGAGATGGGGGCTGGCATGGCAAGGAATGAGCCCATAATCCCCATTGGCAAAGCATACGATACTTGCAATTTGGCATGAATGGACGGCAGGCACAGGTAATGGTGGAGAATGCCACTTTAGACTTCAACTTGAAGCGGCACTGCGGATGACAACAACGACGCAAACAGACCCTCAGCGACGGACGCAATTCGGGTGCCGACAGTCTTCCCCCGAAGATGCGTCAAGCCTTGCGTGTGATGCAAGGCAAGCATCGCCGTCGACAGTTTTGGCGCGCACGGGCACGAGAACCATTACAGCGTCTTCTCAAACAAGGCACTAGTGAACGATAGGGAAATGAACCCATAACTTGACAGGCTTAAGGATGCCAACGGCGTTGCTGCGGTGCCTACAGCTATCAACCTTACATGCTCATATGTGAAGTGCAGGGCCGTGTAAGTGATGGTGCCGTGTAGCATGCGGCCACATGAATTGCGTTCGCGATTACAGTCAGTGCAGAGAAAGTTCCTGGCTTATCATGTATTGCCGCGGAAACGCTCCGAGACCCGATTGAGGACTTCAGGCGGCCTTTTGCGCCCGCTTAGGAGGCGTTCAGTTCTGGGTTGCTTTACCCTCAGATTCTGACGCATGAATAGGCGCCTGGTTTATCGATAAAGCTGGCGTAGAGGTTGGCAAACCTAAGCATCCACACCCGGCTTTTTCCCGGACCCTTTGCGTACACGGCTCAACCAAGAAACGTGTTCTCATAACAAATAATATCTTAGATCTAAACAATTTAGCGGCCGGCGGGCTGTGGCTGTCTCGTAAGCCGCTGGCCGTCTAGTACTACGCATGGTTGCGTGCGGTGACCAGCGGGACATGAACTGATCCCGTTTCGTGGTCATCAGCTCTCGTATCGGCAAGGAGGGGAACTAGCTTCGGTACAGCTTGCTTCGTGCCGGGCGAATTCAGCTTACACACGCAGCAATGGACCTCCAGCAGCTACCGCAGTTGGAGTCGCTCTGTGAGCGACTCTATACCGCTCAGGTATGAAGACATGTTCCTGATCAGCAACGACTTGACAAGCGTCTTTCGAGGAAGCAGCATTCCAGCCAAAGCATTTGCGACCGCTGCAAGATAACTCTGTTGCGTTGCAGAGTCAAGCCGAACGTGTACAGGTGGAGCAGATGTTGGGCGTGTTCGGGCAGTCCACGGAGCACGTCCCCGCGCTAAAGGTATGTTGCAAGCCCAGAGGCAGTGACATCGCTGTTTGGCATACACTGTGTCATACCTCCTCAGCTAGGTCACCGAGCATTTCGGGCATGAATGATGACGCTGGCAACCCGTTCACCCCTGCAGTGTTTTCCATATAGCAATAGCCTGGTATTACCATGCATCCGTCCAGCACTACCCCACCGCTACACGCTGTTACCCACCACCTTGCATGTTGCATCCCTGAACAACTCCCGCTCCCTGGCATCTCTCCTTGCCGATGTATGGTCGGCCTCAAAGTCCGACTCGCCCCACTCACCCCGAAACTTCGTGTGCACCGCCCACGTTTGTCCCCTTTTTGCCGTTGTACGGATGCTGCAGGCAATCCTGGACAACTCTCGCTCGCCTTACGCCCAACTGCTTGCGTCATCAAGTCTGACTAAGCTGCTAACCGAGCACTCGCTCAGGTAGGGGACGGCTCGGCAGTTGGGGGTTGACGGTTGGTTAGACGTTGGGCGTGTGACAGAGTAGGGAGTGGGCTTTTGGGGATTCGAAGGTTGCATGCGCCACAACTTTGGAATTGTGCGTTACTTTGTGGAGTCGGTGGAAGTCAATGAACCATGGGTTGGCTTCAAAAAGGAATCGCATGACGACCCAGATCAAACTGGTGTTGCTGTTGCCATTGCCTTAATGTAGACACCACAATCAACCATTAACCCAGATCGATCCAGATCAAATTCCGGTTTGCTCCACGAGTTGTGTACTTCCCTATGTACCTTGCGGTACTTTCGCCGTACAGTACCCTCGTGTGTACGTCTTCACCCCAACGCATGTTGGCTATTAATCCTTCGTTCTTCCCCCCATGCCGGTCCTCCACTCCTCCCTCTCCTCTTTGTCTTCCTCCCTTACCTTGCTTATGAGTCGGTACATGGGAATGGGACTCCAGGGCTTCACTTCTTATTCAATACCCGCACACTTCACCTTCCCTCTCACCCCCCCCCCTCTCTTGCTCCACATGCAGCCCATTTTCATTTTTCTTGATCTCATTTAATATCCCCACCCGTCATCTTCCCTCTTCACCCCTTTCTCTCTCCGCATGCAGCCCCAGCGTACGTGCAGACATGAAGAACTACTTCCTGCAATACCTGGACAGGTGGGGTGCGGCGGTGGGTCGGGGCCGGAGGGGGTTCTGGAGGTCAGTTGGTTAGCTTACTGAACATGTGGGTCAGCTGCGCCAGCTGGGTCTTGCACTCGTTCTCGTTCGTCGCACGGCACCTGGACTGCATCCGACCATCTAATAACCCCTTACGGATATTTACCCACAACCTCCGTACGACGAAACCTTCATCCGTACTCCTCCTGCAGCAACTGCGCCACCCTGGAGCACTTTGTGTCCTCCTCGCTCGTGACGTTGCTGTGCCGTACGACCAAGCTGGGGTGGTTTGACGCGGACACGCACCGGCAGATTGTGGAGGACGCCAAGCGCTTCCTGGAGAAGGGCACTCCCACGCACTACCTGGTTGGGCTCCGCATCCTGCACACCATTGTGCAGGTGAGGGGGGAAGAGGTAGAGGAGAGGAGAGGGGCTTAGTAGGAGGTGGATATTCTGCACAGGCAGGGGAAGGGGGAGGGAGGGAGGAGGAAACGAATGGTGCCAAGTTGTTAAAGAGAATGGCAACCTAGGAAGATGGAGAAAGAGGGCAAAGAGTGATGGAGTATCCGTGTGTTGGGAAAAGCGCCTTCACTGGAAATGTGCAATGGAAGGGAGGGAAAGGGTGGCGAGTGGCGAGGTGGGGAGAATGGGGCCGCTAGGGAAGGTCATGTAGCCCCACTCCAACGCCAAGCCCATGCACTCCAGCTCGAGAGCCCATGCACTTTAGCCCTCCTGCTATCCAACCGTCGCAAAACACTCCCACTCCCCTGGCCTCAGTCCCACCTCCAAAACCACAACCACATGAGCCCCCATGCCCAACTCCCCTCGCCCTCCCCATGTGGTGTCTCCTCCTGCACCGTACCGTTCCTTACCTCCACAGGAGATGAACCAGGCCACCCCCGGCCGCACCCTCACACAGCACCGCAAGGCGGCAGTCAACTTCCGTGACACGGCGCTGCTGCGGGCATTCCAGGTGGGGGGCGGGGGTGGTAGGGGCGGGGTAATGGTGTGTGTGGGGGAAAGCTTTCTCCTCTCAACCCTTCCCTCCTCCTCCCCCTAGCTGGTTTCCCTGGTTTACTGCTTATTCACTGCCGCCCTCCCTCCCCTCGCTTCCCCTCTCCCTGCCCTCAGGTATCGCTGATAGCGCTGAATGAGATGGCAACGCGACAAGCGGACGACAAGCTGAAGGGCGAGGTAGGTAGGGGGGTTGGTGTGTTCAGAAGGGGAGTAGAGGGTGGGTGGGTGTTTAGGGGAGGGCTGGAGGGTGGGAGCCCTTGGTTAAGCGAAGGGGGTGAGGGGGGAAAATGAATTTCCAATGAGTTGGAGGGACCTGGAGAGTTGGAGCGTGGGTTGGGGTGGGAGGTGCGTGCGAGCTGACGACAGGCTGAGATGCCGGGTGGTAGTTGGTTGGTGCGTTGGTTGGTTGGTATGGGTGGCGGTTGCGTATGTCTGGCAGTCCTAGGGTTTATTTTCGTGTAAAGGTTCGGTGCAAGGAAGGGAGTGCAAGAGAGGCGGGGTGGGAGGTACGGGCCGTCTACAGCGTTTAGAAGACTCCACACCTCCCGCCGCCCATGCTTTAACGCACATGGTTAACACCCTGCCGCCCATGCAGGGTCTCAACCTGGCCCTCAGCTGCCTGTCATTCGACTTCGTGGGCACGTGTCTGGACGAGTCGTCGGAGGAGCTGTGCACCATTCAGGTGATGAGGGGGTGGGGGTAAAGATGAAGAACAAACTAACCGTGCGACACGGCATTAGGAGGGGATGCGTGTGTATCGGGGAGGAGGGGCCAAGGAGGCAGGGGGGCCGCTCCTGACATCCCTTCACCGTGTGCCCCTTCCCCCCTGGCCTCTTCCCCACCCCCAGGTTCCCTCCTCCTGGCGACCTGTGGTTGAGGACCCCGCCACGCTGCAGGTGGGGTTCGTGGTGGTGGGGGTTGTAGGGGTGGTGGTGGGGGTTGTAGGAGTTATGGTGGTGGTTTGTTGTGATGATGTCGGGTGGGTTGGGGTGGTATACGTTTGGGGGCGGTGGGGATGGTGTGCCTCCCTTTCACGCCGTTTTCCCTCCTTACTCGCTTCCACCTGCCTCAGCTCTTCCTGGACTTCTACTCCTCCTCCGGCCCGCCGCTCTCCTCCACCGCCCTGGAGTGCATGGTACGACTGGCCTCCGTACGGCGCAGCCTCTTCACCTCGGAGGGGGAGCGCTTCAAGTGAGTGGGGGGGGGGGAGAAAGAAGAATGCCCATTGTGTTGAGTGGGGGGAGGGAGGGGGAGCGTGTGTGTTTTGGGTGTCTTTGGGGCATCAGTGCAGGCCGGGGCCCACAAGCAGGCCAAAATCGCCAAACAAGTACATGAGCGCATGCATGCAGGCTCTTAACACAGGGTCGGTTCCTCTCTCATCCTCCTCTGTTACCTGTCTTGTGTTGCTCTGTATAATATGCATGCATGCGCGCATGCACGTGCAGGTTCCTAAACAGGCTGGTAGCAGCCACTCGATCAATTCTGGATCCAGCCGCCCGGGGGCGGCTGGCGCAACATGAAAATTTTCATGGACTGTGTCGGTTGCTGGGGCGGTTGAAAACCAATTACCAATTGGCGGAACTGGTGAGGAGGAAACGAAGAACAATTGACGTACAATTATTGTGTGAAAGCAGCCGTACAACACTGCATGGTTGCCGTACATGTTGTGCGTGTTTGCCATCTGGATGCGTAATATCCTTTTACGAACCATAGCAATCATCCTGGCAAATCACGTGCGTACGTTTGCCTCTGCACGCACATGCAGGTGTCGGTTGACAGCTACAACGACTGGATCCAATCGGTTGCCCAACTAACAGTATACGCGTTGCAGCAATGGGAGTGGTCTGGCAGCAGCTGCTACTACCTGCTAGGTGGGAAGTACTAGGACGGGGCTTAAGGGTTCAATGTGTGCACAATGGGGAACGCGATGTCTTTTCACAACCGAAGGGAAAGGGCGACAGCTGCTGCTACCACATGCTAGTGGGCTGGGGCGTGTGGATGAGATGGGATGGAGCATTGCGGTAGGGGGGTTCGAGGGCGGTTGGGTCTACGGTGGGGATATACGGCGCCTGTACGGCACCCCCATCTCCCCGTTTTGAGCATGTCCCTGGGGCGTCGATACGCCTTGTCTATACGATCAGGGCGACGTCGGGCCATGGGATAGAGATTCCCTTGAGCCTTACTCCTTTCTCTTAGCGCCTTCTCCTCCCCCTCTCCGCCCACCCCTCCCCGCAGGCCTGTGGAGCCGGCTGGTGTCCTCCATGCCCTACCTCAAGGGCGACTCCCCCTCGCTGCTGGAGGGCAACGTGCCTGCCATCACACAGGCGTATGTGGCGTCAAGGTGAGGGGGTGGGGGTGGGGGAGAGGGGGCGAGGGGGTCTGCAGCTGCTGGAATAAGTGGTGTAGTAGGGCTGTGTTTGGGGCTACTCAGGTTAAGCAAGGACGGTAACGCACACACTGGCACATGTGCAGTAACGTTTTACTCATGCACAAGTAGTTATTTGCGGCCAGTTGAACTTTAAATAAACAATTTCCGCGACCACTGCGATCGAAATTTGTCTAATTCGCATGATTTCATTAACCATATTTTCCCCGCAGGTTGGAATCGGTGCAAAAGTGCGCCGCCAACCCCTCCCTGGACGACATGTTGGACACGGAGGACGCCCTCAGCGAGCAGCTGGAGGCGCTGCCCTTCCTCATGCGCTACCAGTACGACAGGAGCGCAGCCTACCTCACATCGCTCATGGACCCAGCCATCGAGTACTTTAAACAGGTCTGGGGGTGTGGATGTGTGTGCATGTGAGAACACTGCCGCAAGTGGGAGTATGAGTGGGCGTACGACAGGGCCAGGTGTACGACACCACCCCCCATGTGATGGTACCTTACAGAAATGCATGAGGGTTGAAAACTACTCCAGGGGTTTTTAGTCTTCAAAAGCATGCGTGGAGGGTGCGGGTACAGCTCGGCTGTCCACGCCCTTCATTACCTACATTCCCCGCGTTCCCTCCCTTCCCGCCCTCCCCGTCTTCCCCGCCCTAGGCCTCCGTGCAGCCGCTGCCCGGTCCGCAGCTCTCCCTGCTGGAGGGGCAGCTGACGTGGCTGGTCTACATAGTGGGGGCGGTCATCAAGGGGCGCCTGGCCACCAGCACCAATGCGGACAGCCAGGTGGGGGTGGGCAGTGGCACACAACGGGACCGGGCGTGATGTCCCTGATGTGATGAGCAACCAGGGCCACCCCCAGAAACCTCCTCCTACCCCTTCCCATCATGCTCTCCCTCCGCGTCCTCCTCTCCTTGCTGCACCCTAACCTTCTCTGCCACCTCCTTCCCCCCTCCCTTCCCTTCCTAATCAGGAAACGCTGGACGGCGACCTGGCTGCCCGCGTGTTCGCGCTGCTGCGGCTGGCGGACGAGGGGCAGCACGCGGGGCGGTACGGCGAGCGGTCGCGGCAGCGGCTTGACACCGCGCTGCTGCACTTCCTGCAGTGCTTCAGGAAGGTCTACATAGGGGAGCAGGTAGGGCGGGAGGGGAGGGGAGGGTTGGTGTGTTTAAGAGAACTGGCTACACGCCGGAACATAACCTGTAATATGTATTTGTGTTGTTTGTACGGTAGGTATTGGATTGTGTACGACATTGTGTTGGATTGGTGGGCGGGGTTGGATGGGGTTGGTGGGAGACCGGGCAGCACGTCCATGCTATACGTGCCGGGTGTGCGGCGGGGAGCACATCACATGGAGGATAACGCAAGGCAGCAGGTCTCCTCAGTGCCTCCTCAGCAAATTGTACATGTGCCGTACAGTCCGCCAACATGTGTCGTACACCTCTCGTACATATCTCGCCGTGCAACCCTGTTTACAAACCGTACGCAGGTGATGCACAGCAGCAAGGTGTACACGCGCCTAGCGGAGCGGGTGGGACTGGAGGACCATGCGTCCGTACTTTCCGTCATGCTAGCAAAGGTACTGTTGTGCGGATGAACGGGTGCTTGGGTTAGGCCAACTGGCCGCAAAACTGGCACTGACCTACTCGGGTGTATCTGTGCGGGTACCAGGGACGACATTGGTTATACGACGACGCGTTTATGAAAACGGCTTATCCATTTACGCTTGCGGTATATCCGTCTATGCTGTCCCTAGTTATCAAGGCATGCGTGTATCAGAGTATCACAGGTGGCATCATTTCAGCGTGAGAAGCGCTTTCCCCCAATGTCCTGATGCAGCCTAACGGCGGTGCGCTCAGTTCCTATTTCATCTTTTTTACACTGCTTGCAGATCGGTACGAACCTGCGAGTGTACGGCGCATGTGAGGAGCTCGTACACCTCAGCTTGGCGCTATTCCAGGTGGGGCTTCGGGGGAGTTGCCTGCCGTCCTTCGCTGTCTCTCTCCAGTCTTTCTCCCACCTGCTTTACTTGCTTCAACTGTCTTACTGTCTTGCGTCTGCTCTGTCCCCCTTTGCCCCCACCCCAACACCACCTCATCGCACCCCCGCAACAGCATTCTTATTCCTACCTACCCTCAAAACACGTTACACAACCCTTGTTCCTGCCTGCCCGTGCGCAACAACCACCTCCTATCCTGGTTTGGTATGGTCTCTTGACCCCGCCCCTTCCCCTCCACTCCCCTCCCACAGGACCTCGCCGCCGGCTACATGTCCGGCAAGCTGCTGCTCAAGCTTGATGCGGTGTCGCAGCTGCTGTCCGCCCACACCTCCGAGCACTACGCCTTCCTGGACGTGGCCGCCAACGGTCGCAACCGCACCACCTACTACGCCACGCTGTCCAAGCTGCTGTTCATGGAGGACACACCGGCGCGATTCAGGGCCTTTGTGCTGCCGCTGCATCAGGTGGGGGTGGAGGGGCTTTGTGCTGCCGCTGCACCAGGCGGCGTGGAAGGGGGGTGATGGGTGATGGTGGTGGGTGGATGGGGTTTTGCTGCCGCTGCACCAGGTACCGGTATAGTGAAGGGGAGGGCGGGCGGGTGAGTGGGCCTGCCTCCTCCCCCGCCCCCTCCGCCGCCCTCCTTCGCAGCCAGTCGCGTAGCCTTGAACCCTCCTCCTCACACTTCTCACACCTCCGCCCCTCCTCCCCTCTCCCCACTAAGCAGTACTGATCTGATATCACGCCACACATCGCACCTCCTCCCTCCTCCTAACCCCCTCAGGTGCTGGTGCAGCTGGGCTCCGCTGTCACCTCCGCCCCCTCCGCCGCCGCCCTGCGCGCCTCCGTGCCGCCCGCCTACCACACCCGCGTGGCGGGGCTGTTCCGAGACCTGCGCGGCATCGCCTCCGCCACCGCCACCCGCCGCACGTACGGCTTCCTGTTCGAGTGGCTGTACCCGCAACACATGCCCACGCTGCTGAGGTGCCTGGAGGTGAGGGGGGAGGTGGGAAAGAGGATAACCAGGGGAAGGGGGTAATGATTATATGGCAAATTATAAACCAGCTGTAAATGTAGGGTAAGATGCGGTGCCTGGTGCGGGAGTGCGGGACGGGAGGGGAGGGATGGTGGTGGTGTTGAATGGGCTCCTTTGCCCACATTGCTCCCCCCAAGGTTCCCTTGCGCAATGGCTCTGCCCTAATTGCTCTCATGTTCCCAATGCCCCTTCCCTCTCCCTTCAGGCGTGGTCCGACGTGCCCGCCCTGACCACTCCGCTGCTCAAGTTTGTTGCGGAGTTTTGCTTCAACAAGGGCCAGCGCCTGACCTTCGAGAGCAGCTCGCCCAACGGAATCCTGCTGTTCAGGTGCGTGGGCGGGCGTAGGTAGCCTGCATGGGCTTGGACACATAGGGAGGTTGTGTCAGGTAACGCTGGTGTGAAGTGGAGATACGCGTCCAGCGTTTGCGTCTATGTCTTTCCTTTCTCAACCCTCCCTTTCTTTCCCCTCCAACCCGGCAAATGCCCCATACCGTAAACCCATTCTCACCCCATCACGGCCCCCCTGCCGCCCACAACGCAATCCATCTCCCTTAACCCCCGGCGTCCTACAGGGAAGTAAGCAAGGTTGTTGTGACCTACGCCAACCACATCCTCGCAACCGCTCCCCCGCCAACCACCAACCACTCCTCAACCGCCGCCTCCGCCACATCCTCGTCATCAGCAGGAGCGGGAGGGGGGAAAGGAGCAGGGGGAGGGGGGTCTGCCGTGTACGACACGCGGTACAAGGGGATCTGGATCTGCCTGCTTGCGCTGTCTCGAGCCTTGAGCGGCAACTACGTCAACTTTGGAGTGTTTGAACTGTACGGAGATCCAGCGCTCAAGGTAAGCGGGGTCAGAAACGGGAGGATCCAAACCACATGAAACCGCAGCGGGGGAGGGGGAGATGTGTTAGGTGGGTGCAAGGCAGGGGGTTAGAATGGGGGGTGTTGTTTGTTGGGCTAGCAGCTTCGGTGGCAGTGGCAGCAGTGATGGGGAGTTAGGGCCGGAAGTGGGTGCGGGAATTTCGACCTAGGATTCATAATTGAGCTGGTCGAGGTAAGTGTAGTTTTTTAGAACTTGAGACTTCGTATCCTGTTTTGTACCTTTTTGCAGCTCATGTAACCGCTCGCGCCTTGCCCCTACCGGTGTACACCATGTGCATATGTCTTCACCTCTTCCTCCCTGCCCTCCTCCCCAAATCCATCCTCCCCGCTGCCCCCGCTTTGCCCGAATCCATGGATTCTAGGGTTTGGTCTTTCTTTAAAACCCCCCTTCCCCTTTCACCCCTCTCCTCCCCTCCACAGGATGCCCTAGACGCTGCCCTCCGAATGGTGCTCTCCATCCCGCTGCCCGACCTGCTCGCCTTCAGGAAACTAGCCAAGGCGTACTTCTCACTTCTGGAGGTGAGTACGGCGCACGCATAGCCCGTATGTGTACGGCATGCACTGCGAGGGTGGCACGAGCCGTGTCGCGAAACACACAGGGTTGAGCTGGTTCAACGCACGCATGTCTCCTTTCCCTCCTCCTCCCCTGCCCTCCCCATTCCTCCCTCCTCAGGGTCAGTGAATCTTGCGGCTCAGTTTACCTAAACCCTAATTACTCCATCCCTCCCTACCTGCCCCCTCCCCCTCAGGTGCTAGCAGCGGGCCACGCGGGGGTGCTGGCCGCCCAGGATACCCGCACCTTCATGTTCCTCATGTCCTCCCTGGAGATGGGACTCAAGTAGGAGGACACACATGCTTGCATGCTTGCATACGCACACACGCTTGCAAGTCGCGGCCGGTTATCTTAACACATACACACATTCGTGGCCAGGTTTCGTGGCCGTTTGGTTACCTCTGTTTTGCCTGTACTCGCGGTTCACATGCGAACCTCTCTTACTTGCTTGCTCTTGTCCTACTCAACTACACACATTCGTGGCCAGGTTTCCTAACAAACGCCACCTGCAACTCGTGACCAGGTTTCTTAACACACGTGCGCGCGCGCTCCCTAACCCCGGTTCCAACCCCTGATCTCCTTCCCCCCACCCCTCACGCCCACGCACATGCAGATCCCTGGACGCCTCCATCTCCTCCTCCTGCGCCTCTGCAATCGACAACCTGGCCTCCTTCTTCTGGCGGCACGTCGCTTCCGCGGCAGCAGGCCACCCCGAGGCGGCAGTGGGGCTGACGGGGGGGCCGGGGGGGCTGCCGGGCAGCATCCCCTCAGCAGCGGGGGCGGCAGGGGCTGGGGCGGGGGGAGCAGCGGGGGCGGCAACAGCAGGGGGAGGGGCGGGAGCAGGAGGGACTATGTTGCCGCTTGGAGCAGCACAGATGTCGCAACACGTGAGTCGTGACTCGTGGGGATTGCGGGAGGAGGGGATTATGAAGGGGAAAGAAGGGGGGCAGGGTTAATTTGGGACGGGGGTGGGGGTTTGGGTGATTCCGGGGTAAGAGTGCGGTGGGGGCTGGGCGGTGCTGGTGGATTTACGTGCCCTCTTACCCCCCGCATGCAGGTGTCGCAGCACCCCTCCCTCTTCCCCGAGCTGCTCCGCTCGCTGTTCGAGATCGTGTTGTTCGAGGACTGCTCCAACCAGTGGTCCCTCTCGCGACCCATGCTGGCGCTGGTGCTCATCAACGGTGCGGTGTACGGGGAGATTAAGGTGGGTTGGAGGGGGGTGGGTGGGAAGAGGGGTGACAGAAGGGTAACAGAGGGGGAGAGACCAAGGTAAGAGGAGGGGTACCAGAGGGAGAACGGCGTGTGCAGAATATGAAGGTAGACATGGGATAAAAGAGGGAGGAAAGACAGGTTGTTGGAATGGCGAGCGGTAGGTGGGGATTATGTGGGTTGTGGGTTGAAAGGGGATACAGTGCAAACCAACAACTCGTGCGCCGCATACCGGGGTAGCCATGAACCCATGATACACCCAATGGTGGCGTCTTTTGCCACATGGGGGTTCGTTTCCGAAACTCTCTTTTTTACTCCGCCTCTCGCCTCCCCTCTCTTCCCGTTTCGCCCTAACTCGTGGTTTCCCATGGTTTGGTCCATATATCTTGACCCCCTCCCAACGCATGAACTTCCTTACCCCATGAACTTCCTTTCCCCCAGGCCGGCCTCATCGCCTCGCAGCCCCCCGAGCGTCAGGCCCACCTGGCCGCCTGCCTGAACAAGCTGATGGCCGACGTGGCTCCCTCGCTCGACCCCAAGAACAAGGACCGCTTCACGCAGAACCTCACCGTGCTGAGACACGAGTACCGGAGCAAGAACTAGCTGAGGAGAGGGAGGAGGGGGGGGGATACTGGGGAAGGAGCCACATGGAGGAGGAGGACGGAAGCGGAGGGGAATTGCAGGAGAGGGGCAAGAAAATCGGATGGGGGTGGGGTTGGAAGAGGGCGACAGGGACGGGCAGGATTAGAGCGGTGTTTGGAGGAAAGGAAAAGGAAGCTGTTGGGTAGGGTTGTTTCTTGTGTGCTAGGCAGGGATGGGAGGTGGAGGGGAACGGGTTTTAGGGGAATGGGGGGCAACTGGAGCATCTGCCTCTGCGTGGACGTGTGTGTTTGTGGGTTGCAGGCGATGGGCAGGAGGAGGGCATGAGATGCAGGCGTGCATGGGTGGGTGTGTTAAGAAAGCTGGTCGCGGGTGTGTGCGTGTATGTGGGGGGTGTATCGTGAAGAGCCTCGCTCAGAGCAGCCATTATCAGCGTACACTTCAGTTAGGAAAATCAAATTTGCAGTTGATGAACGTCACGGCGAATCCTGAGTTTGTGCGAGTGAGGAAAGTGATTTAGCGGTGAGAAACCTGTACGTGAAGAGGAGCGAGTAGGGGAAAGCGGATGGAAACGCATGCAGGCGCATGCACACGTAAGGAACCTTGATAGCAGGCAAACAAGCAAGCGAAGAGGAAGGAGTGGTGGCAGGTGCAGTTTAGACGGATGGGTAGGACATGGGGTGTATGGAGGCGCTAGGGCATGGGATGGTTGAGCTAGAAGTAGTTTGGGGCCGCTAGTTGGGAAATGGGAGTGCCTACGGGTCATATGAATGCTAGCACCTCCGCACACCACCGATAAGGGCGAGGACGATCAGGGCTTTCCAGTGGCGTGGGACTCGGATATCATTGCGCGGGGAGGATAGGGTACTGGCGGAATGAACGAGGGGAACGACGCACATTTGGGGTGATTGAGCTTTGCGTGTGTGCGTGTGCTTCAAGCTTGTTCGTGGGTGCGGCGAGTGGGAAAAGATAAAACCGTGGGGAGGGGGGGGCGCTGGTTTTCACGAGACTTCCGCGGTAGGGGATGGACGTACCAAAGGGACCCTGCTAGATAGAGTAGGAGGCTGTCCCGCCTACTGGTTTCATGGTGCGTGCGCGTGCGTTACGGGACTTGATTGGCTTTGAGTGGTTGCATCTGGTGGTGGGCGCGGATGGAATGCGTGCAGGGAGCACTAGAAACGCACAAGGATACCTCAGGAGGTGAATGTCGGCACACATAGGGTGTGGCTCGCACTAGTGGGGTGTGTGGGGATGGCGGGCATGTTTGAAGCGGTTGTTGTTTGCATTTCGAGACGAAAAACTGCGGGTGTTGATGTACTTGCCTCAAGGTTCTCAGCAGGTATTGAGATGGAACTACCAACCAGGGTCGCTTCTGTTTTACAAAGCGGCTTGTTCAACACACGTTTTGCCCTTCGTATGGTTTGGTGGAGTACGGGCCAAGGGAAGCTACCAGGGACAGCCACACACCGCCCTGGTTAGAAGTTCAGCTATGCATGCGTCAGGGCCGGTAACCATGATGCAGCAGCTGTTTAGGGGTTTAAGGCGGGCCGTCAGGGCTAGTCGCTGGCAACTATGCGGTCGCCGAAGGGGCTCGGTCGCTAAAGCGACAAGCGTGCACTCGTGAGTAGACTCACTAAACCGTACGTCACATGGTATTGTTGTTTATGCAAGATGCAGTGCACACTGATCATGAGCTACAACCACATCAGTAGTACAGGACAGTGTTTAGGTTTTGCTATACTTCAGAAATCGGCAATTCTTGGTACTTCACCCGGCCGTACCATACAGCGCAGAACTACGCCAAAAGTCCAAGCTTCAGGGGTTACTTGGTTCTAGCTTAAATTGCACATACTTTGCTCGAACACACAAAGGCATATCGGATGCATGGGCAACCGTTACGTAACATCTTCTCTTAACTGCACTGGCCTAGTTTCAGCGTTTTCAGATAGCCGACCGTTGTCCGCATTGACGCATTGTTGTAATGAAGCGCATTGGCTCAAGCAGCTCTACTCAAAGCTTGCTTCGATTTCGAATATGTAGCCTACGACGAGCTCTGTTCTGCATTTTCTGCACGCCGCTCATTTTTATTGTCCTCGTCGGCCGGCGCCAGCTACTACTGGAGGGGCTGGGACGGTCCGGGCCTAAATGCATCGGCTGGCGAGCAACATTGGCTTGCCTTCCCCTCGGGTAAGTAAGTCCCAGACTGCGGTGCTCGTATACCTTCGTGCAGTTGTCTCCCAAAAGAGGGCAGCGGTGCACATACGCTCCCGCCTTCACTCATTGTATTCTTCCCTACAACATTCTCCAGGCTCACCCTCATCCCCACTGCTGCCCCTCTCTTCCCGCTCCTTTCTCCTTCTCTCCCGCCTTTCTCCCCCAGGCCTCGTGACCCGGGCGGGGATCTGGGCTGCGATCAAGTCGTTTACGGCAGCGCCGGCTACTGCTTGTGCGAGGGGGGCATCACTACCGCCAGGTTTGGGGGTCGTTGCTGTACGATAAGGGCTTGGTTCGATTGAAATGCACGACCGTCTTGGGATGTACGGCAGTTGTGACCATGTGCTTGCGATGCTTCATAGTACGACACACTCAACACCCGGCAAATTGGCGACACGCCTCATGTGCAGGGTATCTTGTGGGGAGCACGGTTTTCGCTGTCAAGACAAATGTGCTGAACTTGGGTGGGAGGTTGCGGAAGCAGCCGCAAGAACAACAGAAGCAGCAACCGCAGCTTCGGAGGCAGGAGCTAAAACAGCGGTGTCGTACACTTCTTCCTCGTATTCGTACTATGATGTGGACGAGTCGGATCCGTTTCGGTTAACGGGAGGAGCAGCAGGAGGTGCGGCTGCAATGCTGGCAGCAGCTGGAGGGGATGCTAAATTGCTTCCGAAACCGCTCCAGTGCCGCAACCACCAACACCACCACTATCAGCCGAACCCGCAGCAGCAAGACAACGGTGCTAACGGTAACGTTAGTTACCATGATAACGACAGCCTTCTTAACCGACAAAACGAAGAGGAGCATCAGCAGCAGCAACGACGACGACACCTGATCGACAAACCTGCCAACAGCAACGGCAGCAGTACGGCAACCGATGTGGATGTACGGCAACGCGATGTCGGCTTCCTGACCCAGAGTGCTAGCCGGGTGTGGGACATGGTAGACGAGCTGGTGGGGAGACATGGTGAGAGAGGGGTGGGTGGGTGGGTGGGCGGGTGGAAGTGAAGGGGTACGGGCGGGGGCGGGGTTAAGTGACGGTTGGCTGACGGGTTGGGCGGGAGTGTGTTTACGGGGCCTGACAAAATGGGAGTTATCATGTTACCGGTATTATTAGAGGCACGGAAAGTTGGGGTTCAGGCGGGGTAGTGCTGTCGTGGGTTAGCGCGGGGTTCCGGCGGGGTTTCGTTGCCTTGAGGCCAGAAGTAGAGCGGGGTTGATGCCTAACCCCTCTCCTCCAACCTCCCTCCCCCACTTTCTCCTACCTTCAGCTCCCGGCGACGAGGTGCGCGTCCCCGGCCCCCGCACTAACAAGGCCGACTGGGTTCTGGAGGGACGACCCGTAAAACCGGCTGTCGTACGGCGGTTAGCGGAGGCAGTGGCGGGCCTTATGGCGGATCTCCCGCCGTACCCTGATCATAACCCTGACGATGCTGCTGATAATGATGTTCATAAGAAGGGCAGTACGGCAGATCCGGAAAGTACGACTCGATCTCGGGAGCAGCAGCAGCAACAGCAACAACAGGGGCAGCAGCAGGCGAGGGGCAGTCAAGGTGGCCAGTCGCCGGCTGCTCCCGCCGTGTTTGCTGGGCGGGGTGTGGTGATGGTTGGGGGCGGGTTGCGGTACCTCACGCCGGCCTGGGTCAGTCTGCACGTGCTGCGGAGGTCGGGTGAGTTGAGAGAGGCGGGAGGGGAGGGTGGCGGGAGTGAAGGCGGGAGGTGCGGGGAGGCAAGTGTTTGGATTGCCTAAAGGAGGAAATCCAATTATGTCTTATCCGGCGTGCATGCATGCTTACTTTTAAGGGTTGTCGTTGTCATGACGTCGAGGAGCGACCCGTGGGTCAAAATGGCCCGCTTAGGGTTTGCTCACCAGTCACATCCTCAGCCGACATCCGCAATTTCACCTATATTCCCTACCAAAGCAATCCAGAATCCCCAATACTCACCGTTCTTCACCTCTCCCTCCTCCTCTTTAACCTGCCCTCCGCTCTCCCCGTCCCCACTACCAATGCGGAATCTTCATCCCTATTAATCCCCACTACCACGCCTCCCAAACCGCACCTACGAAAACCCAGGCTGCACCCTGCCGGTCGAGTTATGGTTTCCGGTTGAGGAATTCCCGCCCGCGGCTCTTGAGGAGCAGTTGGGGCGGGAGTTGGGAGTTCGTTGCAGGCGGTTGGCGGCTCGTGACCTGCCGCAGCGGGGCTTTGGAGTCAAGATCGCTGCACTGCTGCTGAGCAGCTTTACAGAGGTGAGGCGCGGATGTAGGGCGGGGTGCGAGGAAGGAGGAACGCGTTAGAATGGGGGTGAGGGCGCTTCGTCTTGTGAGTTTATTCCTATAGTTCTTTCTGCTAATGACTACGCATCATTCTCTTTCCGCTCATGCTTTTCCCCGTCCTCTGTGGGCCAATACTCTGATACCCTAGCAAAGCATTGAATACCTCGACATTCCTTATCCCTCTTTTTCGACCGCCTCAGGTGCTCTTCCTAGACAGTGACAATGCCGTACTTCGAGATCCAACCTACCTGTTTGAATCTCCGCAGTACATCGCCACAGGGGCCTTACTGTGGCCCGACTACTGGGTTCGTACAGCAGCACCTGAGGTATGTGTACGACATTTTTATGTTTACGACGGTTGACTCGACCTCTTTTCTGTATTATTCTTGCTTCTTGTCCTGTCCCTATAAGTTACAACCTATCTTGTCCGCTCTCCAACCCCACAATTCAGGTCTCCCAAATCCTCAACATCTCCAACCGCCAACTGCCGTCAGGGACCTACGAGAGCGGGCAAATGGTGATAGACAAGGCCAGGTGGGTGGGTACTAAGAGGAAACAGACGAGCTTTGTGAGGAGGCTTCATTATGGGTTGCTACATAGGGCCCGCCCCATTCCATCCCTCCTCAGATAGGAAATGAAAACCATGTGGCCTGTTGGGCATGGGCTATTAGCTTATTACATGTCCTATTGGTGCATATGTGTTGTACGAATGTATGCGACACGGACTGTGACAGGTGGAGTGCAATCCGCTTTTGCTGCGTCGTTTGAGCGTGTTTTGTCTCATTGCTGCTGCTGCTGCTTGTGCTGCGTCGTCTGCTGCGCATTATGCTGTTGTTGTCCTGGCTATTGCCCTTCCTATTTCCTACTTACTCTGTCGAACCCCTTCCTTCAACCTTCACCACACCATCACAGGCACTGGCGGGGGTTGCTGGTAGCAGCCTACCTGAATGTGTACGGAAAACTGTTTTCGGAGCTGCTGACGTGCTACGTGGGCAAGGTAGCTGGCCTCGTAACTTGTCAGACTGTCGTACTCGTAACTTATCGTACACGGCTAGGTGTGGGGTGGATCGCCGATACACACACATATGCGCGATACGTACCCCTCTAGCGTTTTAGCTAAGTGTCTTCTAGCATTCCTACTTACCTCGTGCATACCTGGCCCTGTTCCCTTTTCACTTGTGGCAATGCTACATGCAGGGTGACAAGGAGACGTTTGCGTACGGCATGCTAGCAGCTGGGGAAGAGTTTTGGACCTCCCCTGTCCCCCCGGGGAGTGCTGGGGTGGAGGCGGTTGTGTGTGACCCCCCATCTTCCCGGCATCGTAGGAGATTGAAATCCAAAGTACGACATACACATGGAACACACCACTACCACCCCCACCAGAGCGGAGGAGGATGGTGGTGGTGGCTGTTTGGAGGAGCTGGAGGAGGGTCATGTCACAAGCAGTTTCTGGGAAATACCATGGTACAATACGACACAAATGGTGAGTTGGTTGGTGGTTGAAACAGTTGAGCTGTATACCCTGCTGAGTACGTTGTGTGGTTGGTTGGTTGGTTCGTAGGTCCTTTCCAACTTCGTTAGGCACGATAAGAACGTCCTGCCCCACCTCCGCACACCTCATCTCACCTCCACACGCGCCCGCCCAGGCGCCCCGCTCTTCTTCCACGCCAACTACCACAAATGGGATCTTCAACTGCCGGATTCCTTTGACAACGGTTGGAACCGCCGTTGGCAGTTGCTGCAACCGCACGGCCTGCGAGTGACGGATGTGTTGTACGGCAATGGAACGACAATCGTTAACACATCGAGCATTACTCAAGGAGCCGTGATTGGGGCAGGGTAAGGCTTCTCCTCCTTTCCTTGGGGGCTAGCCGGAGACTGACTTCAATTGGGACCTTTCGAACCAAACCCTAAAAGCCCGGGTTTCATATCAACATGTTTAGGCAGGATGGCATTAAGGATAACAGCATAACAACATTTTAACAGCATTACATAATTGTTTTGGGGTACTGCCGTACAGGCTTTTCCCACTAAGCAGTGGCGCTGCATTACACGTTCCATCAACATCGTTAGGACGAACTTTTGAACGCTCTCATTGCTGTGTATGACACTCATGCTGTCATGCAGGTACGACATTGAGCGGTTCGTGTACAGCGTGCTGGTCTCCCTCCGCTGCGCCCCCTGGTTCCCCGCCTACTACTCTGCGCGGCTGCGGATGGGCGACCCACCGCAGCCCCCGCTACAGGGCTTCCACCCCTTGCCCGATTACACCACATTTAGAGATTACTACAGGTGGGATTTTGTCGTACGGGCAAAGGGCTGTGGTCGTACGGTGTATGGTGTACGGTGCTATACTACTTCGCGTTGTCGGGTTCGGGTGTTGTTTCTTCACTTCAAGAGGGCGCCTACCATGGGTGCTGCCAATGTTGGCCCAGTTTACCCGTGTACCCAACCCACACCGCCATATCCCCACACATCCCCTCCCCACTTCCTCGCAAAAACACAGGAAGGGCTGGCACGGCAACTTCGCCCCGATCGTACGGCCCCCGTTGACGCTGAACGACCACCTAACCGCCTGGTACTACGGAGGCCCACGCTGGACCCTACGTCCCTGGGAGCGACGGTTACGTCGTTGGAAAATGAAGTTGCGGTCGTTATTGAGCTGCAGGGGTTGAGATGCAGGTGTCGCCAACGTAGGGTAACGTTGGAACTGCGCGCGCAAGTATGTGCAAGTATGTGCGTCAGTGTGTGTTAAGGAAACTGGCCGCGAGTAGGAACGTACTGTGTTTGTGAACGGCGAGTATTCTGCTTGTGGGTCTTGTGGTAGAGAGGTTTGTGACGGTATCAGTACTTGTGCTTTTGGAGCGACGGTGAAAAACACTGCTGAGAGGAGAAAGAAAAGCGTGAACGAGACATGACATGACAGTATGACCGAGACTTGCAGCATACGTGTATTTTCCAGTCGTTTCCTCACCAAACGAGCACATGTGTTCCGTGTTACTTCCGGATATGTACGGAAGGTTATGGAGTGATGGCTGTGCGCGTCCTGAAGGGGGAGGAGGTGTCGAAGGCTTTTGGGAGTCGGCAGGTGTTAAGGATATACCAGCATGGGAAGGAAAGAAGGATAGGACCGTAAAGAAAGCAGGGTGAGAAGGCACTGTGCAGTGTATGGTGGGTACTGAATTAAAGTTGTAGGCCGTACGAGCCCAAGGGTTGTCGTACTGAGGGGGGCAGTATCGACGACATTGCAGAGCGTGCGGGCATGTGATGAACTAGGTCTGGAAGGGCGTCAGGGGATTGTCGGAAGATTTGGAGAAACCCCAACCAACCTTTCCGGATGTCTGTCAAACCGTTTACTTATTTGGTTTAGGGATGCTCTAGGGGAGTAGCAGAGGGGCAGGGATGGAAGGGATGCCGTCTCCTTCCACCTCCTTTGGGACTTAATATGTAGGAGGAATACCGGTAGGGGAAGTGCCTTCCCCATACTGCTCCTACGGCAGTCGGAGTGGGATGGAACATGAAGTGTCGTCAGGTGTATCGTCTGGTGCAGTCTTCCACATACAGCACCGTACGTACCTTGGTGTACCATTGTGTTGCCGTACGTCTTCGTACGTATCTTGGTGCAAAACCATTTATGAAGACCACCAACACCAACAATGTGTCAACATGTGACCAACATGGTAACAAGTTTCCTGAAATGTAAACAAGGTTTCAACTTGTTGTACGACAGGTGTTCACACACTTTAAAGTGTCAAGCGAGATATGTATGGGTGCACATAACCGCTGTACACTACAATCAAAGGTGTTAAATAAGATGTCAACTCATGCCCGTCCAGTCCCAACCCCACCCAACGCCATCCCCTCGTGCTTGGCAATTGCTTGGCACACGGCGCCTTGCGCGTCACCTTGCATGTTGCGCCCTGTTGCCTGCACACTAATCAACATATCCTTACCTTCTGGGCATTTTGAGCTCTGGACGGCATCAGTCAAACAGTCATGTTAATTGTCACCATACCCGTAGGTCTGTGATGTTTCTAGCACGACTGTTAACCGCTTACCCTTGCAGCTCTGTCCATACACACGCTTTGTGCCCGACATTCTGACATTCCCACCTGTTTCCAGCATACTTCTTATGTTCCCTGCCTACTAACCAGGATAACTACACCCTGTGTCATTCCTTTGCCTGTCAGATTGCTTTCAGCTCCAGCGCAATGCACTCCTTGTCGTGGGACGGACACGAGAAGTGCTGGTACGGCACGTCCAGCGGCGACTTGGGAAGAACGAGGAAAGAGCACAGGCTGTCTCGTTAGGGCGAGCTGGTGGGAGCTAGGTCGCCGTATCAGGGAGGTTTCCGACGCAAGCGGGGTACCTGCCACAACCTGTTTTTGTTGCGACATCTGACGGACAAACATAAGGGGGGGCGAGATGCAGTTGACCCCCTGTTCGTTTGTCAGATTGACTTTGAGAAAGCGTTTGACAAGGTGCCACGTGATCTCTTGTGGTTAAGGTTGGAGGAACGGGGTGTGCATGGCGCTATGCTGGAGGCTCTCAAGACTTGTTATAACAAGGTCATGATGCGTGTCAGGGTAGACGGAGTGACGGGGGATCCTTTTGAATCTTCGCAGGGAGTCAAGCAAGGATGCCCTCTCAGCCCTACGCTTTACGGGATTTTTGGCGAGGGGTTTGCTGACTATGTTGACGCTAAGGATAAGTGGCTCCCTGATGCTATGCGCGCTAAGCAGCAGACTCCCCATGCGGATGGCCGGCGTATCCCGTTGGAACTGTATGCCGACGACCTCAGCCTTTTCGCTACGACGCACAGACGGCTGATTGTGTTGCTTGCTGATTTGAGAGAGTGGTGTGAGGCCTTTGGGATGCGGGTGAATGTCCGTAAATGTGAATTGATGGTTTTCCACCCTCGTGCCAATATCCGCGAGGCTTTTGCTGCCCTTTGCCCCGTGGTGTGGACTTCTATTGAGGGAAATGCGCGAGTACCTATGGTTATTCCCTGGGTACAACGAGCCCGTTACCTTGGTTTGCACTTTGGTCCTGGCACACCGTTTGTTTCCTGCACAGAGGAACTGTTGACCTCTGGCCGACGTGCTATGTTTTCTCTTCAGCGTAAATTAAAACGCCTAGGTCTTTTGGTCCCTGCTGTTGCAGTTAAGTGCTTCGACGTGCAAGTCCGCTCCATCTTGTCGTACGGTGTCCAGGTGTGGGGGCCTGATGTGGTGCTGAAGCTAATGACGGACTGCGAGAATTCCGCGAGGTACTTTGACAGATCCTTGCGGGACCCAATGGTGCAGTTACAAAGGGAATTTCTTCGGGAGATTGCGGGTGTGAAAGTCTCGCCTGATAAGTTGCTGTTTAAGGAGTTTAACCAGCGCCCCTTGCATGTCTTCTGGCTGGAACTGTTTCTGAGGTTTTGGAATGACCTGGTCAAGCAGAAGGACACGGTCTACCACCAGGCGTTGCGAGGTGAAATTCGTTCGGCTCTCAGTACTGAGCATTATGATGGCTGGGGTTCTAAGGTGTTGAAGATTCTGAAAATGTTAGGGACGGATTTGACGGCCTTGGGGGGTGAGTTGGACTTGAATGCGCGTGTGGAACGTATTGCTGGCACGGAGCTAAATGTGTCTGCTCTCACTAAAAAGTTTGCTGATAGAATGGATGCGGATTGGGAGGATAGGAGTTTGGAAGATGACCCGCGGCTTTTCAACCCAGTAGACCCCGTACCAGGGGTTGGAGTTAAGATGTGCAGGTACAAAAATTGGATGGGTGACCCGGTTGACAGGGGGTACATTACTCAGCGGCAGCATGTGAACCTGATGCGTTTTCGGCTGTGTGTGTGGGGCATTGAAGCCAATCGCCCTAGGGGTAGGCAACGAGTAGCGCGTGTCTGTCCTATGTGTGCCGTGCAGGGGTCGCCGGGGAGAGTGGAAGATGAGAAACACATCCTCATTGAATGTCCCGCTTACGATGATTTGCGTGATAAGATATGGGAAAGTGGTGTCTCACGGGATGCCGATATGATTGCTGTCATGGGCATGGAGAATCAGGCATTGCTTGCTAGCGTAATCACTAGCATGCGAAGTCGCAGGATTGCGCAGACAGGGTTTATCATATGATTAGCGTTCTGTTTGTTGTCTCTTTTGTTTTACTTTTCTTCTTTTGGTTGTTTTCGCGTTTTGTGCTCGCGATCCATGAGCCTTCTGGCTCGGACGGATCTTACGAGCTCGGTACGAAGCTTGTAACACATACATACATACATACATACGAAAGAAACTTAGAACAGGGATGTGGGGGATGGAGAATTGGGAATGCTTCTCCCAGCAGCGCTTCTCTGCCCACGTTTTGGAAGGTGAAGACACCAAACGCCTGTCGAAGATGCTGACGATGACAAAGCTTCGTCCGTGAAAAGATGAAGTGCTTAGGTTAGCGCATTTATGATGCAAAGACAAGAGCAGTTTGGAGCACGGTGGCCGCCACCTTCAATCGCGTTGTGCCAGAATAGGTGGGCATGTAACACGAGGCCAGAGCGACGTGCAAGGCCAGATCTTGAAAACAGTAGGAAAGGCATGCTAGCTTTCAGTTCCGCTCCTAGGAAAGGAGGGCGTTGCGCGTATTGTAGTGTTGTCGAAGTTGAATAGCTGTCAACGTCCATGCAAGCTGTCTTCAAGTCTATCAGCTATACAGTTTCAGCGGTCCATCGCTTTTCTTGCTGAAACTAAGACAGCGCGACAATTCGCAACCAATACCGGTGGGCGATTCAACGGCTGCCGTACGCAACCACATGCGTGCCGCCTATACCGAGACCTGCGCGCTTGGAGGTACCACTGTGTATGGATGCGTAGGCTGCCACTGCTATGTGTTGCTGGACAACTAACTGAAGCAGAGGCTCACAATGTTGCCCTGGCAGGGACTCCTCAGCCTCGCTCTATGCATGCTCTTGTTATGTATCATAGGTGTAACAGCAACCGACACCAATGACAGTGATAACTGGTCGGAGCCGATGCTAAGAGAAAAAGCAGTATGGAACTATACGCTGCCATCCTTCGCTGTGAGACAGTCAATGCAGAACTGCTGTGGCAAGCGATTACTACGGGTTATAAAGGTAGGGACGGAACTGAGTTATGATGTGTTGGACTGACTAGTGAGTCGGTACCATCAAGGTAGCGCAGAGGGTTACTCCAGGAATTCTATACGCACCGGGTTATCACCTGTTTTATGGTTCTACCAAATGGCGAAAACGTTCGGCCAATCGGTCGTTAGCACCCTGCTTCGCCCATGCGTAGACACGAAACGTCATTTGCAAGCATCGAGCTGACCCTGTCAAACCCCTTACAGGATCTTGAAGCTGGAAAGACCATTAACGTCGCGGTCGTGGGAGGCAGCTACTCTCTACCAGACAGGATTAGCATGGATGAAGTGTGGTAAGCCATCCTTGCTTTACGCAACACCTTTGCACGTGGCTCCGTACCAAATCAGACGCGATGAGTATGCCCTTCATCATGGGCCCGAATAGGCACATCCTTCCACTCCTCCTGCTATACCTAACAATCCGTGTGTGCGGCAGGTTTTCAATCTTTGTCGACAAGTACCTTAAGAAGCGTTATCCCACGGCCAACGTATCGGGTCATAATGCAGCTGTGGGTGGGTCGAACGCAGGTACGCATGTACTAGGGAAAAGGGCAGGGAAAAAAGAGGGAAAACGAACCATGCGACCTGACTCCACCATGGTTTGCATCATGGCTGCCGACTTCTCCAAACCAACCCAAGTCAGTCAAGCCAAAGGGAGGGAGGGAGGGAGGGAGGAGGGGGAGGAGGAAAAAAGTAGTGTCTGACCGGGTTATATTAGTCGTGATCCGCCATGGCGCCGTACTTCATGTCGCCCGCCGAGTAGGGATAGATGTCCGTGTGCCTTGCGTCCATAATGCATCCCTATTTTCTCGCCACCCTCCCCCCCTCGTGCGCACACACAGTACGTTCCTACTCGCGGCCAGTTTTCTTAACACACATGTCGTACTACATTTGCTGTACCATAAGGGTAACACAACAAAAACGTGTGGCACAAATGCTTGCCTGCATGCAGGTTTCGCCTACCTATGCTTAGATAAGATGCTTCCACCAAAGGTGGGTTGGAGGTTAGAGGAAACAACCAGGCTCGCTGGGGGGGGTACTTGACCATGTGTTGACTAAAAGCGAAACTATGAAGCGAAACTGTGCCGTGCACATGTGGGTGTACCTCGCACGTCTCGTGTGCTACTTCGTGAAACCCACACGCTCCGTTCCCTTCCTCCTTCCCGCCCCTCCCTGCCCCCTGCCCGGCCCCCTTCCCTGTCGTGCATTGTCGTACGACAGGTGGATTTAGTGTTTGTGGATTACGGCCCCAACATGATGCAGAAGACCACGCATGACATCGTCAATCCGGTGAGGTTTGGGATTTGGGGGCCTCGTGGGTCGGGGGAAGTGCGCCGCCTCAAATCGAGCCATAAGGCGGAAGTAGAGCGGAGCAGGGGAGGAGAGGAGTGAGGGCACGGCGAGGGCACACTAGGTAAAGTCGGGCCGCTGCCCACATCCCTTCCCAACCCCGCGTGTGTACACCTACTCCCCTACCCTCCCCTGGTTTACCTCCCCTTCCCCCTCCCCATCCTCCCTTCTCCCTCCCCTTCTCCCTCCCCTCCTCCCTCAACGCATGGTATTCATCCCTTCCCAACGCATGGTTTCCCTTCCTTTCCCCTCCCTCCCTCCCTCCCTCCCCCTGCCCCCCCCCCCCACAGAACCAGTACTACGAGCAGCTGCTGCGGGCGCTGCTGGCCTACCCTGGGGACCCCGCGGTGATTGCAGTGGAGGTGAGGCGGGGGGGGGCGGGCGCTGCACTTCCCGCCTCATGTTACCGGTACCTCCGCAGCAGTGCGAGTACCAGTCATGCAGTTGTCATTTTCCCCTACCTGTCATACCGGTACACCGCCCATTTTACACGAACACATACTCTCGGCAACGGCTTCCCGTTTATCGTACCTTTAACCTTTCCCCTGCCCGCCTTTTTCCCCGCGTACGCTCCCTGTAACTGCTTTCCGTATGTTGGTCGTACACACAGCAACTGCTGCCTTCAACGGTGCCGTACTACCGCTACCCCGAGGTCACCAGCTCCCCCCTCTACAAGTATTACGACGTGCCGTACATCTCAGGTAAGGTACCACATAAGGAGAGGAATGGACAGGACTTGCAGGTTCTCAATCCAACTGTTCTCAAACTTTTGAACTGCAGCACATTCCCTTTCTTTCATAGCACACGCGCCCCTCTCGCCACTGTCTTCCTCCTTAACTCCCACACCCTCACCCCCCACCCCCCACTTGAGGCTCAGTTTACCTAACCCCCCACTTGAGGTATATATCCACTTCCTACTATCCCCACCCACCCGCCCACCCGCCCGCCCGCTGCCCCCCCCAGTGGGCTCCTCCCTGTGGCGCATGCAGGTGCTCAACACCAGCGGCTTCGCGGACCCCGACATCCGCATGAAGAGCACCGGCAACACCTGGGCCTACTGGCACCTCAACGCGCGGGGACACAAACTAGTAGCCGACATGGTGAGAGGTGGAAAACGAATTGAAGAACTGAGTTACCAATCGCATGGATGGGGGAGGGAGAGATGGCGCGGATGGCGATCCGAGCGAGGGATCGGTATGTTGTATCAACTGGCCGCAATCAACTGACACTGACACTAGCGTTGCGTGTGTATCCACACGCGCCATGACTGTACGACTCATGTTTCGTTGCAATCATCATATGTGTGCGACTCTCCCTCTTCTCCGCCCTGCTCCCCCCCCCCTGCCAGGCTGTGTTCCTGTTCCAGACAGCGGCCGCCATGGACAAGGCGGACCTGCTGCCGGAGCAGAAGGACCCGCTCTGGTGCGGTTGCGGTGTACGGCAGTGTGGTGGGGTTTGTCCTCGTACACAAATGGGAGGGGCGTAATGGCGGGTTACATTGTTGCATGCTGCATCTGCTAGCCTGCCAGTACCGGTATACGCGAGCAAGCACTGAACAGCTCTCTTCCTCCTCCCCCCCTCCCTCCTTCCTTCCGTCCCTCCACCCCTCCTCCCCCTTCCTCCCCCTCCCAGGGCCACCGGTGTGCGGGCCGGTCCCGAGCACATCCACATGCTGCCCACCCACCCGGTGAAGCGGCCGCTGCTGTGCATCATGCCGGATGAGCTGCCGGGGTAGGGAGGCAGGCAGGGGGGAGGCAGGCAGGGAGGCAGGCAGGGGGGAGGCAGGCAGGGAGGCAGGCAGGGGGGAGGCAGGCAGGGAGTCAGGGAGGGGGGAGGCAGGCAGGGAGTCAGGGAGGGGGGAGGCAGGCAGGGAGGCAGGGAGGGGGGAGGCAGGCAGGGAGGCAGGGAGGTGGGCAGGGAGGGGGGAACACAGGACGTACCATCGTGCCGTACGACCTGGGGTCTTACATCCTGCGCTTCAGTCCGCCCTTTCCGAACACCCTCCTACGCGTGCAGCCACCCTCCCCCCGAATGTGCCCCGGCCTGCATACACCTTACCCTGTCTGCATGCCCCCATGCCATTCCTGCTTCCCTGTGTCCGCATTGCTTTGCCCTAACCTGTGGATTTGGTATATATCCCTGACCCCCGCCCGCCCGGCTGTCTTTCATTTCTCACCTCTCCCAACCCCCCCCCCCCCCCCCGCAACCCCATATGTAGGTATGTGACCAACCATACGGGTTGGGAGTACGGAGCTGATGACTCACACAAACGCAAGGTGGGTACGACAGCTGGGCCCCTCCTCTTCCCTCCTCTTTCCTTCCCCTCATCGGAGATCTTTGCGCAGCGGGAGCAGCAGCCGACGTACAGGAGACACCTTTCCACCGCCGCCCACCACACACCTGTTGATTCCCTCAGAGCGGTTCCTCCCTCGCTCTTCTTACTGACTTGCATGCTGACATCTTCCACGCTCAATTACCAACACCCTAAACACTCCACAGCGCTGTCCAGAGACTAACCCCAACTCCTACCCCGCCCCTCAACCCTCCTCCCCGCCCTGCTCCACCCCTCCCAATCTGCCACGCCCCCCTCCCCGGTCCCATGCACAGTTCGGCTACATCTCCTTCCACAACGGCAGCTCCGATCCCAAGCTGCCCACGCCCTCCGGCCTGCCTGAGCTCCGACTGGAGTGGGACGGCAAACTGGTGGGCAAGGGGGCAGCGGCAGCGGCGGGGGGAGGCAGTAGCAGCAGCAACAGCAGCAGCAGCAGCTCATATGCATTGATTCTGGTCTACTGTGAGTGGCAAGGGAGGGGGGAAGGGATGATGTGTACCGGTAAACCAAGCCGCCGAGCCCAAGGAGGGAAACGATGAAGGAAGGGACGAGGGAGGGAGGGGAGCCGTCACCCGCCGTCTACCTCCCATCGCCCATCCCTTGCAACGTCAGTGTCTCTTTATGTTTAACCCCCCCCCCCCACGACCTCGCCTCTCTCCCCCCCCCAGTGGCCTCCTACAGCGGCATGGGTGCTGCTGAGATGAGCTGTGCGGGGGCGTGCAGGTGCACCGCACAAAACATCAGCGCAACCATACCCGAGTTCTCGCTAACAAAGGTGTGAGAGGGGCCAAGCGGGGTGGGGGTCCCACTGTGCTGTGTTTTACAGCTGCCACTTGGCAGTCTTTGGCTCCTCCCTCGGGCTGGTTTCTCTTTGACCCCCTTCCGCACCTCCCGCCCCCCTCCCGCACCTCCCACGTCTCCCACGTCTCCCACACACACACACACCCTGTGTTTCGCCTCGCGGCCAGTTATTTTAACACACACCCTGTCCCCTCCCTCCCGCGCCCCCCTCCCTCCCTCCCTCCCCCTCCAGGTCCGCCCCGCAGCCGTCACTCTGAGCCCCGGCAAGGCGACGGGCAGCAGCGTGTGTCAGATGCGGGTGATTAACAACAGCCCGGGAGGGGACCACGCCAAGTTCAAGGTGAGATGTGAGGGAGGGGAGGCGGGGTGCTAGCTGCCGCGCACCATTGTCGCCCTTCACCTCTCCCTCCACCTCTCCGCTCAAGGGGATTGACCACCGTGGGGAGTCTCCACTATCACTCACGGCATGGGGTTCTGTTCTTCTTTCCCCCTTCCCCCTCTCCGCACCCCTCGTCCCATCCTCCTCGGCCACCCCCTCCTAGCCGCACCGCCATCCCTCCCTCCCTCCCACACCTCCCTCCCTCCCTCCCGTCCCTCCCTCCCTCCCTCGCCCAACCCCTCCCCTCCTCCCCAGGTCACTGGTTTCATCCTGGCGGAGATGCACCCGGGCAGGGAGGCGGAGATCGGGAGGGTGACGTTCATGAACCACGGAGGGGGTGAGGCAGAGGGGCGGGGGAAACGGGTGCGGCTCTAAGCATGCTGGGGAGGGATGTTGGAGGCGGCTGCTTTCTCCCCTTGCAGTTGTCGCTGCTTTTGCTGCTCCTGCTGCTGCTGCATTTAACATCGTTGCTGTTGCCGAAACGTTTCCGGCTGAGAACATGCTTGCAGGGAGTGGGTGGGTGTATGTATATAGCATGTACACACCCTCCCTTTACCCGCCCACACACCCATTTGCCTCCTGTGCTGCCGCTACCCACCCCGATGCCCATCCGCACGCAGGCGGGACCGTGAAAGCGACGGTGGTGGGCCGGTTGTAGGATTGCTGTAGCCATAGCGAGAGGAGCAATGCAGCCTGAGCCATGCTAGTTTGTCTCTGTACGGCAGACTGTCCGTACGACAGACAAGAGAGCGAGCCAATCTGTCTGTATGTACACATGGCAAAGTGTTAAACCAGATACTAAGAAACCCGTGTGATTTTTGTCGTATGCATGTTTGTAAGGACATCCGGGCGCGCTCCGGTAATTGTGTCGCAGGATGTGGAATGCGGTTGGGGAGTGAGTGATGCTAGGTTCAAGGGGGGGGGGAGAATCCGGCACATGTATGTGTCCTTTCATAACCTCAAGTGCCTATCTAGCATACAACGAACGAACGAACGTGGGCGGATTCGCACGAACGTGGGCGGATTCGCACGAACGTGGGCGGATTCACACGAACTTGGGCGGATTCGCACGAACGTGGGCGCACGCGCACGAGCATGTAGACGGTGAACACGAAGCCCTTCATGCAGCTCAGGTTGTGATTGGCACGTTTCCACCGCCCACACGCGCACAGTACGTTCCAACTCGCGGCCAATTAGCTGCACGCGCGAACACGCACTGCCATGCACGCAAGCCCTTCATGTGGAGGAGACAAACGGTCTTGCAGGCGCGTTTTGGTGTGGCATGGGCAGGCGGCAGGCTGGATGTGGCTTAGCTTGAAACCGTAAGAAGGGATGGCTGAAGCGCAGTTAGCCGGTTGCTATTAACCGTTATGCAGGAGCAGCAGGTGTTGACGAGCATTGTAAGCATGTATTATTGGTGGTACTGTTGGTGGGAGTGCCGTGCTGTCAAACGTGTGTAAGGCCATGACGGAGGCGCGCACACGACCGTACGAGTCGGGTGTGTTGTGCTTGCTGACTTGCGTGCATCGTCGGTGCCCCCGGTTTGCAACCCCCGTTCCAAACCGTTTAGTTATGCGGAGTGGGATGGGGCAGGTTGGAGTTCAGTAGCACGTGTTTTTGCGAACTGGGATGCAGAGCAGACACCGATCCTGGTTGTGGGTGAATGCGCATGTATGTAGTGGATATTTGGTAGTGCATAATGTGGTGTTAGCTGGCGGGAGGGAGCTTCATGCATGGTAAGGGTGAAAGCAATGGCCGTGTAAGGTGTACACCGGAGAATACACGCTGGGTCAGATTCTTGGAGGCTACCCATGGTTCCCTGCCACGCCTTGGGAGCGTTTAACCTGCGATCGATGGGGCACGGGGCTCAAGGAGGCGGCACGGTGTATGGGGTGTATGTGCAAACCGGCATAAAGGTTGCAACTACATGGGTGCCCTACTTGCGCCCCCTACTTGACTGTCAGTTTACACTTTCCCTACTTGACTTGGTTACGTGTGTATAGAAAACAGGCCGCGAGTAGGAACGTACTGGTTACGTGTGTTCCACATGCCGGGTAACCATGCCGGGCACTGCCGGGTGTCCGGTGCCGTCTGCATACATGCGTTATCTATTCCAACAAAGCGAAACCGTGCTATTCTTGAGGATAGTTAGGAAAAAGGCCAAAGGGGCCTGACGTCCGTTTACCGCTGCTTGCAAGGAATGGCGTAAGCGGTCTTGCAAGGTGTTGAGCGGCTGAGCCGCCCGCAATGCTTCAAGCGCAGGTAAGGGCAAGGACAGGGACACGGAAGCAGGGCCCATGAGCGGCAGCCAACTGGGTCTGCTGACAGCGATCTTGCGTTAACTGTGATAAGAGCGTTATCGCACATTCAAAGGTGAATATTTTAGGTATTGGATGCTAATTCCTAGTTGAAAAGAGCTTCATTCCTGCATGACTAAAGCAGGATGCGTGCCGAAGGGCACTCAGGAAATGTCCAGAGGCGCACCAGCTTATGCGACTCCGAAAATGGATCTTGATGAAGACAGGAATGCCGGGTGCCGAGTGAGCAACATTGAGGCAAAAGTGAAAAGCTGGCAACTGTCGTTACACGAGCACGCCGCACACACAACAAATAGGGGCTGCTACATATCCAAGCTAAATAACCTGCATACACTAAAGTTCTGTTTAGTATATATACTACGGTTAAAGGCTTGGGGTAATCTTTAACCTTCGGGTCAGCTGCGTAAAGGTTCAACATACAGGTTCAACACTGTGTCGTTGAGGCCTTCGATGTAAACTGCTTTTGTTCATATACCATTACCAGACAAGCATGTCTGGCGCAGCTTGCACTGCTGCGAAATCCCTTGCAGTGTTAGCCGTCCTGTTGGTCTTTCTGACCGATTTATGTAGGGCAGAGCTAATTGTATTTGATGTGACGCCATTATCTGGTAGCCTTGGCGGTGGAACTAGGTAAGCTATTGGCAGGTGTGGCGCCCGCAACCCGAGTTTCCTCCCTTGGCTGCGGACTGCATGCCTACAAATATAACTTCACGAGGATTGATAATTAATCAGGGGGTCAACGTAAAAACTCCGCCTTTTGTTTTCGCGTGTCATGGGAAACCTTGCTTGCACATTGTCGAAGATTTTCCAGCGGCAGGTTACGCAGCAAAAGTGGCATTCATTCAATCTTTGTACCTCCAGGCTTCGCATCAACGGCACCGGTTTCAGCCAAGACCGGTACACCGGCGGCAATGTGGTCTTCATCGGCCAATATTCGTGCACGGTCGTCAACCACATGTCTTCGGACACCCTGGTAAGATAACTGAATAGGTGATCTGTAGCAGGCAAAATGGAGCCCGCATACCGCATCCCGTGCAGCTGGAACCGGTATGAACGTTTGTGATGTGCGAAACTCCTGTTCATACCACGCACACCATAAACGAATCTAGGCGTGAACAGAAGGAGTTTTTTCAACAAGAATTATTGCTTGCTATTTCCGTGTTTTTTTCCCAAAATACCTCACGTGCATGCCTGGGGTCCCCTTTGACGAGGGGTACTTGTGTACGGGTTTCGCCGCCACTCTTAGGAACCACCGCTACTCGCCGTATCCCCTTGCAATTGCTACCGTTGCTATCACACCCGTCGCGCAATGGATAGTGATGTTCCTACTAAATGAATATCTTCAGTTTTTCCATCCTATGTTACACAACCCACGGTCGGTTGGCTGCCATACAACGTTTGCCGTGCTTTATTTGCGCAGATCACGTGCGTCACGGCGCCGGCTCCCCTTCCTGGGTCGTACGACATCACGGTCGTTGTGGACGGTATTGCTACAACGACCTTTTCCCAAAAGTACACGTACGACTCGAGCTACACGCCATGTACGTGTGTGCCTAGGTTCACTTGCTCCCCTCCACTGTCCTCTCCTTTCCTTTCCTTTACTTCCCTACATATTGGAAGCACCTCTTAGGGCACATGTGTGGTGTGATAGTGGTACATGTAGATTACGAACCAGGGGAGCGAGGGGGCTGACGTGTCCCCCTCGTGCTGCCATGTTGTTGTGCCGGTGCCCCGTCTGTTGTTTTCCCTTCCCGCCCTTCATCTACTAGTCCTCTTGCCCGAATACCAACTCACTCGGCCCACCTGTTACCCCTGCTGCTGCTCCCTGGGAACCCTTAGCCCCCCTCCTCATGCCCTCAGCAATCCCCTTACTCCCAAATCCTTCTTTTCCCCAATTTTCTATTCCACATGCCTTCGACTCCCGGCTTCACGTAACGCTGCATCCCTCCTGCCATCCCCCACCGCTATCCCTGCTGCAGACGTATCCTTTGCACTGCCTTCCGCTGGTCCGCCCGGCGCGACGATTCAACTTCTAGGGTGGCCCTCGTCGCGCCCTATCTGGGAGTGTGCCAACACAGGCAACCAGCAATACGCCGACTCGCCTTCTTGTTTAGGCGCCATTTTGGTGGGGGATTACGCTGCCAAATTTCCCGCAGGAGCGAAGGCACTTGAAAGCCTCGGGTATTCTTCCTATTTCGGCACGCTTTACAGCGTGAATATTACCGTATCTGCTCCAGACGATAGTTATGGAACTGCGATCAATAACAGCACTAGTATGGGGTACGTTAATGCTACGGACGGTGGGAGCAGCAGCAGCGCCGGCAGCAGTACGACCAGCGCTACTGCATCATCCTTGCGAGTTCATGGCAGGCTTGGTACGGCAGATAGCGTCAACATCACGGTACGGCGGTTATTGGGAATGGTGGCTGGGCAGTTGCAACGCTGGGCAACGCAACCGTACAGCATTGTGGGGAAGCAACGATGTGGTGTTAGCTAGGGGAGGAGTAGAGGGAATTTTCTACCAGTGACAGAGGGAGAAGTATTTGCGGGTAAAGCGGTGCATACGGTGTGGCTACTGCGTGAGGATATGCAGTAAAAGGCGAGTCAAAGGGATGCATGCACGGGATGCATTACTTACTAGATGGAGAACAGGGAAGCGCATGCCGGCCTTGCTCATCCAAACCATCTCTGATCGCCCCTTTTTTAAGCCAGACCCCCATGGCTCATATGTCATATCCCATATCCTTGGATGTAACCACTCCGCTCGCCCGTCCCAATGCCAATACCCGAACCCAGATCAACTACGAGGGCAGTCTCAGCGGCAGCCAACCTGTCGTACAGCGCACGGCATACCGTACAACACTCGACGGAGTGCCGTACATGTACCAGCAGTATGCCGAGGTCACAGGCATTTCACCGACCCGTGGGTCTCGCGCCGGCGGCACAATTTTGACTATCTCAGGTCGTGGATTTCCGACACTTGATTTGGGACTCGGAGATACTGTTAATGTGACGATCGCGGGTGCACCGTGTACCGTACGACAGTCAACGTACGACAAGATTATTTGCGAGACCGGACCGATTCCTGCTAACTACACGCCGCCAACGCCACTGAAGGGGCTGTACCCGGGAATGCGAGGCATTGAGTACGAATACTATAACGCGTAAGTTGCTTATCACTGTGGCAGATGCTACTTGCTAAGTTTCTAGTTCATGAGGAGTCAAGGATCATGGGAAAGGTCAAGCTGCACTGCGTTTTAACGCTAGCTGTTAGCCTGCTACACCTATCCGCATCGTATGATGCCTATTCCTTTTTGGTGTTCCTTTCTTTACACTGTATCAGGACGTACTACGTACAGCCCTGTCCAACTCCTGCTCTTGCAGCTGCAGCTTTTTACTGGACCATGGCTGTCCGACCAACCAAGCCACACCTTTTGTACTGCACCACAGGTCCATCTATGCACTATGGGTCGGCGTCGACGTGAGCAACCTCTGGTGGCTGAACAACACGTTGAAGGTCGATAAGATCCCGGGTAGCTACCGGACTGTGTTGACGGGAGTGTGGGAAACTCCGCCACTGGATACCAAGGCATCCGATGTGTCGTACTTGGGAAAGGTAAGTACTGAGGTCACTGTACATCGTCACGGTTACTGTATATGTCGTGCATGCAATGTACGGCAAGGACGCGTTAGTACGGTGGTTAAGTTGGTTATACGCAGCTGTGGTAAGATATTGGGTTTTCTGTGTTGTCCTATTTTATCACATGCTGGTCAAACGTACTTACCGGTACATTCATAGTAGGGGGAACCGATTCTAGATCCTTCCGCTTCTCCTCCTCCGCTTATCCTCCCCGTAGACATTCTTCGTCGCTCCATATGACGGCGACTACACGTTTCACGTCTCCTGTGACGATGTCTGCACCCTCAACGGCACATACGTCATGGTAAGTTAGGTCGTTCGTTGGTTGTTGGTTGGTACTTGATTGATGCTTTACCCGGCTTTGTTGGCAAAATAACAAGCACTACCAGAGGGATTGGCAATGGTCTGAGTCAGTCAGCATAGAATGGTATTACGGTTGCTCTGCCAGGGCTTTGGATTTTTGGGGTTGGCCAAACGGACAGTAACTTGTGCTTCGTCCGGGTCCTCTTGTACCGGTGCCGTTTCAATACGGCTCAGGCGTACGGACCGAATCTGACGCAGACACAACCAAGACATATTTTTATCATATCGAACGTATTGGGGCTCACATGACATAACAACATGACATTACTTTCGTTGCGGTCTACGCGTGTTTTGTCCCTCCACGCAGGCCAACGGTACGACAGCCGTTAACCAGGTCTTAGCGTACTCGAGGTCCTTTACTTACTGGAACGACTGGTACCATTATCCATCCCAGCAATCCCAACCGATTACACTTAAGTCGCGTCAACCGATTCTGTTGGAGGCAGCCGGCTGCAACGGCTGGGGCTCTGGCGGAATGCAAGTCGGTGTCACTGTACCCAGCGATACACCAAAGTAAGGAAACTACGCAGTCGCACCTACCGTATCAAATTGTCGAAATTGTTTAACGCGCACGCATCGCACAATTTAAGATGTAAAGCTGCTTTAGCTCAGAGCAGATGCTCATGCTCAGCGGAGGCAACAAGCAGCTACCTCGCCTCTCCTTATCTTCTCTCTCCTTGCTTTGCCGGCCGTCACCCTAACATGCCTCCTTCCTTGTCCCCTTAGGCTCGGCTCACTTGCATCCAATTAACGTGGATCGTCACCAAGGGTTGCCATGTCCATTCACAGCGTCATACTTTTTCTCTTCCCCTGCCCCCTCTTCCCTCTTCCTTCTTCCCAGGTTCAACTCCATTCCTGAGATACAGACCCTCATGATCAGCAGCGCGAGCAGGAGCCGAACGGTTACCATTAAGTACCGCTGGCCGGCAGGACACAGGTGAGTGGTAACGGCAAGACAACAGTGGATGGCTCATACGGTAGTGGAAAAGGGGGTGGCAATGTTTGGAAATTCCTGATATTGTGCATTTTCGCCGTAACCTAGGCTTCCCGTATGGCTCCTCTCCCCCTCCTTCTCATCGTCCTCCGTTTTCCTTCCCTTGCAGGTTCGTGTTTAACATCACCATTACGGCACCAACACCCGAGGCTCTGCAGGTGCGTGTGCCGTACAGCCGCCCACGGGCCGTACACCATGTAGCACATAGTGATATCCCCTATATCGGCATGCATATACATTAATTTACCTATACTTGTGTTGGGTGTGTACCTTTGGGTAACGGTGCCGCAAAGACGTGATCCATGAGCCGTTGCTGCATTCTTTTAACCACCAGCACCACCACCAGCGCCCTTACTAGCAACCCCGCACGCCGCACCCCTCTCTTGTCCACGCCACCCCCCGCCCCATCAGTCCCCAGAGGTGGGGGTGCAGCTCACCTTCAATGGCAATGCCAGAACACGCTTCTTCCCGGCCCTTCACTCCCTCTCGCAAATCACCACCATGATTGCGAATACGTTGTGGATTACTACGAATGAGATCGGGATCTTTTACGACAATAGCCTTAACGGTACGACAAGCATGCGCTACCAGGTAAGGGGCTGGCAGCTGCTGCGATTTTGTTTGCTTGGTGGTTGCCTGGGTGTGTTGGGATATAGAGATTAGCAAGGTTTGTTGCTCCTCCCTTCTTAACTTCTACTGCTCCTTTCCTTTCTTCGCATCTACGGTAGCTCTGTCCAACGGTATGCACGCAACCCTTTTTCTCCTTTTGCTTTTGGTAAACAAGGTAGTCTGAAACGTCGGTCCTTCTTGGTCCTTCTCTCCTCGCAGATCGGTATCACCACCCCGGCCTCCTACATAGCTTTCCTGAACTGTACAGCATCCCTGTACACAACGGGCCAGCCGCCCTCTCCGCCTCCGCCACCTCCACCGGCCACGGCCTGCTCGTACGCAGCCCCCCACCGAGCCATGCTTGATACAACGTTGATGGGAGATGGCAGTTCTTCATATCGCCGCAACCTGATTCCCGATATCTCGACGTGGCAGGTGAGTAATCGCTGTGCAGCATTTAGTTAGTACATAATTGTAGGTACGAGACATGTCCTCATGATAAATACGCGACGACAGGGTTTCAAGACGTCGGGGAACAACCTCTTTCCCCTCAATGGCTAGCTGCCTATACGGCTTTGCTGTCCTAAAACCAGTCATCTTAAGCTAGATAATGCGCTGATTATTTATTGTAATTCTCCAATTGAAACTGTATCTTTCTGCGATCACATTCCATTCTGCAGGTTTCGGCGGTGTCTGCTCCCATGGCTGCCGTCACCCCCAACGGCAACTGGCGGTTAACGGCGGTCGGTGCTGGGTCTGCAACACTGCCTTGGAACGCCGGCGGCGGTGCCCTGCAGTCCGCCCTGAGCGCCCTGGTGCCCGGGCTGTCCTTTAGCATCGGCGGGGGTTCATCGTAAGTAGCAGTATGGCAGTTTACTTGCGTTGTGCCGTCAGCACTCTAATTTTGACTGCGCATGCATCCGGAGTTGCTGGCACCTGGCTCGTTGTTGGGATCGAGGAGGCCTTTCATCCTGCATGACTAGAGAATGCTGGGTCCATCTCAAATTGCTATCTTCGCTCCCATCGTCACTTGGTTCATTCTTTGTTTTTGTATTATGACTGTGAGCAGTCATGGCGTCTGCATTGCGATGTGTCTGGTGCCTTGCACTGTATTTCCTGGAACCCCAATGTTTGGGTTTTGACGTCCACAGATGGCTTGAGGGTGGGTTCCTGGCAAACACCTGGATTATCACGTGGAGCATCTACCATGCGAACAACGTACCTCAACTAATTGTGGCCGCCGAAGCTGACATGCCGGCGGGTAGCTTCATCTCCGCGACTGTGACCCAGAACGCGAGTACGCAAATTGACGGGACATTCCGCGTGTCATACGGTCCGTACTGTGAAAGCGTTACGATTTACACGGGTGACCAGGCTTCAGACGTCCAGACGAAGCTTGGCACGCTTCCTGGAATGAGCAGTAAGTCCTGTCCAACACGTAAGAAAACACGTTTAGCACCCTACACCTGTTTGCCTCGAGTGAAGCAATACCGGTACCTGTATTAGGCTATTGGTATCTGTGTCGAATCCTGCCTTGTCAACTCGACCCTCTACAGCAACACCAACTCACCCGCTATATACCCTCATTCCTTTCTCCCTTTATCAACCCAACCTTAAATCCAAACCTTGGTTGTGTTGCGTCCCCAGATACATGCCCATAACTTACCTTGCGCCCCGACGCCAATCTTGGCCTTCCAACCCCAACACCGCCCCCCTTGACCCTGCAGCGCCTATCAGTGTCACCCGGAACGGCGACGCCTACTTCTCTGGATACATCTCATGGAAGGTAAGGTGGCGTATCTTTTAAAGTCCCGTACAAAGTTTATCCTTAGATGGCTTCCATAAGTTTGTTGCTTCCATGCAACTGCTAGCCCAGCTACACTCCTTGTGACGTGTTTCGGTAAGCCTGTATGGTACCCCCTTCTGCTTACCATGTGGGACAGGACATTGTAAACGATTAGAGCTCTGCCGTTGGACCCGGCAAATGTGTGGTGACTGTCCCCTGCGCTGCCCCCGTAACACTATAACCATGTTCGCTGCTGTATCTACTCCATAGCCAACCACATCGACCATTCATCAACTAGCAGAGCTCTACGTGACCAATTGATAACCGATGACACTGTTTAATGCAGGTGACGTTTGATCCCCTGGGCAATCCGGGCAACCAGCCCCTACTTCGGGTGATCGACGCTTCAAACGTCACCGGAACCGATATCCGTGTCTACGTCACCGAGGATGTGGCGGGAGACTACCGGCAATTCCATGCACCGTTGCCAACGGCCCTAACGGCTTTGGCGGTTTCATCGCCTGTGGAGCTGTCAGTAACGGTCAACGGCGTACCATCAAGCTGTGCTCATCCTTCAGGAGGTCCCGGTTGTACGTTTCAGTACGACAACTCTTTGACGCCGAACCTGACGTCAGTCAGTCCGTCGTCGTACGACTTCGCGGGAGGCCAGGATTATTTGGACATGAACATCTTTGGTGTCGGGTTTGATGCTACAGTTAACGGTACGTGTCATTGTGCAAATGGGGACGTGCTCCTGTTTGATGGGGTACGGTATTAACTTTGAATGCTAGAGTAAGACGTGGTCAGCATTTGCGGCTTGTCCATTGCAGCACCATTGCGTAAAGAGTCGACCATAGAGGTTATTTACAAGAGCTTAGCCTTCTATACTCCATATCTGGCCTCTGAAGAGCGTGAAGTTACCTCGCCCTCCCCTCAGGAAAGCATGATACCCCTTGCCCCATATCCTCCTCCCAACCCCCCAATCACAAGCCTCCCATTGCAAGAAACTGAAAAGCACTTTCACATCCCCCGCATTCTTTCACCCACCCACCCTATATTTATTACCTCTTTTTTTCCACCTACCCCAGGCAACGAAGTCTTCCTGGATGACGGCACCCCCTGCAACGTCACCTCCGCAACCGCCACCAACATCGTCTGCCGCCTGCCTCCAACCGCAACCGCCGGAGCTCACCTGGTATACGTGCGTGTGGCTGGCAAGGGCTTCGCCCTCAAGCTCAACGCAACCCTTGCAACTGTTAATGTGAAGGTCCTTGCCCTGACGGGCGTCTCGACGCCCGTCATACCGCCGTTGAACGGTGGTGGCGGCGTTACTGGCGGTGCAACGCTGTTCAACATCAGCGGTCGTGGGTTCGATTCATCCGTCTGCGATCGCAACCGTGTTTCTGTTGGCAATGTACAGTGCGGGGTGCTAAGCTGCACGTGGAGCAGGCTGCAGGTGGGTGGGGGTTGCTTGCGTGTGGGGGAAAGAGTTTGAAGGGAGGGGGGAGAGGTGGGTTGCACCTATGGAAAGGGGATAGGGATAGGATCCTAACAGGGGTCGATTGTAGAAATTAGCATGCGTTAAGTACGGTATCATATTTCAATTGGCTAGTTTTTGTAGCGTGCTCTTAGACTTCCCATGCCCGCTACAATCTTTGCATGCCCCTCCTCAAAAGCTTAAACCTCTTGAAGTTTGTGCAAGGGTTTGCCGATTGGTGCTTGCCTCTCACGCGCACAGGTGCTGTGCCAAGGCGTATCCAGCCCTGCGGTGGGCAGCGCTGCAACCGTCCTGGTGCAAGTTTTTAATTCCAAGAACCAAGTCGTCGACACGACGGCAAACGCAGCGACGCCCATTACGATGGTCGTTGATGCAAACGCCCCACGGTTGGCGGTTAGCTCGTCACTGTCAATGTCGTCAACCGGCGGCCAGATCATCCTAACTGCCATCGGCATGGACAATTGGCCCGTCCGCAACATCTGGCTGCTTCCTGGTATCAACACCACAGCCCTTCAGTTCAGCTCTGGAGCACTGAATGCCGTACTGTCACGTGCCTTCCGTTCCCCAACCACCTGTAGCATTTCCAGCGGTAGCTCAGTTACATACGACAGCAGTGCCGGACAGTCAGTTGTTATTTGCTCGGTACCTTTCATCCCCAACGGTGTTTACAGTGCCGTTCTGGAGCCAGATTCGCCTGTCAACACACGACCTTGGGTCATCGCACGGGAAGTCATCACGTTTGGGATGACGGTGACCGACATTCGACCTCGTGTTGCCCCCATCGGTGGCGACTCAATCCTCACCATCACCGGTACCGGCTTTGCACCAGGCGCACGAGCAGCTGAGAACATTGTGCTCATTCCCGTACCTGTCTCCACAACGAACCTCAATGGACTCCTTCCCTGCGACGTCCTGAATGCCACGGAAACGGAGATCCGGTGCCGTACACGTCCTCACCTCGCCACGGATGCCAGCGCCTCTGATCCATTCGCCCGCGTCCTCGAACCACGTGCATCCTACCCACCATCTCCCGGACCAATTGCCGTCGTGTCTTGTGGTGATGCAGCACTCGGAAATACCTCCTCACTATACGACATCAACAAAGTCGCCTGTTGGGCACAACCGACATCAGCTCGTGCGGACGTCTGCGGTACCGGAAGCAACCCCTCCGCAAACGCTGACGCTTGTACCTTCTTATACTCTTGGGATGTTACACCCTACATACATACCTTCCTTAACTACACGGTATACCCAGGTGCCGTCATCAGTATGGGCGGTGTCCTTCTGGATACCGTCATACGACTTGACCTCATAAGGCCCGATGGCGGCATCTCTGACTCCACACCAAATTCCGAATTTTGGGTTCAATGGCCCTCGAAGATCACCTGGAAGGTCAATCCCGCAGTCCCCGCCGGTGTGTATGTCATCTCCATGTGGGTATCGATAGGTGGCGCGGGAGGAAGGTCTGCCGACCCCAACAAGATGTCCTACATGGCAGTGCTGCCCCGAATCGATGGAGTGATCGGAGGTGTGGGTTCGTTGGGCGGTGCCGGCACGTTGACAATCACGGCGAACGGCGGGGCGCGCTTCAATGCGACACATCCAAGTATGAACAAGGTATGTGAGGCCGGGACGGAACATAATAGGGTACATGGCACGTTCAGGAAAAAAGGTAGAGTGTGTGTGTGGAGATGTGTTGAGCGTGGGTAGTGGGTGGTGCGGTGGTGGCTGTGGGCCCCTACCTTATGGGGGTGGAGACAACCAGAATTAGAATGGGGATGAGATGGGGTCGGGAGGGGACTGGCCAGTCATGGAGGTAGGACCTGCTGTGCAAGGGGAGGGTAGCTCGACATGAATTGAAGCAGCTGGGCCGCGTAAGCGTGCGTTTTGGGGAGTGTGAGTAGGAATGAGGTAGGAGGGAGGATTCCCTAATGACCGCTGCTGATGTCCTGTCATAAACTGAAAACCATACCATTCAATAAGTATTACTGCCCTCTCCCAGCCCCTTGCCCCATCACCCTGTCGCCCTCTTCCCTCCACCTCCCCTCGCAGGTGTCCATTGGCTCGGTGCCCTGCTCCGTCACCTCCGTCAACGCCAGCCACCTCACCTGCGCGCTGCCCCTCCTAACCGGCAACGTGAGGGCGGAGTTCTGGAACACCTCGCTCTACTCCTGGTCGGCTGACGTGTACAACCTCACCAATCCAGGTGGGGTGAGGGTTGGGGTGCGGCTGGGTGGGCTAAAAAGTGCTTAACCCATGGTCTAGCTGGGGGACAGCATCTGCTGGATCATTCATCTTCTTACCGGACCAATGCTGTGCTTTGGACCCAGGTTAAGGGCAAGGTGGGGTGGGTAAGGAGCGAGAGGGTTTAAAGGCACGCCACCTCCCTCTCAACGCACACCAAGTAACCACCCAGCTAGGCGCCCAACGCCTCCACCGGATTGAGCAACCCCCAATGGCCGATACCCCCCCTACGCTGACCTCCGCTCGACACTACTCGTGGATGATACCTATCTCATTTATTAGTAAGCCTTCTCCCGTCTGCTTCCATCCCGTTCCCCTCCCCGGACCCCCATCCATATCCTCAAATAGACTACGTCACCTTCTACCCAGCTGCCTCCAACAATTGGGACGTCGAAAAACCGCCCCAAGTGCTAATGTGGCCATACACCAGCAGCCCCAACCCGGCCGTTATTGCAACCAACTACTTTGCGGCTCGCTTCACCTTCTACATGCGGATCAATACGACCGGCATCTACGCATTCACTTTTTGGGCCGATGACTATGCGAGGCTCTATATGGTGCGTTTCAGGATGGATGCGACGCTGGACTGCTGTACCATACACCCTCTAACTGTTTAGTTGCCATGCAAGACGGAGACCCGGGCGCTTGGGGCCGCCGCATAACCCACCATCCTGAGTGCTTACAATCACTCGTTCCATCCTGTTTTAACCTTTTCCGTCGTCATTTGAACTGCGGCTTATCTTCACCGTTTGCGGTTGTCAGCGCCAATCACTGCCAAACAATGGCCGTACACTTCGCTACCTGGCATGTGGCTACCCCTTTGCCTCACTCCTCCCAGGACGACAAGTTCATCGGCAGCAGCGGCCCCTGGGACCAGCCCAGGCTGAACATCACGGCCGGCATGCATAAGTTCGTGATCACCTTTTTTGAGTCAGCCGGGAACGCCGGTCTGGAGCTCTACTGGGATTTTGGAGACGGATGGGTGAGTAGCGGGATGGGAGGAGGATGGAGGGGCAGAGAGATGGGTGTGTGGCTGTGCTTGTTCGTGATGCAGGTAGACGGGGACTCATATGACCGTTTTGGGTCTTCTAGCTGTAGATGTTTTGCCTGGCTGTCTGCTCGTGCCGTCTACCTCCAAAGAAAGTAAATCCCTGCTGCCTCCTGCCATTCTATTGTAGCACAAGTGCCGCACCTGCCCACAAATATGGCTTTCTCTTCGCAAAGGTGCCCCGATACTTTACATATATTCCACGCATGCCTGCATCAAATACGGTAAGGCATCAGCAACATGGCTATCAATTTTTATACGTACCTGCCTTTGCTTATTCTCGCATTCCCATTCTCCTGCAAAGGACATTGCCCCCCCCTCTTCCCCTAACCTTCAGTGTCCCCTCCCTTCCCCTAGCTGTCAGCGTCCCCTCCCTTTCCCTAACCTTCAGTGTCTCCTACCTTTCCCTAAATTTCAGCGTCCCCTCCCTTCCCTTACCCTTCCTAACGTTCCACACAGTGGAGCAATCGTCGTCTCCCCTGGAGCACGACCATGCCCTTCCCCGCCGCAATCCCCATGAACATAACGGTAACGGTCAACGGTGTACCTGCCGTTCACGACTGCCCTGGATCCGACTTCCTGGATCTCACTTTACCGGACAGTAGCGGTACGGCCACGTCGCCAATCCCTAACGAGCCAATGAACATTACCGTACCGTCCGGCAACTGCAGCTACGTCTTTACAGGCTACCGTACGCCGTACATCACCGCCGTATCCGGATTGCCAACGGTCAGCTCTGGTGTGCCAGGAAACGTTAACGTCACTGGAGTCTTCCTAACCACCAATCCCTCGGAGCTCAACGTAACAGTTGCTGGCTATCCGTGCACGAATATGACCTTGCGACCCACGGGTCAGACGGGCGTTTCTAGCATCGTTTGTACAATTCCAGTGCTGCCCGGCAGAGTCCAACGGCAAATCATCGTTGAGGTTGCCGGAAGGGGCGTGGCTCGAGGCACGTTTAGCCTGAGCCCGTTCGCAACGACGGTTGGTTACCCGATGGCAGTTACGAGTGTCGTACCCAACCGGATCTCCCATGGAGGCGGCGTGGAGCTGGTCATCAACGGGTAAGAGAGGGATAGGGTCATGTACGAGAGCAAGGATTGGGATCCGGCATGTATAGAGATAATTGAGGTGGTGCTTTCCGGAGGATACACGGACATACTGGCGCAAGCACAGTGGCTGTTTGTGCACTCGTAAGCAAGCATAGGATATCCTTCCTGCACCCTCCCGTGCACCCTCCGCAGCTACGGGTTCGTGCCGTCCTCCGGTCCCCTGGCGTTCATGGGCCGGTCCATGACGGTTTACTTCTCCGACAACAACCCCCTGCCCAGCAACCTGACAGCCAGCCAGCTGCCACTGCTACCCCTGGTTAATGGTAGCAGCAGCAGCAGCAGTTCTAACAGTCAGGTGGCCCAAGGCTCATCAGCGCTAGCTCCAGTGCTAGTCAAAGCGGTAAACGCAACGCAGATGAGATTGACAATTCCGAGACTGATGTCGTACTTCAGCCCAGGGTATGTACGACGGATCTTTTCTTGGCCAACGTTCGCGTGTTTCCTCGGTCATTGGTGCGGGTAAATGTGCATGGTATACTAGTATTGTATCTGATTAGTTCACGCCTTAGCTATTAGGTGGCGATGTCTAACTTACATTGCTGGGTAGCACCTGCGCATCACATGCTAGAATCGCTATAATAGTTGCAGCTGCACACGTTAACGGTATGTTTGCAACCTGCACCTCACCTGTACGGCTGCAGGTACGAGTACACGAAGACCATTACTGTGTCGATCGTCGACACCAACACCACCAACGTCTACCCTCAGGTGCGTTTGCGTCTACCCTTGTCCGTTTAGCGGCGGGCATATATGCAATGAGTACACGTTATAGCACGGGGAGCGCCCCTTATGACTGCTGTTGTTCCTGCTTGCTTAGGCTTAGTTGGCCGCCTAACGCTCGTTGAGCCTTCTCGTAAGTGGTTGATTCCCTGTTCAGACGTATGCATCTCCCTCTTTATCATCCCCTTTTCCAACTCTGATACCTGTTTCTTTCCCTTCCTTACCCCTCCCCAAGACCTACACTACTTACGAAAACCACACTACTCCCTTGCTTGAACCCAGCTTTACCCAACTTTCTTTATCCCATAGTACACTGCCCGATTCCTCCCTTCAAAATTGTCCTCTCGCCTTTCCCTTTTCCAACCCTCCCCCCAGACCGTCACCTTCACCATCACCCTAGACAACAAAGTCACCCCCAATGTCACTTACGTCACCCCGGCTCCCCTCGACGGCCTCTCCCTCTCCTCCAACGCCCCCCTCACCATCGTCTGGTCCCTCAAGCTCGCCACCGGAACCACCCTCACCGCCACTCCAGCCGGCCAGCTCTCCCGCGCCTCCATCTCACTCACACCGCTCCCCTCCGGCGCGCCCGCGGTACCCAACCTCGCGAACTTCACCCTGGCGCCCATCAACTGTACGGCACCAACCGTCATCAACTCGACCTATGTGTCGTACGTTTACAGCGAAACGCTCAGGTGCACGCTGCCCCCAGTCTCGCCGTCCTCCTCTTCTTCAGGTGGAGGTGAAGGTCAGTTGCTGCCTGCCAACGTGTATAGCGTGTGGGTGTGCCTGGCTGGCGGCGTCAATGGCAGCACCAGCGCTAGCGGCTGTGCTGCGGGAGCCGGCACGGTGACGGTGCCGCTGCAGGTGACCGGAGTCAGTCCGCAGCGGGGCAGCTATGGAGGTGAGCGGGTGATGCTGTGGTCGGGCCAAAGAAAAAATGTGAAGCAGGTGGGGTGGAAACAGTGAGCTAGGTGTTTTTGCTTGGTAGGCGAAATACCTCTAAGCGTTCTACCTTTACACTCCAGAGTTCAGAACCCTCGCAGTTCTCGTGCCTCATACTTTTGTGTTTTTGCTTTTCTCCTTACCTTCCTTCGCAGGCGGCACCATTGTCACCGTCACTGGACAGGGATTTGCACCGGATACCAATTTCGTGACGCTTTATTTCGGATATACGCCATGTGTCGTACTTACGGCAACGGCAACCAACGTCACGTGCCAGATTAAGTCTCCGCTTACACTGAATGCTACCAGCAATGGCACTTCCTCTCCTGTCGTACCACCAACATCGATGACGTCAGCACTGCGGGTTCAACCGTCAGAAGGCGCACCCTTCTGGAACTTCTCTGAAGCTGCCACATCGTACACGTTTGACCCCGCGTTAACTCCTGTCGTACAAGGTGTCTCACTGACCCGCGGGTCAACAGAGGGCGGCACGGACCTTGTCTTCACTGTTTCCGGCCTCAACAGCGCTGTCGTAACCTCATCTGACATCAGCATTCTCCTCGGCAGTAGCATCCCTTGTTCCAACGTAACGCTTGTCAGTTCCACCACCGTAACGTGTACGACGCCCAAACCGCCGCAACCAGCACCTCAGGGCCCCCTGCAAATTCAGTTCTCAGTTAGGGGCAAGGGTTTTGCGCTTTGTACGGCAACATATGAGTACGTCAACCTCTGGTCTCGCCACACCACTTGGGGTGGCGGTCCATTGCCGGAAGCAGATTCCCTGGTGTACATTCCGGGGGGAGTAACAATCATGTTGGATATGAGTCCACCCCAGCTTTCAACGCTGGTCGTGGAGGGAATTCTGTTCTGGGACGACACCGCGACTGAAGAGATTGAGCTTCGTGCCAAGTACATTCTCATTCGTGGCAACGGTACACTAGCCATCGGCAGCGAGTCAACACCCTACCCGGGTCGTGCTAAGATCACTCTCGTCACGTTGCCTAATGTGGACATCGAGCTTCCACTGTACGGCTCAAAGGTACGGTAATAACTTGGAGTTGGGAGCAGCTTGAGGTAGTCCTTCTACCTCTAATCGGTACCTCTTGGCATGCACCTACATTCCCTTTGCTGTCGCCGTGTCTAGAAATAGCTCAATCCGATGTTCATATCCGATGTTCTCTACCGAAGTCCAGCGGCGGAGGCGTTTAAGGGTCAGAGATGCTTGGAGCCCTGTCGGCTTGTTTGTCCACTTGGAGCCTCCACTTCCTCTTTCCACGACCCTAGTTGCCTAATCTGCGACATCTCGCAATACCGGTCTGTCATGCCACGTCGTGCCCTTTGTAACATGTGTACAGGTCATCGGCGTCCGTGGCGGCAAGCTTGTCCTCCACGGCCAGCACAAGGTGCCCACCTGGACCCGCCTCGCGGCAACCGCCGACCCAGGGGCCAGCACTATTCTGCTTGACGGCCCTGTCAACTGGGTACCTGGCGACGAAATCGCCATCGCATCTTCCTCCTTCTTCACCAATGAATCCGAGTCCGCGACCATCGTGAACCTGTACTATGATGTTGGGTCCAACGTCACGTTTGTGGACCTGGACCAGCCCCTGAACTACACACATCTGGGCGTGATTGAGGCGATTGCGGAGGGGCAGGTGCAGCCCGTGGCTGGGGCAGGACTGGGGCCCGATGGCAAGCCGGGCAGTGGCGGCCGGGCGGTGATCGATCTGCGGGCTGAGGTTGGGGTGCTCAGCCGCAACGTGGTACTGCAGGTGAGGGCTGGGTAGGGTGGCGGGGGCAGGGGGTGAGGTGGTGGGGTGTGCTGTGGTTTGGAGGGGTGAACTGGGGGGGCGGGGTTGCCTGAGTGCGAGAGATGGGTGGGAGGTGGGGGATGTGCGGGATCGGGAGTGGATGGGAAAGGCTTGGGGGTTCAGGGAGTGCTTAGTTATGCTTATCTGCGGGGTTAGTGAGCCAGGCCAAACGGGCTAGGGGTTGCAGGTAGACCGTAGTGTGTGTTGTGACATGTGTTTGTTGGGAAAAAGGTCACGGTTGCATCCAAATTCCATCCATCAAGGATGTGCCACCTTCACATATGTATACAGGGCGACGAGGATTCCGAGCGCTTCCAGTTTGGTGGAACAGTGATGATCTCCAGCCCTGCCGGACGTCCCAGAGCACATGCGCGCTTCGAGCAGGTGGAGGTGCGCCAAACGGGCCAGGCCTTCCGACTGGGACGCTACAGCATCCACTTCCACATGCATGGAGACCTGGAGTACAAGTCGTACGTCCGAGGCTGCGCCATCCACCACACCTATAACAGGGCCCTCACCATCCACGGATCTCATCGTGTGCTGGTGCAGGACAATGTGGCATACCACTGCATGGGACATACCTTCTTTTTGGAGGTACGTCAAACGCGCAAGGCATACAGCGTGTGTAACCTTTTTGTGGTTAGTTGAATGGTTTTGAATAATCTCAGTACCTCGCCATATAAGCTCGCGGTTTTACTCTACCATCGTTTGCCTTCCTAATGGTAAATTGCTTCTTTACCAGCGTGGTCCTGATCATCACGCCCGCCTTGCCTTGCACTACCATACCAACACAGGATGGCATCGAGACGGGCAATTGGTTTGAGGGCAACCTAGGGTTTACAACGCTCCAGTCGCCAGCGCTGCTGAACACGGATACTACTCCTGCCGTTTACTGGGTGACAAACCCCAACAACACATACAGGAACAACGTGGCAGGAGGTAAGGTGTTAATTTACCATACAACCTCTGAGCTAGGCCCTGCGGTAGGGCTACCGTTTTGTGTACCCCGTTTGAACACTATCCAGGTGGGCCCTTTCCTATCGCACACGTTTTCACCGTCCTGCACGCTTTTCCGCCGTGCACGCAGGTTCTGATGGGTATGGCTTCTGGTACCGCCTCAATCAGTACCCAGATGGACCGTCTTACACAACCACCGTCTGCCCCGCGTATACCCTTCTGGGAGAGTTCAAAAACAACCGCATCCATTCCAACATGTTTTACGGCCTGCGCGTCTTCCCAGTCTACTACCCGAAACAAGATCCGTGTACGCCCATGTCGAATTCGTACATTCAAATGCCTGCCGTATTTGATGGCGTGGTGTCGTACAAGAACGGCATGAAGGGCGTCATTGCTACTCAGGTAGGTGTGGTGGGTGGGCTGGGTGGGCGGGTGTCATTATTGGGTAGAAGGAAATCAATGTCGTAGTGCGTTTTCTGTCAGCTGTAGGATTGTGTTCCCACCAGCCGAGCACCGCACCTTGCTAACAGCCTTCTGCTCGTACAACACAGCCGTCCTTCCGTTATCTGCTGCCGTTGTATCACATTGTTACCTCCCTTGTTATCAGCTTAATAACTAATGCTGCATGTATTTTTTGCGAAACACTTGCTGGCTGGTATTCCAACGCACGACACACCTTGGCTCCTCCCCGCAACTGTAATGCTGCCGTAAGCCCAACCTGCCGTTCACTTGCCCAGATTGGCTACGTCATCTTCGCCAACGTGACGACGGCTGACAACGGTGCGGGTCCGCTGCAGCACACTGTGAACGGCAAGGACACCGGAGCGGGTGTCGAGGTGACCTGGGTGGTGGATGACCGCAACCGGGCGGATGTGCCCATCGGCTGGATGGCAGGTGAGAGGCGCAGCTGCGGGGGGTGCGTGGGGGTTCTATTCTTATCTACGACTAGACCATGATGTAGGTGTGACATTGGTAACCCGTTGGAAATCCCGCTGACGATTTAGTCCGTACCACCTCATCTCACCTCTATCCCTCGCTCAATACACTCCTTTCAGGCCTACGCAACGCCATTCTCATCAGTCGTACGGCAGCGGGCAAGATTGGTACAGCAGGGCAGTGGCCCAAGCCCGGTCGCAGGGTCTCCGGCGTCATCACGCAGAGCGCCCCCCAGAACTTCGTAAAGCACTCGGCGCTGATGAGTCTCATGAACGTCACCTTTGTGGACTACACCGGTGGACAGTTCTTCGCGCTGGAGTCGTGTGGTGAGTGGCTGGGAGAGCGGTAGTGGTGATGTTGCCCTCTTCCTGTACGTGCATCCTGAACGTTAGCCCCATCCCCTGCCTTCTCGCTTACCTTATCCCACCCAGTTGAACATTCCCAGCCCCTTAGTCCGGCGCTCTACTCGGGTGGCTGCTGGTCTGGATGGTTTGCTTTGGACTGTTGACGGTGAAATACTGACAGTTTGAGATTTTCCACGTCTACACATTTAAAGCCCCCTTGCATGTTACGCGGTTACCCCCGTGTCCCATATTGTGTATATATATGATATATAGGGAGAGGTGGAATTCCGTGCGCATGAACCAGCCGGCATATCGTATAATCATATCGTATAATGTTCCGGAACATGCCGGCTGGTTCATGCACACGGACTTCCACCTCTCCCTTCCTAAAAGCTCCCTCACAAGTCTCCGACGCTCCCAAGTGTTTGTATTTCCCTCTTCCTCTCCTAGCCCCTCGCCCACACACTCGTCTTTCTGAATTCACAGCAGTAAGCTCTTTGTCGCCGCCAGTCCTCTCAACACCCCTCGCTCCCCACCCCAACTTCCCCATCACACATCCAGCCAAGTGCGATAACCAGCAGGGCGGTGCAACCACATGGACCTCAGGATTCAAGTTCGTACAGACCCAGGGCGGCTACCCGGCCATGTCGGTGTGGGGCTGGGCGCACCAGGTGCGTATACACACACACACACACCAGTTATTTTAACACACACACACACACCTCCGGTGGGAGGACTCCATCTTTCGGCAATCACAGTACGTTTCGCCTCGCGGCCAGTTATTTTAACACACACCTCCCAATTGCTTGCTCTTGTCCTTCTCAACTACACACACCTCTCCCAATTGCTCTCCTCAACTACACAAACCTCTCCCAATTGCTCTCCTCAACTACACACACCTCTCCCAATTGCTCTACTCAACTACACACACCTCTCCCAATTGCTTGCTCTTGTCCTACTCAATTACACACACACGCGCGACATCATGTGTTCTGTTGCTCTGCCTGCTCATGAAAAGGGTTTTCTTGATAGCGGACGGCACGAAGCTCCCAACCCACTCCCACTCCATATTGAACAACACAATCGCACAACTCTTTGTGTAAACCCTCCGCTCCCCCGCCCCTCCCCTTCTCCCCTAAACCCCTTCCCCACAGGGTATCTACCTAGACACGGACGGCAGCTTGATCAACGCCGCCAACTTCCCACCCGACATTGCTTACAACCTGCCGTACGGTCCCCCCGGCACACCTGGCGCCACCTGGCACTCGGCAGTCTTCAACGACCTGTTTGATCCGACTGAGTGCCTGTACGTGCGGGGCAAGTACAGCTCCAATAACGCGGCCATTTGCAGCCCCGCGCTGGAATTTAGGTAAGTGGTGTGGCTGTGTTTGACCTCCTCTTGCTGCCTACATACGGAATCCTTGACCACAAACGTTCCAATTAATGCTGCCCAGCTGGCGTCACACATGCAAAACAGCATCAAAGCATTTACTACGCCTGGCACATGCCACGCATACAGGAACATCTTCATGCTGCCTGTGCTCACGCTCTGTATCTCACACCTCTCCCTCTCCGCTCCTAACACCTGTCCCCTTCTCACCAGTATCCCTCCCCCCTTCCCCCCCCTCCATCCCTCATCACTTCCACCATGCAGGCGCGTCCTGCTCAACAAGCACGGCCCCATCGCCCTCGTCAATTCCGACCTGATGGTCACCTCGGTGACCACCAACCGCACCACCCGCATGCGTTACACCGAGTACAACGAGAACGGCTACATGTTCACTATCCCCACGCAGCGGGACTACTGGGTGCACTGGGACACCATGTACCGTCTGGACCCGGACGGGTTCAGGTGCGGGGGGCGGACATGTGGGGTTACGGTTGGGGACTGGATGGGTACGGTAGCAATGTAATATAGTGAGGGGGTAGGGTATGAGGCTGCAGGAGCTACGGCCAACGTGGGTGGTGATGACAGCTGGGTGCACAAGGCGGCATGTCCTTAGTAATCCTGTGCCCCGCCCAGTCTCGCCCCATCCCACCAAGTACCGGTACCCCGCCGCCGCAGGCTGCACAAGTTGGACTTGATGAACCAAACCACTGGCTGGTTCTACTTGGTGAGGGGGGGAACGCCACCACATGTGGATGAGCCGGGTTGCTGAAAGCATCTGACGGTTGCTTGCTGGGACCTGTACGGGCTTTACTTGCCATAGCAGCAACATAAAGCAGGGGCTCACTGTACCTTCCTGGGGGATGTCTGACGATGGGCTCCAGTGTTTACACAGCAGCGTTTTTGGAATAAACTGGTAGAAAATAAAGGTGTCACAGCCCTTCGATTCCGGCGTTGGTTGGCAAGTCCACTACTTGTTGGTGTAGTGCACGTATGGCAAAGATATCCCAATGTTTACAAGCCCGAATGCTTAATACCGCAGTCGAACTAAAGACGGTGCCTTGCTCCCACCCCTCCCTCACTCTCCGCAGAGCGCCAAGTGGACTCGGCGCATGGACCACGTGGAGGTCAACGGCACAATCACCTCGACGCCGTACACCGCCCTGCCGCCGTCAACCGCCCCCAACGGCGCCAGCTACTACAACAAGACCCTGACGCCCAACGGCTGGTGGTACGGCAACTACACGTACAATGACACCAAGTTCACCGTGCTGGCACAAGGCAACCTGGACTAGTGAGTACCGCAGGAGTCTCTCGGATCGAGTCTTGCTATAGCGCTAATCGACAGCTCGATCTGCACTGCTTGCCTTCTTATTGCCCCCTCACACCGTCTACGCAGTTTTTACAGCACGCAGCAGTGCAGCATAGACCCATTCCATGAAGGCACAGTCCTGCTTCGCCACCAGCTGCTACAACTTAACCGTTAAGCACCAAACCAAACCCTCCCGCGTATCAGCCCCTAACCCACGCTTGGTTCATGCCCCTCTTCACCTTTTACGCAGTGAAATGTCCGTGAAGCCGATGCCCTGCCCCACCACCGGCTGCGGCCTCACCTTTGACACCCCGGCAGACCTGCGTGGCACGCTCTACTGGTCAGATGCCAACACCTGGATCTACCGGCCGGGAGGAAAGCCAAAGGCGGGAGAGAACGTGACGGTGCCGTACGGCTGGAATCTGATTGTGGACGAAGATACGGCGCCACTGGCGGAACTGGCCCTGTTAGTGAGTGGTGTGGTCTGCGGTGCGAGTGTCCAATCTCAGCTCGTGGTCAGTTACTCTGCTCGTGATGCATGTTCCTGCTACTCGCCTTTCCTTGTTCTTTACGCATGAATTATGAGCGCCATTTTCGCTTGAGCATCCTAAAGGAAAGACGTAATCCTTTGTAACTGGATGCATGCAGGGCAATCTTACGTTTGCTCCCAACGGTAGTAACGTCCTAACCGCCAACAACATTTTCATCGTGGGTAGCGGTTGGTTGTACGTTGGGAGTCTTACGGCGCCTTTTGGAGCTAACAGCACGACAGCTCGCGCGACCATTCGGTTGACCGGTACTCGGCAGGATCCAGTTCGGGCGGCTGACAACGATCTGGTATTTAACAGCAAGGTGAGGTTATTCGGGACTTGGGGACTAAAACATCCCAGGAAACAACGTGAGCTTTGTCGGCCGGGTATCCTCACATTGTATATTGTCGAAAGCGTTGGCGTACTGTGTTGATTAGGTAACAGGTCTTGACTTGCATTTCTAGTAGTATTCCGGACGTCGTAAAGCCAGAAGCATGAGCTTGTTACACCTATCCTTTTTATCTTCTTAATGCCAAATTGGTTGCCCTGCCCTGCTGCCCTGACGGGCCGAACAATTCATTCCTGCTGCGATTCAAATCCTTATGTATCCCGATTTACTGCCGACTGACGTTTCCTTGCCATATAGCTCAAAAATTGCATCTTCCGTACACGCAGCCCTGCGGCACACACTCTGCAAACACACGCTCATGCTGCCGTACTCTAAATCTCGGTTCCTTGCATTATTCCGCCCCCAAATTGCACGTCCGTGTTTCTTTGTGTCAACGGGTTTCGACCTTACCGCTGTACTTGTCCTCTGTTGCCGTACAGTTCATTGCCGTATTCCGCTCTGGAACCCTTGATCTTCACGGTCGCCGAGTGGGCTCCCGCTGGACCAAGCTGGCTGCCTCAGCCTACCCGGGGAACACCACCATCACACTAGCCAGCCCCCAGTCGCTGTGGCTGCCGGGATCTCTGATCGTGATCGCATCTTCGTCGTACAATGTGTGGCAGTCCGAGGAGCGAACCATCACTGCCGTACTGGTGGGTGGCGGTTTAGTCTGCTGTACATATCGTGCAGGGTCGAAAATGCAGGCTAAGGGAAAAGGTAGACGGCATGTTACGCACGGTACCTGGCCTGCCGGGATACTGACATAGTGGGATTCCCATGCATGGAACAATACTCGTCTCTCCCCTGCCCTTCCCTCTCCTCCCTCTTCCAAAACTCCTCCAATGCGCAGAACAATGGCACCACCCTGGTCCTGGACAGCCCCCTCACCTACCCGCATTTCGCCCTCACCAAGACCTACGCAATCAACGCCACCTACAATATTTCAGTTGACATGCGTCCCGAGGTTGCACTTATGACCTCAAACATCGTAGTCGAGTCAGCAGAAGGAGCGGGTGTCCTTGCAGATGGAAGCGAGTATTACGGCTGTCGGTTGCTGGTCCATGGTCCTTCAACGGCTCGGCTGAGTAATGCGGAATTCCGGTACTGCGGCCAAGCAGGCCTGAATGCGCCTTCCGTACTGTACGACAGGCTGACTAATTTGACGAGCGGCTTGCCGAACCCTAGCTACATGGTGGACAGCGCCGTGTACCGCTCTGCTGCCAGTGAGTAATACTAGCATACCACACCTTGTCAGGTGAAAGGTCATTTGCATCCCCTTTCAGGGGCAAATCTATACACATGGCCTGCTGCCTGTGCCGCTCTTTCCTTCTGAATACATCCTTACAAGGCAAGGCACGCTCTTGTTTCCAAGCACTGCACCCTCACCCTTCCCTATTCCGCCTTCTCTATCCCCCTCGCTCCTCCCACGCAGCCGCTGTGGCCATTCGATCCAACGTCACCGTTATACCGGGCTCCCGAAGTGTCCCCAGCGCCCCCATCAGCGTCATCGGTAACGCCATGTGGTACTCGCTCGACACCGACACGGTGGAGATCAGCGCCAGCGGTTGTACCATCCGGAATAACCTGGCTTTCGGTACTGAAAAGGTGCTAGTGGGTCGTTAATTGTACGGCAATGTACCGTTGACTTGTAGGGCAGCTCGAATTCCATGGCTTTCCCCTAGTATTTTGCATTATCTTATCCCATCCCTCATTACTCAGAAAGGGGTCTACTCACAGGTGCCAGTCACGAATACCATATCCATTGCGTTTTTTTATCATCTGTGACTGATCAGCTGCCCCGTCCACCACAAACTTGCCCACGCCCACATACAGGTCTTCCAGGGCCCTTCTACCTTCGACAATCGGCTACATACTACATATCGAATCCACGATCCGAACAACTTCATCGAGAACAATGTGGCCGGAGGCTCGGAGCGAGTCGGCTTCTACATGTATGCGCCACCCTGCTCTGTTATTAACAGCACGTACAGCAAACCGACACCCGGCACATTATTATTCAAGGGAAGCTTCCTGAACAATACGGCGCATTCGAATCTGGCGGGAATGGTTTTCAAGGACTCGGACTACTCGTATTCGGAAGGGTGTGCTGGATTCCGCAACTTCACGTCGTACATGGCTTGGGATTTTGACATCATTCCGCAACGTGGCATTGAGACGAACGTGCTGATCAAAGACGTGGCCGTACTGAACCCCAAGCATGCAAGCATTAACATCATTCGGGTAAGTTCGTGCGTCAACACGTTCTATTCACTCTTCTGCCCATTGTGCTGATTCTGCTGAACCCCCTTTATAAATTTCGATCCATGCTCTCGTGCTCTCTGTTTCCGCTTCTGCTTCACTTTCCCATAGCATAACAGCTTAATAGAACCCCCATGTGAAGAGCTCTCCTGACCTCACCTCCACCTCCCGTTGCCTCTCCTATACCCCCGTGCCTTGCACCTCCTCCTCTTTCCTTTTCTCCCTGTGCCGTTCAGAAAAATGCTATGTACGCCGACGCTTTAGTGACGGTGCAAGACAGCCTAGTCGTGGGTCGGAGCCACCCCGAGCTCTGCGACATATGCAGCGAGACGGATTACGAGAGTGAGAGAGGGAGGGGGAGGGGGGTTTCCGGGATGGGAGGGTATGGATAAACTGCGGGTTTGTGGGAGGTAGGTGGGGGCGGGTCTAGAGTGGGGGTCCTTACCCCCAAAATGTGCTAGCTGTAGCAAAGGCACTCCAATGTGCCCTGCCTTTTTCCATATCTCCTCATACGACATGCCTTCCTGGTAATACAAATACACTTTTGCCCTTCTCGCCTCACCCTCTGTACCCACCTCTCATCCGCCCCTCCTCCCGCCTCTCTCCTCCCCAGGCTGCCACCCAAAAACCACTACCTTCTCCTACAACACCGAGAACCTGAACGAGCCAGCCGTCGGCCTGTACGCCTCCACCTTCTGTGTAGACTTCACCAAGGGTCCCGAGGCCAAGCCCTGGGACGTGCCCCACGGTTACCAGACCATTCTGGGCCGCACGCACGTCAACGGCACCACCTTTGCGGACTTCCAGGGCCCGGCCACATGCGGCGGTGGCCCCGACGTGCAGGAGGTGTACGCGCTTGGGAACCTGATGGCGCCGGATGCCTTCCATCCGTGCTATTTTAGCGGAACCAAGGTCATCAATGTGTTGAACAACGGGTAGGCGCGTGGGATGAATGTGTACAATTGAAAGCAACTAAGGTGTAGGAATAACGCAAGCCCTACTTTTTAAGGAAGAAGGAGTTGTCAAAGCAGGTATTCGCAAGTGCGCGCATGTTTGCATCGGAATACATGCGGAATACATGGAATAAGGGCGCACCTGTAGGCCTCCCCCTCACCGCACCACACACTGTCCTCCGCGGCCAGTTTTCTTAACACACTCCTTTCTCCCATCCCGCCTCCCCCACTCTTCTGCCTCCCCGCTGCCCCCCTTCTGCGGCTGCCACCAGGACGGCCTCCGGTCTGTTCTACCTGGTGGGAATGGACCCCAAGTGGCGCAACGAGGCGGACTGCGGCTTCCAGGAGTGGAAGCAGCCGGACGGGACCATACTGGTGTGTGGGGCGCGGGGGAGGTGTGGGGGTGGGGTTGCCTTGGTGATGGGAGTTGAGGGTAGCATGGAATCTTGCTTACTATGAAGGTGGTGGCAGAGGAGGCATAGCGTGGGGTCGGGTGGGTTGGGTTTAGTACTGGGATGTGGTCAGCAGTCACAAGCCAAACAACGGCCCCCACAACTGCGCACCTCTGCTTTTCCTAACGACCTGATGCCGGCTGCCATTACCTCACCTCACCCCCTACCCCCCCCCCCCCCTCGACGCACCCTCATGCGTCCCTGCACCTGCGCATGGTCAGCCACTGAACTGCGCGGGCCCCAAGCACGTGCACTTCCGCGACCTGGACGGCGGCCTGACGGGTGTTCGCGACGTGGTGGCGGGCTCCTTCAATAACGGGCCCAGGACCTTCCCCTATGACCAGGTGAGTGGGTGGGATTGTCAGTTACCTACAAACTTGCCGGTCTATTAGGCCATGCGCGAGTGATGGTCCCCCCAGAGGAGAGTCAACGGTTGACTACCGCACGCTGACAGAGAGCGAGGATCGTTTGCGCGCTTCATGGTGTTCCTGTAGTTTCTCCCTCACGGCAACTGTCTGTCACACGGCTATACCACTGGCCAGCAGCCCGCATCCGAGGCATAAACACAGCACACCGTATTCCATTTGGTGCAACACACTGCTCCGCCCTTCCCTCATCCATCTCATCTGCAGGGCACCCCAGTCATCCCCGGCCCCTGCGACTACTACCCCTCCATGTCTGCCTACCTCTGCTTCCCCAACTCCTCATCCTACGCGCTACCCGACCCCGCCATGAAGCCCGTGCCCACACCCATCGGCGGCATCAGCGGCAACCACCATTTGTTTGTGCTGGAGAGCCGTGATGCGGACAGCGAGGAACGCAACTTTGGTCCCGTGTTCTTCAACGTGTCGGGCTCGATTGATATGGTCGTAGCGGCCATGGACCAGGTATGTACGACAAAATGCCAGGGATGCCTTAACCTAAATGCGGTAACAATGGAGGCTCTGTACGCCCGGGACGGTTCTTCAGCGTATCGGGCAGCTTCTTGGGAGGAACACTCTTCGCTACACCTCACAATCCCTCACCTCCCACCTCTCCTCGCCCCCTCCCTCCTCTCCCCCCCAACCCTAGGGCTGGTGCTTTGGTTATACCTGCCAGAAGCGCGCCTCCACCTTCTGGACCTACCTGCCCATGGGCCACACCGTGATCGTCAACTTCACCGGCTCCCCCGCTACCGTGTTCCGACTGTGGCTGCCGTACGCAGCGCCCGAGGATGAGCTGGTACTGGACATCTACTACCTGATGATTCCCAACCGGTGCGTACCTATGTACCGGTATGCCGGGTCTGATGAAGAGGGCGCAGCGAGGTAGATGGATGTAGTGGTATAAGTGTGGTAATGCTGGGTCGTAAGAAAGTGGGATGCGGTCAAGGATCCGTATGTGGTCTGAGAGAGCGCAGCTAACCAATATAAGATGATATGGCGGGTTTCTGGCTGCTTACTTTCCTACCGGCATTGTGCCCTTTCCAAATGGCTTTTCTAGTGAACACCGTTGGGCGGTGTTGGGTGCATGTGGCATGCGAGCTTGCTGTTGCTTCCTGAGAAGTTAACCCCATCCTACGACCCGTCTCCCTCTAACCTCAGTCGCTTCGTGTGGCTACCTGACGGTGTCGGTCGAGTGGCACCACTGAAATTCAAGCCGCGACCCGGCGACGGGACGCCCCATGGGTCGTTCTACTGGGACCAGAACCGGACCACCATTACCGTCAAGATGACGGGGGGCAACAGGCTGGAGGTCCGCGGAGAGAACGCAGTGCTGGTGAGAGGAACTACCTCCCATGATATAGGAAAGGCGTTTTAGGTGGCGCATGCAGCTCAAATTTTATGTACCGGTATCTCGCCTAAGGAGCCCTAGCGCAGCCACCCAAGTCATCCAGCTCCATCGCTTCATCCACCCACCGTCACTGTGCTATTGTTCGCTGCGCATTCTACTCTAGTGAAAGGACAAAGCTTCCGTTGTTTACCCCTGTTGCATGCGTTTTCCTCTGTGTGCAGGTTGGCTGGGGTCTGGCTATCAGCATCAGCGACTTTTACGACAACCAGGCGCTCTTCTTAAGTAACCTGGCGTCCTTCCTAAACATCCCTAAGGAACGCATCTACATTGCTCGCATTGTTCCCGGCACGCTGCGTCGGCGTCTGTGGGCCCGTGATTCATCAGAACCAAGGGAACACGAAGGCCAGGGCGGCGGTGGACTGTACGGACATGGCGAATTGTACGACAAATATGCATTGACCTTAGCGAAGAAGTACGGTTTGCTGTCGTACACCAGGCTGGGAGGACAGCAGCAGCAGCAGGACGAGCAGGAGATGTACGATGCGGATCAAATGTTTGACAACGCGTATGTGGAGGAGGACGTGTTCGACAACATGACCAACTCCACCTTGTACAGCAGGCGACGATCTCTCCTGGCGACCATGCAGTCGCAGCTGGACATCATGATCTATGATGACCCAACCAGCAACAACTTCGTAAGTTACGAGGGGTTAGTTGCACCAAACATGGGAACGACGGGGGTACTGGTCTAGGAAGGTTAGGGGTCCGGGTGATAACGTAGCCACCTTAGTGTGAAGAACCACTGTAGACACTAAATACTGAGGGCCCCGACCCCTTAATCCCCGTTCCCCCCCCCCTCTCCACTGCAGCCGATCCCTGACCCCGTCTTCGACACATCTAACAATATCGACTCGGTGTCCGCCCGCGCTCTCCTCAACGCAACCGAAGAGCAACGAGCCGCCGCAAAGGCAGCCCTGCTTGATACCCTGCCGCCACCACCGCCGCCGCCGCCAGCCTCCTTTGCAATCGACACCATCATTGCCGCGCCGCCGTCACCAATTTCTCCACCCTCACCGCCGCTACCACCGCCGGCCCCTCCGCCCTCACCCCGACCCCCGTCTCCCTCCCCGCCGTCGCCAAGACCACCGTTGCCGCCACCCCCATCGCCGCCCATCCAGCCAGGAGCCTCCGCCTCTCCGCCGCTGCCGCCGCCACCGCGTCGGCCGTCTCCGCCACCGCTGCCGCCCTCTGCAGGCGACATGCTGTCGGCGCTGAGCAGTCTGAAAGTGCTGCTGACGAATCCGGAACATGCCAGCAATGTCCTGGGTGTGGCCATCACCAACGTGACGGATGTGCAGGTCAGTGCAGGTAGTGATAGGGACCTTATGCACATGGTGTATGGTTTATCTGTTTATATAAATACCGGTAGCATTCATCAATGTAAGGGTCATACGATACCAGTAGTAACAAGGGAGACTTAACTGGGCAGTTACCAGCTAGTGTATGTGTACAGCAAGATACATAGCAACATAGGCCAGGCCTGTAGGAAGCGGTCAGTAGAATGGGCCTGCTGCTTGGCTGTGAACAAACTGCTTGCTGTAGGGCATGTTTACACTTGCTAGCTTTCCATGCCCTCGCAATGCGCCATGTGTTGCACGCTGCCAACGTCTAGGGTAGCAGCATCTCTTGGTGTAAACGCATATCCATCCTTCCTGCCCTAACTATACATTATTTACCCCATCCCCTCCCATCCATCCTTACGCACGCACAGGTCCTTCCTGGAGTAATCTTGGATGAGTCAGCAACAACGTCTGCCGCAACCGGTAACTCCTCTGATGTGGGTTCCAACGGCAACTCCACCTCTTCCTCGTCTTCCTTCTCAGCCGCAGCCTTCCTCAACGCAGCTGGCTCCCTGCTAGAAGTCCTGGGTTACAGCCCGCCCAGCCCAGCGCCTCCCAGCCCTAGCCCTCCCTCGCCGCCACCGTCACCACCGCCCTCACCGGACCCTCCCAGCCCGCAACCGCCATCCCCCCCATCACCACCATCCCTACCGCCGCCCTCACCAGTACCGCCATCCCCCAGCCCGCCAAGCCCACCGCCGCCCTCCCCCGAGCCGCTTCCTCCCTCACCCAGACCCCCGAGGCCTCCACCGCCCTCACCTTTCCCTCCTCGCCCTCCGTCACCAAGCCCACCGCCATCTCCACCACCCAGCTTCCCACCACGCTCTCCCGCACCTAGCCCGGAGCCGCCATCACCTCCCCCGCTGCCAAGCAAAGCGCCACCCTCTCCCGCACCGAGTCCTGAGCCGCCATCACCTTCCCCACCTCCAAGCCCTATTCCACCATCTCCAGCCCCAAGCCCTGAGCCACCGTCACCTTCCCCACCTCCAAGCCCTATACCACCCTCTCCAGCCCCAAGCCCTGTGCCACCGTCACCTTCCCCACCTCCAAGCCCTATACCACCCTCTCCGGCACCGAGTCCTGAGCCACCGTCACCTTCCCCACCTCCAAGCCCTATACCACCCTCTCCGGCCCCAAGCCCTGAGCCACCGTCACCTTTCCCACCTCCAAGCCCTATACCACCCTCTCCAGCCCCAAGCCCTGTGCCACCGTCACCTTCCCCACCTCCAAGCCCTATACCACCCTCTCCGGCACCGAGTCCTGAGCCACCGTCACCTTCCCCACCTCCAAGCCCTATACCACCCTCTCCGGCCCCAAGCCCTGAGCCACCGTCACCTTCCCCGCCTCCAAGCCCTTTACCACCCTCTCCAGCCCCAAGCCCTGAGCCACCGTCACCTTCCCCGCCTCCAAGCCCTTTACCACCCTCTCCAGCCCCAAGCCCTGAGCAACCGTCACCTTCCCCACCTCCAAGCCCTATACCACCCTCTCCGGCCCCCAGCCCTGTGCCACCGTCACCTTCCCCACCTCCAAGCCCTATACCACCCTCTCCAGCCCCAAGCCCTACACCGCCGTCGCCTAACCCACCCCCAGGCTTCCCGCCGCCCTCGCCGGCGCCTATGCCTCCCTCACCTCCTCCACAGCCCGTCGCTACCCCACCTTCTCCGCCGCCCAGCCCTACACCGCCGTCGCCTACCCCACCCCCAGGCTTCCCGCCGCCCTTTCCGGCCCCCAGCCCTACACCGCCGTCGCCTACCCCACCCCCAGGCTTCCCGCCACCCTCTCCAGCCCCCAGCCCTACACCGCCGTCGCCTACCCCACCCCCAGGCTTCCCGCCGCCCTCTCCGGCCCCCAGCCCTACACCGCCGTCGCCTACCCCACCCCCAGGCTTCCCGCCGCCCTCTCCAGCCCCCAGCCCTACACCGCCGTCGCCAAGCCCACCCCCAGGCTTCCCGCCGCCCTCTCCAGCCCCCAGCCCTACACCGCCGTCGCCTACCCCACCCCCAGGCTTCCCGCCGCCCTCTCCAGCCCCCAGCCCTACACCGCCGTCGCCTACCCCACCCCCAGGCTTCCCGCCGCCCTCTCCGGCCCCCAGCCCTACACCGCCGTCGCCTACCCCACCCCCAGGCTTCCCGCCACCCTCTCCAGCCCCCAGCCCTACACCGCCGTCGCCAAGCCCACCCCCAGGCTTCCCGCCGCCCTCTCCAGCCCCCAGCCCTACACCGCCGTCGCCTACCCAACCCCCAGGCTTCCCGCCGCCCTCTCCAGCCCCCAGCCCTACACCGCCGTCGCCTACCCCACCCCCAGGCTTCCCGCCGCCCTCGCCGGCGCCTATGCCTCCCTCACCTCCTCCGCAGCCCGTCGCTACCCCACCTTCTCCGCCGCCCAGCCCTACACCGCCGTCGCCTACCCCACCCCCAGGCTTCCCGCCGCCCTCTCCGGCCCCCAGCCCTACACCGCCGTCGCCTAACCCACCCCCTGGCTTCCCGCCGCCCTCTCCAGCCCCCAGCCCTACACCGCCGTCGCCTAACCCACTCCCAAGCCCCATTCCACCCTCTCCGGCGCCTAGCCCTGTGCCGCTCACTCCTCAGCCTTCTCGCCTGCCACCCTCACCTCCTCTGTCTCCTCCTCCTTCACCTCCTTCTTCGCCCCCTCCCTTAACTCCATCTCCGGCCTCCCCTTCACCTCCTCCTTCGCCACCACCCTCCCCGCCTCCCTCCCCTCCCCCACCCCCTTCTCCAAGTCCTCCACACCCTAGTCCTCCTCCACCACCGCCCCCTCGCGTCCGGCAGCCACGTTCCAAGCCACCACCTCCCATGCAACCCCAATCACCAACCACAGTCCTACCCCCACCGCAGCCGCTTCCTCCGCCACCGTTGCCATCACCGCCGCCCTCACTCCCTCCCCCTTTACCGTCACCTCCACCACTGCCGTCTCCTCCACCACCATCACCCTCACCTTTGCCGCCCTCGCCGCCACCTCCGTCACACCCACCACCCTCGCATCCGCCGCCCACGCCTCCACCTCCGTCGCCCCCACCGCCCATAACTCCAACCTCTTCACCGCCGCCCCCGTCATCCCCACGCCTCTCACCGCCGCCACCAAAGCGCAATCGTAAATCGCCACCGCCGCCTCCCTCATCGCCGCCCCCTTTGCTGCCGCCCCCATCAACGCCACTGCCCTCGCCGCCACCTCCGTCACACCCACCACCCTCACATCCGTCGCCCTCGCCTCCCCCTCCGTTGCCCCTCCCTCCCTTGACGCCAAGCCCTACACCGCCGCCCCCGTCATCCCCACGCCTCGCACCGCCTCCACCAAAGCGCATTCGTAAATCGCCACCACCGCCGCCCTCACCGCCGCCTCCTTTGCTGCCGCCCCCATCAACGCCACTGCCCTCGCCGCCACCTCCGTCACACCCACCACCCTCACATCCGTCGCCCTCGCCTCCCCCTCCGTTGCCCCTCCCTCCCTTGACGCCAAGCCCTACACCGCCGCCCCCGTCATCCCCACGCCTCGCACCGCCTCCACCAAAGCGCATTCGTAAATCGCCACCACCGCCGCCCTCACCGCCGCCTCCTTTGCTGCCGCCCCCATCAACGCCACTGCCCTCGCCGCCACCTCCGTCACACCCACCACCGCTCCCCTCATCACCACCTCTCCCACCACCACCACTTGCACCGCCATCGCCCCCGCCATCCTTACTCTGGGCTACATCAGCTTTGGGCCCTGATGTAGGTACTGTGTTGCCAACTCGTTTCGTGTCACGACTCGATATTTGCAGACAGCTAGGACCCCGGCCCTTGATAGGTGGTCACCTTCCCGTGTTACGTTGTAATGGACTTGACATGCGTCCAGCAGGGCACAGGGGTAGGATGCGGGTGTTGCCCCCCGTTCATGCACCTCCGCTGCGCATATGCTGCAGAAAGTCGCACTGGCTGTCATCACCAAACAATTTAGCAATGCCTGAATTTCCAAACAAATTCGCAACGCCTGAATCCTTAATCTGTCATGTGCATGCGCCATACAGGGTAAACCCGGTATCAGCGGCGTAGCAGGATCCGTCAGTTACCTGCAGGGCCCACCCAGTGCAGACGTCCTGGGTGTCAAAAAGTGCAAGCCTGCAACGGACCTGGCGTGGGTGCCTCCAAAGGTGGTGAGTACGGTGTCTGCCTTATCTTGCCCAAACACTAATTGTACGCGTACTTGGTCTCTTAAACGCTGTTACCTTGCTAGATAGGCTGGGACGGAGCAGAAGACCACACATACGCACGCAGGGGCCTTCGATCATGTATGCTTGCGCTCGTCGCTGCAGCTAGGGCGAAAGGATGTGTTGGTATTGCATAGTTGCACGAATGTGCAGTCAGGCGTGGAAATGGGATTATTTACATGCGTACGGGTCCCCACTTTTGCTGGGTCCCCTTTGTTGGCCCCCTTAGACCTGCCCGTGGTGCACGTAAACATGCATGTATGGCAACAGATGACATCCCTATCCGCTCGACTGCATGCATGCAGGTTCCTCGCTTTGCGCTCGCCTACTTTGGAAGCTCCGGTGCCTACCTTGGTGAAGCGGCAGCAGTGCAGTTCTTCCTGCTAAACCGAGGTGCCTTTAGCCCTCCCATCACCTCCATCGAGCTGTTATTGAAGCCTATGAACCGGGTGCGTGGGCGCTGTGCGTGCGCGCAAGGCTAGCTCACTGTCGACAAGCATGGCAACCAAGGGTTTAGCACTTCACATGATTATCAGCATCAGCATCCGGCCCATGGGCCCTTTTTACGACGACTGCTGCAGTTAGGTTTCTCTCCACCCATGGAGGCGTACGTCAAACACACCTGCCAGTACCAATAGCAATCTCTCCGCTCTTTCTTGCCCTACACAATAAAACACGAATCTCACCCCAGTCCCTGTTGCTTCTCATCACGCGCATGCATGCAGGTGGATCCTAACACGAGCACATTATTCTACATCCCCATCTACAACGGCACCAGCTCCAACCTGCCTGAGCTTACGTGCCCGGGCCTCAACCGCTTCCCAGTGTCTACCTCCATGATCTTCGAGCACCTGCAGCAGCACAACTCTCCCTCCACCCTTGCGCTAGCTGGCTTCAGTTCCGAGGAGGAGGTCGGTCGGACCGCCGCTGTGACCGGTGTGCGGATCAGCGTCAACGAGGCGCAGACCTCCAATGCTAAGCAGCAGCTGCCGCACCTGGCCTCTGTCGGACTCGAGCTGCAGGCCTAGAAATGTGTGATGCTAAAAGTCTTCGTTTTGTAGAGAAGGCTGCTCGTTCGCTGCGTGGGATGTGACGTGGAGATAAGGTGCGTCGGAGATAAGGTTCGAGCCATGAACTAGTTTGAAGTTGCATAGGCGTTTAAGGAGCAGTGCGTGATGCGGTGATTACGCACCTCACCCGCGTGTCGTGGAAGCAAGGGGTTGGGGCCTTGCTTTAGGTTTGAATGTAGTATGATGTGTGCGTGCGTGTGTCTCGTCTACCGAATATATGAGCCTCCGATGCGCTGTTACGCCAGGTACCAGAAGCGCTTTCATGGCAGTAGGTAGACTGCGTGCCGTATGTGCGTTGTCCTGTTGCTGGAGTGAGGGGGAGTGGAGTTGGCAGCACTAATACAATTCACCTGGGTTATTCATATTGGTACTTGTTGTCGGGAGGGGACACGCTTAATGGGCGTGCAGCCTTACCATGTGCGTGTGTGGGGAGGTGCTAGCTAGGTCTAGGGCGGGTACTTGGCCTAGGTAGATCCTTAAATTGTTGAATTGTTGCTGTATGTTCCTATATGTCAGCAATGTCATGCGCCTTGCGACATTGAGGCTTTCGCTTCACAGCTTGTTGCGAGGCGTTACCTGAGCAGCCTAGCTGTCAGATTTGTGTTCCGTTTATGGCTTTTTGCGGCACGTAGCATTCTGCGAGTAGGATTGGGTACGGCGGGTGGTGCGAACACACCTGGGAATTGGTTACATCTGTGCGTGTTTTCCGAAGAAGCCGGGACATGCAGGAGCATGCATGTACGGCGGTTATTCAGTAGGGTACTGAGTCTTAGGTGGAGGAGCTTTCACTAGGGGGCTCTTGGTGTGTTACAGGTTTCGCGTTCTGCTGTGCTTTTGGAGAAGGTTTATAAGAAGGCCTCCGCACCATGCACGTGCCAAATAATCCTCATGTGCACGTTTGGCTAGCGTCTCCTTCCTTGTTCCGTTTTTCATACTGAAGTCTGACAACGCGAAATTCCCATATCCCGCCGGCTGGGTGCGTGTTGTACGTACGTGCAGCAAAGGGGGTGCTTCATGAAGTAGATTCAGATGAAGGGGGTTACCGATGTCTCATCGCCCTTTTCAAACTTATAATTGGCCATGCATTAGCCATGGCAGTGGGATCGAAGTACCATTAGGCACTGAAAGACGGCATCAATGCGCATACCATCATTTCCCATTACTAATGTGCCGTACGATACTTGGTGCGTACAATCACGCACGTCATTGCGCTACTAACCTTGCGTCATCACTGTTTGCGCCATCACTGTGTCCCGATGTTCGTCGATGATTAACATGTGTGTTTCAGATTGGAATTAGGATTAGTGGCTTGTTGTGTGGAGTGTTCCCTGTCGTACTGGCCCTGTGCCTGCATGCCGTACCAGGTATATGACTAAAGCGGTATCCAGAAGCTAGGAGTCGCTGTAATTAGGAAAGGCTTTAAATTGTCCATCTTGTAATATCACTTCTTGTTGACTGGTTTGAACTGGCCGGAGGGTCCATGCTTCACTGAGACTTACAATGTACTGGTGTACATACAGTCTACAGCTAATCGCTTAGCACCGTCTAAGCAGCCAAGCATCACGTGTTGGGCAACCAGGCCAGCAAAACAGTACCTTTTCGCCCCATACGCAACTGGATTGGCTAATGTACGACCGGTATCTCTTGACACACGCAGACCTTTGCCAGGCAACCACGGATAGTGGGCCCCACCCAGCATGTACGTACGACAAGTATACGGCATCAAGTTTCCTGTTCATATGGTAAACCAACTGTTACCAGTGTATGTTCCTCTTGATCTAAAGCATGATAAGCCAAGGTCGGCATGCCTCACTGCAAGCAGTTACGGATTTCATGTATGTATGGCTAAGCAACATACCCTCCTGCGCATCCAACCTTCGAATTCAACCCGTACACAACATTAAAAAAAGCATCGCTTGGGAAATTGATGGCCCCAGCCATTAACGAGGAAAGCAGCTTTAGGTATCTACTCCAACCGTGCTACATCACCCCATGCGTCACGCCTGACGCTATGAAATTATTCACCTCCGGAACCACAGGCAGCACAACCTGCTATAGCCACCAGTGCACCCAAATCCCATTCATCCGCATCACCTTATCTAGAGCTTCTTTCGTCAACCTGCATACAACCCGGGGTGGCCCCCGACTACTTACCCATCATTGCATTCAGTTCCACACACCTAGCACTCCCAATGACGGCCCCCTCCCAGTAGCAGCTCCCGCAGACAAGCACAAAACACCCTCAGCCCCTCCTCGGAAGACAGCCGGTGATCCCCACCTGCACCCGCCACCAACTCCAACCGCACCGTGTTCTGCTGCCGCCGCTCCATCACTGCCGCTGTCGCTTTCCTTGCTACTGCTTCGGCCCCTGAAGCTGCTGTTGCTGCCGCGGAGGTGGGGGTGGTGGTGGTCGTGCCAGCAGAAGCTGTTAGTGCTTCATGCAGCAGCAGCGCGTGAGAGACAGGAACCACCTCGTCCTGTGTACCGTGGATGATAATGACGGGGCAGGGGCAGGAAACGGGCGACGTCATTGTTGCAGCACCCGCTGCTACTGTAGCTGTAGCTGCTGCTGGTAAGGTTGTCGGAGAAGCAGCCGCTGCCACTGCTGCCGTCCTTTCCATGTTGCATAAGTTTAACGAAACACCGCTGCTACTAAACTCCTGCTGCTTCAGCGCTTCCGGCAAGTACGCGACTCCTGGCGCCAGCGTCTGGGATCGACCCATGGGACAGTGCAGCAAATGCGCACGCCCCTGCTCAAAGTACGCCCTGCCCACACCGTCTCCGCCTTCCAACGGGTACGGTGAGCCTAGACTCACAATCCCACCACCGCCTCGGTCCAAGGTACCGGTGAGGCTGCTGCTGTCATCGTTAGGATTGCTCCCCAAAGATTGGACCATTGTGCTGCTACTGCTACAGCCATCGCCATCACCGCCGCACTCTTCGCTGCTGCTGCTGCTGCTGTTGCCGTACAGCACATGTCGCTGCTGCTGGACGCTGAGTGCGGCCCAGCGGACCTCTGAGAAGTCCACTGCGGGAGCCACCAGCAGCAGGGAGGCGATGGTGGGTGCGGCGAGCGTGTTGCCGCCGCTGGAGCAGCCAACATGGGGCGATCCGTTGCCGAATGCACTGATGTCAGACACACCGGACTGACTGCTGCTGATTGGTCCAGCTTTGCTTCCGCTGGTGTTGCTTGTGGCACTGCTGCTCGCCAGGTGGGCTAGCCTGAGAGCGACCCAGGCTCCTAGGGAGCTGCCTGCTCGAGGAGGGGGCGACACAAGGGACACTAACACCATGGCTTCCTGGGACCCTACACGGGTGAGGACTTGGCAGAGATGGGGCAGGAGGCGAACGCACGGAAGCTGGACGCTGACCCATTGGTCGGTGGGACACAGACTCCTAAGCTTGGGCGTTATATGGTTTGAATGATCCGTGCTGGTGTGCATGACGGGTATCCCTGCTGTTTGTTGTCACCTGTCTATTCCTTGAGTCTTGAGGACGTCATACGGTACGGGTGACTAGTGATCATATATGGACCATCGCCTACCTACGATAACGACACGCCGCGCCACCACAACTTGCTCCAGCAGCGCAATTGCATCCTCAATCCAGTCCTGCAGCCCGCAGGACTCAAACCGCCGACCTGTAGATGCGCCAAAGCCCGAATAGTCAAAGCATACAAATTCGCTACCGGTAGAGGCTGCAACTTGTAGTGCCGCTCGTACTTTGGTCCTGTGCGCGGTTTCGGAATGGCCATGGTACGGAATGAATGGGAAGGTTAGCAGTTAAGGAGAAGGAAGGACCACATCAGTAATGCTTGGAAACAAGTGTGCTGCTGAACGAGCTCTATGCCATGGTTATTGATGTGTACGACAGGCCCAGAGCATAGCGTCGGCCAGGCATTGCCTACGAGCCCGTAACTATCCGTTGTTTTGGGTTTCCGGGTGCCCACGAGGTCTTGTCAATAAATTGCGAACACCCACCCGTCCATCCTGCTCTTGAGCCCATTGCAGTACAGGATACATAACTCAGGGCCGCCACTGCCCTTGCTTCCAATTGGAATCGGATCAGTACTAGGTGAAGGTGCCGCACATGGCTTCGAACTAACCGGCAAGAAGTGCCGGTATGCCACTGCTGCGCCTTGACGGCCTCGGGGCAATGAAAGCAATGGTAGAGCTTCCAGGTCCACCATTTGCGCACGCAATTGTATACGGGGATGGCAGTTTGTAGTGTGAAGCTGAATAGGACGTACTAGAAGTACGTTGCTAGCGTGACCATTACTCGTGAAGTGCCTTGTTAGGATTGACCCGCCACGGTTTGTAAGGAGTGGCATTTGCGTACCACGTAGCTCATATTCAATTGAAGAATTAACGTGGCAAACGTCCTATGCGGCGGCGAATACGAAGGAAAATGGTGGTTGACTCGTGCGTCCAATAAGCTTGCCGCGGCATTGGAACTTTCAATGCAAACCATTGGAACTTTCCAATGCACATTCACCTTTGACAAAAGTAGCCAAAGCCCATTTCAGGCAAGCGGGCGTACAGCAAACGCGGTTTTTGTCGCACACACTCCAGTGCCAGAGGAGTCGCACCCCTCGTCAACTTACACCGCCTGGGACCTGGCCTGCGGGCCCAGACTCCGAACAGCGTCTAAGAGACCCAACTCTGTAACTAACCAAGTTTGCTACCTAGCCGATACCTCACCCTACCCTCTCCGGGGAACAACAGGAGAGGGGGAAAACCAACAGCCGGGCGCGGATGGGCTCTAGCCCCCAAAACCCGCCCCGGCGTACTAGGCTCTAGGCGCGCTTCCGCATGCATGCACGCCTAGAGAGGACCCCGGAGAGAGTAGGGGTGGGAGGGTGGGAAACAAAAGGCTCGCCTACCTACAGCTGCAGCCATACTTAAGAACTGTCTGCAACTACGCAAAAGTCAGCGCCTTCCTAACTGCGCACGGAAACTCAGCGGCAAAGACCTGAAAGGCCAGCTGAGGGCAAACTGTTTAACCAAGGTCAAAACGTCTAGCACCGTCCACTCGCAAGCCTGGTGGCGACTGCTCTGCTCCCTGTCGTACATGCGCTCCAAAACCCCATTTTTAGTTGACACTCAAAATGATACTTTTGTCGCACACACTCCAGTGCCAGAGGAGTCGCACCCCTCGTCAACTTACACCGCCTGGGACCTGGCCTGCGGGCCCAGACTCCGAACAGCGTCTAAGAGACCCAACTCTGTAACTAACCAAGTTTGCTACCTAGCCGATACCTCACCCTACCCTCTCCGGGGAACAACAGGAGAGGGGGAAAACCAACAGCCGGGCGCGGATGGGCTCTAGCCCCCAAAACCCGCCCCGGCGTACTAGGCTCTAGGCGCGCTTCCGCATGCATGCACGCCTAGAGAGGACCCCCCTTACCCTGTCACCCACCGCACGCCTCGTCACCTCACATGCACCCCACAATGCGGGCCTTAGCCGCCGCGGAGGGGAGGATATACGCGCTCACCGCCTCCGACCGCCACCTCCCGTGCGCCTTGATCTGCTCTCCAGAGGCCCCCCCTTCCGCTGCAGCCGTGGCTCCCCCCCTTCTCAGGCTGTGGGACGCGTAATCTGGTACCCGCCCGGCTATTTGTGGTAGGGCGCGCTGCATCTCTCCTAAGAGCGCCCTAAGCCTACGCGTAAACCCCTCCTTCCGCCAAGCCTCCGACCCCGGTCCCCACTGGGGGCCCCGCGTGAAGAGCGGCGCGCTGGGCTCCGCCCCCCCTGAGCGGGCCCGCTCTAGGTGGCGCCCTATAATGCGCCCGATGCGTACTCCGCTGCCAGACGATGCCCCCAGGTGCACATCCACCCCTGCCCCAACCTGATCGGTCTTGCTCCTCGTTATCCGCACCACGTGAACCCCACCAGTCAGCGAATGCACGTCACCTAGCCGCAGCCCCGCCAGCTCACTTCTCCGCAGCATCCCAAAGAAACCCACCACCAGCCAACACGCATCCTGCTCGAGCTCCGCTCGGCGCGCTGGCGCCCCGTCCGCCGTCGCTGCCAGCCAGCCCAATAGGAGCCGCAGAAGCGGCACCGGGAACGCCTCCTTCGTACGTTGCGGCAGCGGCTCGGCCCCTGCATCGCCGCCAGCTGTGGCGGCTGCCGCCGGCGCCCGGGCACGCCACGCCTGCCTCAGCGTGCGTTGCACCAATGGGTTCCGGCGGATGGAGGCCTCCGCCGGAAAACCCTTCGCGCGCTGCCAGTCCGCAAGGGCGCTAATGGTGCCTGACAACGTTGAGGGGGCCACACGGTCGGCCTCATGGGCGATGAACAGGCTCACCAGCTCGGGGCTGAGGTCCGCGCCCCGCGCAGGTGGGAAAGCCGCCCTCATGGGTAAGCCCAGAGCAGCGCAGAAGGCCGCGTAGCGGCGGCGATGGGATTCGTACGTCCCTGCTGAACCCGCCGACACGGCGCTCCCCGCTAGCGCCACCAGCCTCGCCGCGAGTGCCTCCTGCCGACCGCCCGCAGCCCCTGCCGGAAAACCCGCCGCCGCCAGGATGCAGTGGATGCAGCGGAACCAGCCGCCGGGGTACGAGCCCGGCGGCAGTCCCAGGCAGCGGCGATGTGCCCGTATGTCGCATGTCTCACAGCGCAAGTCCCCCACGGAGGTGCGCCGCACGCAGGCCTCGCAGCTCCCGCCACCCTCTACAATCGCCATGGGGGCGCAAACGCGGATCGGAATTCGGTCAGGGCAGGCGTAAGACCAGCATATCGTAAGGAGAAGGACCCGCCTCGTCGCCCCAGGGCCAAACGCAGAGGCGGCCGCCCCTGGGCAGCACCTGGGCGACCCGGAATGGTGCGGATCGGCTACGGACGAAGGCCCGGAACCACCCCCGCTCCGGCCAGAAAGGCACCACCACAACCGCCCGCGTCCGCGAGTCACGCCGTGCCGCTGCCACGAGGGTCGCTAGCACCTCCCCCACCAGGGCCTGGGGTGGGAAGGCCCACAGCGCCTTGCCCGCCAGCTCGGCCTCCTGGCCAAGCACCGACCGCCCCGCGCTGTAGAACACCTCACAGCCGGGCTGCCGGTTGGAGCCATGGGCGTCGCAGCAGCAGTCGACGGTGGGCCGGAGAGAGAACTTGCGGCATAGCTCCCTGAAGATGCTGGCCTTCAGCCGCAGGTTCTGATCCTGGGCGCTGTCAAGGCGGCGGCTGAGGCGGTCGGCCTGGCCGTTGTCCACGCCGGGAATGTGCTCAGCCCGGACCTCGAACCCTGAGCTAATCGCAAGCTCTGCAATTTGGCGGCTAAGGCTGCGGCCCTCTGGGATGCGGGTGGAGCCGTGGTTGATGGCTGCTACGGCTTGGGTGTTGTCACAACGCACCAGCACCCGGCGCCCGGCAAGGCTGGCGGCCCATGACTGCAGCGCTCTGAGGACCGCCTTGAGCTCCAGCCACGAGATGTGCAGCTGACGCTCCTCCTCTGACCATGCCCCTTGCACCTCCGCCTCCCCCCAGACTGCGCCAAACCCACGCCCACTAGCGTCCGTGAAGAGGACGGCCCCATCCTGGCCGATAAACTCCCCCCTCACTAGGTCCAAACCGATGCCCGCTGAGCGCTTTACCCCGTCCCAGACAGAGGAATCCGCCCGTAGCACCTGCCACCAGAAAGCCAGGTCTTCTACTGCGTCCGCCGCCAGGCCGACAGTGGCCGGCGGGCGGGTGGGGCAGAAGAGGCTGTCGTAGAGGCCCTGCATGAACGTGAAACCCCAGCGGCATGCCCGGGCTATGAACGTTAAGCGGCCGACGGTGGACTCCAGGAGGTGCCGCTGCACTGGTCCGGTAGCTGCCGCGTCCAGGAGGGCGCGCACGTCCGCCGCGTAGCGCTGCCGCTTGTCCGGCGAGATGCGCATCTCCATCTTCTCGGTGTCGAACAGCATACCCAGGAAGTCGAGCTGCCGCAGGTGCTCGTTTCGTCCGCGGTCCTTGCTGGTCTTCCACTCCAGCCCCAGCTCGCCACCTATTTCGTCCATGACCGCGAAGGCGCCAACGACGTCTGCATGGGTCACCCCTAGGATGATGTAGTCGTCGACGAAGCAGAAGAGCTTGACCCGTAGCCCCCGCCGGTCGCACTCCGCTTGGAAGATGGCACACGCGGCGTTGGTTAACTCCACAAAGATTGGGGGCGATTGGCTGGCGCCGAAGGGCAGCACCACCCAACGCAGGACTGCCTCCGTGGTGGGATGCCTAAAGGCCATGTACCGGCGTGCTTCCGGGCTGCACTTGATGTGGTGGAAACCAGATGCGAGGTCCCGTTTGCCTAGCGCCCCTTGGAACGGCAAATGCTCCAGAATTGAGGCGAGGTCGGGCAGCGGGCAGGGGAGCTTGGTCATGCAGTCGTTCACCCCCGAAGCGGTAGGGTCGATGATCGGGCGCAGGTTGCCATCCGCCTTGCTGACAACATGCAGTGGGTGCGACAAACCACATTGAACCACATGCGAACACCGTCAGGCCCTTCTTCCTTCAGGCAGAGCCACACGACCCCGGTGCATGCCACGGCATATTGCTTGTCACCCGCGCAAGGCCCCAGTCCGCCGTAGGTCGCGTACACCACAGACTAGACAGCAGGTGGACGCAGGCAGGCCCTTCTCCCCTCGGGTAGGGTCACGCCACATGGACACACGCAACAGCACATTGCTTGTCACCCGCGCAGGGCCCCAGTCCGCCGTAGGTCGCGTACACCACAGACTAGACAGCAGGTGGACGCAGGCAGGCCCTTCTCCCCTCGGGCAGGGTAACGCCACAAGGACACACGCAACGGCACGTTGCTTGTCACCCGCGCAGGGCCCCAGTCCGCCGTAGGTCGCGTACACCACAGACTAGACGGCAGGTAGACGCAGGCAGGCCCTTCTCCCCTCGGGCAGGGTCGCGCCACATGGACACACGCAACAGCACATTGCTTGTCACCCGCGCAGGGCCCCAGTCCGCCGTAGGTCGCGTACACCACAGACTAGACAGCAGGTAGACGCAGGCAGGCCCTTCTCCCCTCGGGCAGGGTCGCGCCACATGGACACACGCAACAGCACATTGCTTGTCACCCGCGCAGGGCCCCAGTCCGCCGTAGGTCGCGTACACGCTTACCTTCTGGTGTCTCCATCCCTGCCGTATTTGCGTCAGCTGCCCCACCGCCGGCCGTACTGCCGGCGGCTGGATGGAGGGGGGGCGCCGTTGGCGCCGGGGCGACCTCGCCCCCAGCTGACGCTGCCGCGTCCTAAGCCGGCCGGCGGGCTGCCTGCTCCTGCTTGGCGCATTCTGCGAATGCTGCCGTTTGGGCCCCAGGTTCCAGCGACCGCAACTCTCGGCAGCCGCGGTAGCTGTGTCCGGGCCTCTTGCAGTAGAAGCAGCCGTTGTCGCGTGGGGCACGGGGCTGTGCTGGGGCCGGCGGGAGTGGAAGAGGCGGGGGCGGCGGGTAAGCCGCCGCGGGAGCGGCGGCTGAGGCGAACTTCCCGAAGAGGTGCTGGCGCTGGCTGTCCGTAAATTGCGACAGGGCGGCTAGGAACTGCTGTGTGAGGGGAGAGCCCTTGCTGAATACGTCCATGACGTCCTTGAAGGGCAGGACACGGGCTGCATTCTGCACCTGCCGGAGGACCTCTTGTGTACGAAAAGCCTCCTCCCACACCTGCGCGGCCTTGGCCAAGAGCAGCGAGAGCTCCTCCGAAGAGGATGCGCAGTGTTTGGCCGCTTCCAGCTGGGACGCGAGATGCTGCAGGGAGCGGAGATGACTGTCTGCCTTGTGCGTGAAGGTCGCCTGGTCCCGGGATGCGAAGCTGACGTCCGCCAGCGAGACCAGGCTGCTGAGGCCTGGGATGCGGTCGAACACGTCTGCCCAGGCCCCTTCACGCTGAACGGTTGCCGCCAGGGGGCCCAGAGCGGACGGCGGTGCTGAGCCGAGGGGTAGGTGGCCGAGGCCCAGCACTGAAGAGTTGCTGTTTAAGTCCCCGCCACTGCCCCCCAGCGTGAGGCCCAGTCCCCCTAGGCCTCCCAGGCCTGCTGACGCTGCCCCAAATGCTTGCAGCCTGCTGCTGCCGGGAAGGCCCTGTAGGTTCAGGCCGGCACTCCAGCGTGCGTTCCCTATGGCAGGGTGCCGTTGGTCGTTCTGCAGGGTGGCGACTGCCGGCCGCCGGTCTTGCGGCAATTGCTGCTGCTGCCGTTGCTGGCGCTGAGGCTGGTGCTGTTCGCTGTCTTCTTCGTCCTGCAGAGCCGCCAGCTGCCGCTCTAGCACCGTCCTCCAGACTTCCGCTGCCTCGTCAGCGGATACAGGCTCCCTGATTTCCCGTCTTGCCAGCTCCAGGCTCGCGAGGCGCCGTACTTTGCGAGCTGCATCGCTCAAGCCCGCTTTCTCAAGGCGATCGAGAGCCCGTACAACCGCTGTCGGTGGGACGGATACGGCGCTGGGTGCCACACCCACGTCCCTCGCCGGCGCTGCCCTTGCGATTGCCGGCGACCCCGTACCGGGCATGGCGGGAGGGCCGGTGTGCTGCAGTGGCGTTGCATTGTCAATTTCCTCCGGTGCCTCTGCTTCGGCGTTGTGGATGTGAGCCGGCGCTGCTCCGGCCGCTGCGTTGCTGGGCCCTGGGAGCGCGGCCAATTCTTCTTGCAGAGCTGTCCCCTGGTTGCGAAGCTGTTCCCAAGACTGGTAACGTGATAGCAACTCATAACCGCGCCTGTGCGTCTCGCGAGCCTGCCTCCGTTTAGCGTTTCTGTTTGAATTGGCCCGCTGATGGGCTTCCTGCCAGGTGCTAACTGCTACCGCGCTGCCACGGCTAGGCCTGGTAAGTCCCACTGGAGCCATGGCTGCCTGATACGCTTGTTCGGCTTGCTCTACCGCCCAATTGTACTCGCGGACCTGAGCTCGGTCTGCTTCGGTCAAACCTAGCTCTGCTAGCTCTTGGTTAATATCTGCTAATTTAGCCTCCAAAAAGGCTCGCCTACCTACAGCTGCAGCCATACTTAAGAACTGTCTGCAACTACGCAAAAGTCAGCGCCTTCCTAACTGCGCACGGAAACTCAGCGGCAAAGACCTGAAAGGCCAGCTGAGGGCAAACTGTTTAACCAAGGTCAAAACGTCTAGCACCGTCCACTCGCAAGCCTGGTGGCGACTGCTCTGCTCCCTGTCGTACATGCGCTCCAAAACCCCATTTTTAGTTGACACTCAAAATGATACGTTGTTGATTACTTGTCGTGCAGTCCCCATTCGCAATAGGATACGCCACGTACAACATAGCTTTGTGCGTTTACTACCCGTAGCCTTTTCTTGCCCAATCATTATTTACATTTGCACGGTCTCCCAGAGGGCCTGCATGGACGACCTCTGTCCATGCCAGGCAGGCAAGAGACTTCATACCAGTTCAAGTAACTGAGGCTACCGCATTAACAGTTCGTGTTTAGTGGTCTGCGTCTAAGTCGCGAAGGACGGGACCTTCCGCCTAGTTCCGTAATTACACTGTCGCTAGCGTTGGCTTGCACGCGCATCGGCGTCTATAACATTAACCCACTAGCATACGACCATCGATGTCAATGGCTAACCTGCGCCAGCAGGCGATGCTGGCTATCGTAATCTTGGCAGCAGCGGCATTCCCGCTGTCAATGCAGGCTGCCAGTCCCTTCCCCTCTCCGCCTCAGCCGCCTACACCGGCGTCGGCGCTGCAGTATCCCCGCTGCATAGGCGTGGGGGACCGCGAGGTCGATTGGTGGGTAATCCTCAAGTTCCCATCCGGCGAGAATGCAGCCTACATGGACAGCGACTCACCTCCGCTGACAGGAAACGCCTGTTGGCGAAGCGGTATCAACGTTAACGACCCTGCTGGACCTCTACGGCGTACGTTAGCAGCCATATCAGCTAACATTAATGCAACCAATAGCAATGTGACCAGCGGCAGCACGATGAACAACTCAACCGGATTCGCGTTCTACAATGATGCAGATCCAGAGGGTGATGAACATTACACCTTCGCACATGCTAAAGGAGCGCTTGTCTTTGAATCTGAAGGTGGCTTTTGGATCACCCACAGCTTCCCAAGGTACCCAGGCCGACCCAGCAACGCCACAGACTGGGATGTCGTACAAAAATCGCAAACGGTATACGGACAACACGCCCTTTGCCTAACGATGCCAAGAGTCCAGCTCCTGGCAGTTGCAGAATCGTTGGTGGTAGCACGTGTCTTCGCGTACGAATATAACATGCCTGGAGATTTGCTTGCAAAGTACGGCGCCGTACAACGGTTAATCGACCAAGCTTCAGGGGTTGCCAAGCGCTTGCTAATTACCGGACAAGATGAGGACCCAGAAAGCTTGCTTGGAGACGCAACTGGTGACAGCGACAGGCACCAACAGCAGCAGCAACGGCAACGGCTGTCTGCACTCGCGCAACACCCGAGGCAGCTATTGAAGGTCGCAGCAACACAGTCAAAACCACCGTCACCGCGGCCGTCACCACCGCCGTTCCCTAAACCGCCGCCCCCACGGCCGTCGCCGAAACCCCCTACAGTAACTCAGTCGGCCCCATCACCCAAACCACCACCACCGCGGTCTTCACCGCCGCCACCGTCACCCTCCCCACCACCGCCACGGCCACCCCCAGCTTCACCTTCCCCACCACCGCTGCCGCCGCCTCCTCCACCGCCGCGGCCCTCTCCACCACCGCCACGGCCCCCACCACCACCGCCTCCGTCACCTTCTCCACCCCCTCCACGGCCCCCACCACCGCCGCCGCTGCCACCTTCTCCACCCCCGCCACAGCCCCCACCACCGCCGCCTCTGCCTCCTTCTCCACCACCGCCACGGCCCCCATCACCGCCGCCTCCGTCACCTTCTCCACCCCCGCCACGGCCCCCCCCACCGCCGCCTCTGCCACCTTCTCCACCACCGCCACAGCCCCCACCACCGCCGCCTCTGCCTCCTTCTCCACCACCGCCACGGCCCCCATCACCGCCGCCTCCGTCACCTTTCCCGCCGCCCCCGCCGCCTTCTCTGCCCCCTCCGCTCCCTTCCCCGCCGCCGCCGCTCCCACCGCCGCCGCGGCCATCGCCTCCTCCTCCGTTGGCACGACCACCACCCCCGTCCATCTCTCCTCCTCCGCCGCCGCCGCCGCTGCCGTCACCTTCCCCGCCGCCGTCGAAGCCACAGAACACATCCTCTCGCTCGCTGCTGACCGCTGGCGGCAGCGCCTGGCTGCATGTGACCAAGTCGCCGCAGTACGTGGTGCCATTCCACGAGCAGGCAAGTGAGGGAGGGAGTAGTACGGATTGGAACGCTACTGCTACTATCGTAGTTCAGGTCTATTCGTGTGGCCTCGTCAAAGACACATGCCTCCGCTTCCATTTATCACCATAATACCATACGAGTGTATAACTCGTAACGCTTTCTTTCTCCCTCCCTTCCCTCCTCCCCTCTTCCTGCCCGCCCGCAGGTGCTGGAGCCCCTTCTAGGCGCCTCCATGGCTTGGGAGACCTGGCGCAACGGAGCCGTGTCGTACCCCTCGCAGTGCCCCCCAACCACCCCGTACGGCACCTACAACATACAGGACATCAACCTGCCGTTCTGTACTGATGACGGCAACGTCCCCCCTGCTGCTGCTGCTCTCGGAGCTTCCGTCGTCGTAACGGCGGTGTCAAAGGCGGCTACCGGTGCGTCCACCACTGCCAACAGCGTAGCGAGGTTACTGGGCGGCGGCAGCAGCCCGGAGGCAAGCAGCAGCAGTGGCGCTGCTGCGGCTGCTTTGTCAGCAAGACGGGCCCTGGCAGCGGTTGCTTCGCCACCCAAGCCGCCGTCACCGCCCAAGCCGCCTTCTCCTCCTCGTCCCTCTCCGCCTCCTCGGCCGTCCCCACCCCCTCGGCCCTTCCCGCCTCCTCCACCGACTAGCGCCACTTGGGATTCCCTTCGGGACCACAGCAAGTGGGGTGTGAGCATTCTTGCCAACATCACGGCAGGTACCTCAGGCGGCGTCCCCTCCACATCATCATTACCGCCGCCGTCACTGCAACAGCAGCAGCCGCCGACGGTTGTATGCCTGGGAGATCTCAACCGACAACCGAGCCAACGGTATCGAGGTGGAGGCTTCGTTTGCTCACGTGATGCTCGGCTCTGGGCGATGTTTACGGCCCTGATTGCGGATATGGAGCCCTGCAATGGCACTGATACGACAGCAGTGTAAGACCGAGAACAGGTGGATAGTCCCAAACGGAATTGTAGGCAGTAGTGTAAAGCTAGACGTTTGTGGGATTGTTTTTGTGGGAACGCAGCAGCTAACAGACTGGGATACGTGCGGATCGAAAGGCGAGGGCCCAGCAGGGTCGTGCAGTTGAATACCGGTATGCGGGAAGCAGTAGCTTTCAGGGCAAAGGAACAGCTTAAGAATGGTCATGGTTACCAGTTGGTTACTCCGCAGGTTATACTGTTGCTACCTGTCTGGTAGCTTCGGCGTTGCTGTTGTTGTTTTCGTTCTGTCGCATGCATGGTGAGGTTGAGGTTCAGGTTTGACGACTGGGCTGCTGCTGTTCTCTCCGAGGCCAATTGCCTAAGGTTTACAGCTCATTACACTACAGGGGGAAACACTACCGAGGGAACAAGGTAGGGGCTGCACATGTTCTGGTCAGGCAGTGGCGGTGTGTCCTGATCAGGCTTTGAGGGCTTACTTGGGCCACGTGTGCGTACATCCTATTTATCACAACTTCAAACAACTGGTAGCCGTTCCACCCCCAGTGTTGCGTGGCCTGCCCTGCTCGTCTTGTAACCGCTGTATCGTTCGCTCCGTGCCTGCAATATCCGGATCTGATTTAGTGATGGCGTGTGGCAGGTAGTGCGGGTGTCCGCAGTGCTGCAGTGGATGTCAGCAGCGTGCGAGCGCGCTTACATTTGTACTATGCTTGAGCGGGGTATGCGACTGCGAGCGGTGTTACTGGTAGACGTCATCATAGCAGCTCGAACGAATATGCCGTATCACGTATTACGTCAGTTTATCCTCGGAAGAGGCATATTATCATCGCACGTTGCTATATACACCAATCAATGGTTCAAGGTACCGTACTACAACATGGGGTACGCTTCATTAACGAATGGGACAGTCCATTAGGCTATGTGTGACAGGGCGGAAAGGTTCTGTTTTGCCAGGCCTGTTTGTTCCGCATGTGGTGCTTTGCTTGTGGGGTATGACACTTTAGATGATGCTAATTAAACGTCTGCCGTTTACCTATCGTACACTGCAATTACTGCTGACGGACGGATTGTCCGGCCTGCTAAAACCCGTCAAGGTGACGTAAACTTACAGCTTTGCCCCTATATGGTTACAAACGTCCTTGGCCGGTCGGAGCCGTTTCAGCCATACCTGGTACGTCATGCAGGCACAGGGCCAGTACGACAGGGAACACTCCACACAACAAGCCATTAATCCTACATTTGCTTGCAACTATTAGTATCACCAATGGACACAGGAATAATCACAGCGATGGCGAAGACAGCAATATCTCTAGGCAAGTAACACAATGCTGACTAATACCGAGAATAGTAGTGCAGACGCGTGCACGTACATTACAAAGTAGTTTACGGCACAACAGGGGGGGCAGTTTCGCCGCAAAATGACCCCATGCTTCAATATTAAAGAAATCAACGAGAGCATTCCGATTCCGCTTTCAGAATTGTATTCGGAGTTGTATGGAAAACGTTATAGGCTCCCAAAGTTGGTCGTACGGCAGGGGTGGATAGGTGGGTCCGGAGCCCCAATGACCTTTTTTCTTTGACCTCCAAACCTTTTTCCCTAGGTATCGTTTCGCCAAACGGATAGCAGATCTGTACTCCTGTTATAGTATATGCATATTATGTTAATATTAGAGCCTTTGTGTGGAGTTTGCGTGTGGCATGTCTACATGGAAGACCCTAGCTGGCCCAACATACGTGGTATGGCTTCTCCAGAGGCAAAGCAAGCAGCAGGGACAGGGGCCCAAAGAGGGACCAAACGAATAAAACTACAAAGTTAGGGCAAGGTTGAAGGGGGAGGGCACGTAACAGGCGTACTGACGACACACCCGTGTCAGGGGGAAACATGCGTGGTTCTGCATCTGGTGCTGAGGGCGGTGGGGTGCAAGCCCAACCTGCTACCCGGGGGAGGGGGCGCAGTCGTACCGTTGGCGGGGTGATGTGAGGGACGCAGTGGCAGGTCGGCTGGAGCACACTTACCAACGCAACCGTGCAAACAAGCATTACAGCAATGCATGTGAGGTTTAAAAGAGATGTGTATCGGCTGCATACCAGGGAGTATTTAGTCTGGCAGCCTGCCTGCCCCCCCTCCCGTGTGGCGAGCGACTCGGACATGTTGCCAAATGGTACGCCTAACGTGAGAATGACGAAGATCTTGTGCAATGGAGTCGAATGGTGCTATTTTGGGGCGATTTTGCAAAGTTTGCAGCGTTGTCGTACAGCAAAAACGGTATGACATGGGGGTGGGTGGGTCCGGCACCCCTTTCTTGACTTTTTCAGCATGGGGTTTGGCAAAGACTTTCTTACCCCACCCCCCCTGGGCACAACAGTGGTGGGCGGATAATAGGGGTATTGAAGCTGTCTTTCAGTGCCTAGTGGCATTCCGAGCCCCAGCAGGTAACCGATAGCCTTCACACATCCATACGGGGGTCAGAGGGCTTCCTGAAAACCTTCCCAAGCACGCGCATCTGCCATTGTTGGTGGGAAGTCTTCCCCGTGATTTGTAGTACTCAACCGTATGTACTACAGCCATACATGCATGATCCGACTCCTTTGGGAACAAACGCATGGACCTAGTCAAACAAAAGTGTGATTGCAACATCGCATCACCCGCCGCACCATCTCAACTGCCTACATTCCGTACAAGCCACAAGCGAGGCCCAAACCTGACAGCTAGACTGCTCACGGGAACACCTCAGGAAAAGCGGAAACCGCAATAACGGACAGAAATTGCCCGACACACCGTTCAACAACGATGAATCCCACGTGTCCTCGAAACAACGAAGTTGAGCCAGGGCAGCCACACACATACCCAAAGTACGAAGGGCATGGCAATGAACGAGCACCGGATATGGTAGTGGTGTTCCAAACCCAACACACCAGGTTGGCCCGGCAGCCCAACCGGCAAGAAAGGGTTACCCCACAACGGAACACCCCAACACCAGCTACCCGGTACCAAAGGATCCGACCCTATGTCAGTAACTGGCGGTAAAATCGCAATAGAAGTCACAACCCGACGTATATCCTCAGGCAAACCATCCACACCCAACCAAGCCCCCCTACTGGTCGCTGTCAACAACGATAGGGGACCAAACACCGGATGCAACCGCCGAAGGTACAGAAGCAAAGCACGCTGCCAGGGATGTAAGGAATCCCTTGGCATCACGGCGGCATGCCTTACCCCACCATCACTCACACCACCCACAACCTTGTGCTCTGGGCCACCACTGCTGCTGACGTACTGACGTACAGCAGGTTCAATTTTCATTTGGTATTATTTGGTAGATGCATGCACCACACAGCAATCCGCACATCAAGTGTCACATTACGCTCGCACGAACAAGGGGCGGGCGGGTCGGTGTCAATTCTGTGGTTCATCGGTTGGTTCAGCCCACCACGAACGCCCGCGTGTTAAGGTCTCGCACTTCTCTATCCATTGCACCGGCTTTATTTGCTTGGCATCACATCGATTGTAAGCCAAATCACTACCAAAGCACATTACACGTTCCATCACGCCCGCATGCTCATTAGGCCCGTAGACCTTCCTCGGGCCGCACGTACACTGGCCTCAGTGTATTGGCTAGGTCGCACATTACCGTACTTGAAATTCGTTTGCAGTACAACAGTGGTTAATCCCATTCTAGACGTTGCTCTGGAGACAGGTCGTAGTAGTGCAAAGCTCGACACCTGAACGCAGGGGCCGAGCAAGTGACATGCACAGCATTGTTACGAGATGTGCTTACAGCATACGCACGGCAACAGCAATACCGGTACATATAAGTTACCGGCGGAATAAGTAAGGGCGAGCTCGCCTCTGCGAGCTCAGCAATTGGCAGCAGTTGGCGTCAGCAGTTGCACCATTGCCCGCCTTTTGGCTTCTTTGTTGCCTTGCATGGCCACCATTTCTTCCCATGGATGGCATGAATGGTGAATTGCAACCCTGGCAAGTAATCCCCACTCATGCGCTTGCTTCACCTAGCCGAGATTGGAACAAACCTCCAAGCAGTGTACGGCGTACCTCTTCCTCCACTCCTGCCACAGCGCCTCATGCTTCTGGGGCAGCTCCACCACCTTCACCAGCCGGTCCAGCCACAGCGGCTGACCCCAGTGCCGTACGGCAAGCAGCGAGTCGGCATTGTACGACAGCAGCTGCCGGTAGGTGACGCGCTGAAACAGGGCGCTGCTGTTGCTGGTATGAGGGAAACCGGCGGTGGCAGCAGCAGCAGCCTGGGGTTCCTGAGGATGCTGCACAAACATGCACGCAGTCAAAGGTTAGTAAGGCATGGGCGCAAGAGTTATGGGCAGGTACGGATTGCCAGCAGCAGGACAAGAGAAGGGCTTCCTGTTAACGGTATATCAAAGGTGTGCAAGCAAACATGTACATTTATACCGTGCTGCATTATAGAGCAATAAATTCGTATTGTTTTGCTTGTAATACCGTACCTCCCAGCAGTGACCATCAGCGAAAAGATAGATAATTGAAAAAATGTGCATTAACGTGCAAAAACAAATAATTGGTCCAGGGCGTGCGCGTTGAAATTACATAATTCCCCAAAGGACTGCTCGTTAACTAAACATTTGCCCTTGGTGTGGCCCCCAGTGCATGCTGCCACATTCATACTTACACCTCCTTGCTAGCAGCTAAGAAGGCCTTTGCGTGTTGAGGCACGCGGCTCCCGGAGTGTAGGCTTTAGGCTAATACAGTACTACTTTTGAGGCTGCGAAAAGTGGAAGATAATTGCTCAGAACCTTGCGCGTTTTAACTTCTTACAGCGCTGCGCTTTCATAAAAGTAACCCCAAATTTCCTGCTGCGTGGTGATCAGACACAGGTACGGTACGACATATACCGGTACTACATGCATCCAATGCAGCCTTACATACTTACCGGCAGCTTCAGGTTCAGTTGCACGGCTTCCTTCCCTTCCCGGCTGCTGTGAAGCAAGTGCTCGAACTCGACTGCCAACATACCGCGAGCCGGGCCACCGTCATGGGCGAGGCAGTCTGTGAGGAGGAGGTGGGCAGGTAGACGGGGATTGCAATGATGGTGGGCCGGGCCGGGGTGAGGTATTACCAATCATTCTGAATCATTCTTAAAAAAGTAAGGGTGCATATGTGTCAGCATGCATCATGAATACGGCTACCTAGCAGCCTGTATATGCAGCAGCAGCACACTTTGCATGATGGCTAACGTTAGGCCAACCTATACTATAACCAACCCATGTGCAGTAGGTACACACGTGGCGTGTACTCCTTGTACGAGTACATACGAAGGAAACATCCCTTTCACACTCGGACATCAAGCTCTTGATTGCACCTTGCATAACGGCTACGTACCAAAGTACTGGACAAGTAGTATCCCACATTGACATCGATATAAAGCCTCTCATTCTTGTCATTACGTTTGATTGCAACTTGCTACACCCCCTTTGTCAGAAACGCATATTGTAAACATAACTACCAACCAAACCTACCATGGCTATAGAACCCCGACCATTCACCTGAGGAAAAGGATCAGAAGCACAGCGATTGGGGAGGGCTAGTTCATTCACACGTCTGTGCGTGAGGCATGGTTATTACCACTTCGAAGTAGCTAAACTGGACACGTGGTAACGCAGTTGGTAGTGGCAATAATGGCGCTCGAACTCACTTGCTTGGGCGCAGCGGGACCATGCCCACCCATCCACCCACATTTTAGTTTCTCCAACGACCGTCCGAACGGAGAGACCGTGGTCGCCGTTTCCAGGTGCAGCCAGGGAATGGTGTGGCGCACCGGCTTGGGCCCGCCACGAGAGCCGTTAACCAGCACCTGATGTGTGGGGGCAGGGGGGCGGAGTGACCCATGGGTCTTTATGGTGGACATGATTGTGACGTGAGTCAGTCAGCATCAGTGTACAATGACCTTCTGCATGGGTGCGAGAAAGGTTACCAGCACAGCGCCCACGGATGTGGCATGCATGCTTATCATGATTGTAGTATTGGTGAGGCGACCGGTGGTCAGTGTCTTCTCCCATAATGGCCCCCGTCCTCCGGCCCTCCGGTCCCACCACCCACCCAGTCCGATGAGCAGTCCACAGCCGGCCAGGCCGCCACCGCCCGCAGCGCCACCGCCACGCGAGCCAGCTGGGACACCGCGGCGATGAACGTCTCCTTGGCTGCGGGTCATGCATGGGGGCCGGGAGCGGGGCCGGGGGCGTTATGGGAGAAGACACTGACCACCGGTCGCCTTGTCAAGCAGGGCAGGTACGGAAGCAGGGGCGGGATAGGGGAGAGGTTTAACGGGCGTGGGCTTGTGTGTTGGATGGGAAGGTGGCCATGTAACCGGTTTAAGTTGTATGGTCGGTAGAGGAAACCCTGTGACAAATGCACGCTGCATGGTATGGCTCATAAGTAAGCAAAGTGTATATGCTGATATGCTGCTGCCAACCAACGTTGCTTGACAGCATGGCATCAGCCACCATGCATGCAGGAGAAAGGGGGTGGTGGGTACCGTGGCATAAAACACCGTGTCAAACGAGGTAAGCTAAGGTAAGCTGTTCCAAAGACCGCACAGTTACCATCGACCGGATGCAAACCGGAAGTTGCAATCCACTCACATAGTCCGTAGTGCAGCACGCCCGGCGCATACGCCACCACGCGTTGCAAGGTAAGTTTGGCGTCAGCGTCATGTTCCGTGGCGAAGTACACGCGCGCAGGGCCGCCGTGCATCCAAGCCGCCAGATGCCAGTTGTAATGGCCCATGTGCTGCAAACCGACTCGCTTCGCTGCGAACTTATCGTCGTCAGCAAAGAGCGGCAAGCCTCCATGAATGTGGCCCATAGCCTAACCAGGAAACAGAGGAAAGAGATAGCGTGGGAGATTAACTTGCGTTAGCTTGATTAGGACAATGGATGGGACTGGGTCATACTGTGGGTCATCAATATGGTCAGGCCGAGCTGCTAATCAGGATACGCGCTTGAGCCGGCAGGTGCAAAGTTGATAGACGCGGAGAGCAAACGTTGACCGCCCATTAAACACAGTCCCCTGCCTCGTCCAATTTAGCAACCTGCCTCACCCAACCTGCCAACACCATCCCACACGCCCCATCTTCCGAGCCCAACCCTATCTTCCCTACCGGTCCGATTGCCTATCCAAGCCAGCATCCTACTGGTAGCTCACAGAACAACGCTACCCTACCTTAGCTGGTCCTCACACACTATAGATAACGCCCCCTTCCGCCCTCCTAGTTAGCTACCCACTACTGGTGACAGCTTACATTGGTATACTTGGGCTGCAGGTGCAGGTGCCAGTGCCCTAGCCGTCCGTGCGCGAACCAGTTGTGTTCCAGCCAGGTTCCCAGAATCCGCTTGCGATCGTCCGTACGAGGCAGCAAGTCATCTGCGCAGTTGCCGTGCATTATTAACGGAGGGACGGAAACGAAGCTTACCAAAAACGACGTCCACATGTAGGGTAACCAGTAACATCAAGAATGGGGTTAAGGGTTTGGCTCTAGGATAGGTTGTTGATTGGCTTGAGGGTTGGTCATCAGGTTATCTGTTGGTTTGGTTGGTACAGCAGGGCACGGTGAAGGACACACCGGTACATACCGGCAGGTGCAGCTCGCAGCTAGCGGCCATTGACGGATGCTTTAAAACAGCATCATCAGTTCATCACCTACACCAAGTGCAGGGTGCAGTAAATAACACTGCTCCTGGAAGCCCATCGGGATTTCCGCATCCATCCAGCAGCCGTCCCGTTTTTTTGCTGCTCATCATCTGTCCCAATCGACGGGCGCAATGAAATTCCAGGTTTAGCCACACCATAGCTGTACCATAGCTATGCCGTTTAATTAAATGGGTATAGGCGTACGGTAAAACACTAGAACTGACCATAGCTGTACCACAGCTGTACCACAGCTATGGTCAGCTCTATCCTAGTGCTTTACCGTACGCCTAAACCCGTGTAATTAAAAGGCATGTGCCCCATCCCACACCTGCCCCCTGCACGCACCTACACCAATCAGCGCGAACAGCTCAGGCTTTGTGGCTTGGGCCTGTGCGGCAGTGGCGGGATCCTCGGGGTCAGGAGGCAGGGGCACGCCTGGGGGGTGAGGGTGAACGGAGGGGAAAAGAAGAAAGATGGAGGAGAGAGCTGAGCGATATGAGGATGTGCAATGCAGGCATGGAACAGAGCGCAAGGTATCTTTGGCTGGAAGCAGAAGCAGTACCGGTAGTTGTGCAGGGAAGTCGTTTTTTCAAGGCTCTTATACATCTCAAGGCACGCCCAAGCAATCACAAGTCACAAAGCACACATCACTATAAACGAAACGGTAAAGGAAACGAAATTCCTTACCCAGGTCTTGAAATGCCTTGCGGTACGACAGGGTGTAGGGCCCTGGAGTGCCGTACAGGTAGCCCCCCATGTGCATCGGCCACTCGCCGCCTGCAGCAGCATCAGTGGGACGAGTCGCATCTTACTTCTTACTAGGCCGTCCGCATATGCCTTAATTCATAAACCCCCCCTCAGTACAGGGTTTCCGCGCACTGCATCATCCGATACAATGGTTGCAAGGGTGACCCATGGGTCACCATGGGGCAAATGCCACCCTGGTCTTATTGCTTACCACTATGCGGCATGTGCAGCTCGGCTGTCCTGAGGCTCACTTTGAGCCGCCCATCCGCTTCCCTCGGCGGGTCGGATATGGCCGGCCAGAGATCGCCCCAAACCTTATCCGCAATAGGGCCCTCAAGCAGCAACTCCTAAGCAGCAGTACGGCAGAAGCGGGGGCGAAATGAGTACGGCATTAACAAGATAGACGATTAGAGAAAGCAAGAAGACGGAGACTTGTTAAGCGGGGTAGGTACGCTGTCCCACATCACTGTAATGATTCACTTCTGCAAGAAAGAGCAGAACTGCAACAAGGAGACGAATTGAACCTATTGATCAGCTCACCAAATCGGACCTGACAAATGACAAATGACCTGACACACATACGTCACGGGGCGATTTGCGGCAGTGTAACGTATACTCTGTGTCGTGCATATTTGTTGCCGTACCTTGTCTCCCATTTTATGTATGGCCATTGTGTAAGCCGGGTATGACACATTCTGCGAGATTGCGAGGCGGGGCGAGGGGCGCTGGTGAGGCGCTGTTGTACATCCGAGATGGGAGGTAGCAGTGGTGCAGCAACGCGTATGGCACAGGTGTCGTATGCACACCTCATGACATCCCACATAGACGCCGCCCTACTGCAGCCTCCTTACGCACCCACCGTGCTGTAACGAGCTAGGTCCGCCCGCCTTCCTATGTCAGTCTGAATCGCCCCCGCAAACCCACACTGCTGGGCCTTCCGGTCCATCACACCACTTCGCAGGGGGGCCTAGTTTGGCTCAGCTAGTTTGTAGCTAGTTTGGCTCGCCTTGCCATTGCAACCGCCCATCACCTCACCTCGCGACCTCCAAGCTTGGCCCAACCTGCTTCATCGTTTCTCATCGATAACAGCAACATAAAGTAGAGCGGCCGCCCAGCAGCGCAGCTAAGCAGCACGTCAGTCATCATGGTCTGATCTTCAGCGTAAAACCGACCTGGAGTACGACACGAGGCAGTTCGTTAGTTTCGGTAGTTGACGGTTAATCCGTTAGGCTGATGCAAAGCTATCGACTTTGCTCCCACGAGTGAACGGCGAATCATGGATGAGTTCTTATGACTGTGGCGGTGATGGATGCATATTGCACGGATGCGCATAACTTGAGACTGGACTCACTAATGCCGGCATGCGAAGGGTTTCCTACTTTCCCTCCTGTCTGATCTGTTTCAACCAACCTAGGTCGTCAAAGAATTTGCTGGAGATGTTGGCGAGGCGTGTCGCGTTCTCCGCCCAGCGAACCACTCTGTGCATGGGTTCGTAGAACATGTAGGCAGCGGGGCCGTTGGGGGCGGCGTTCTGCGGGGAAGGGGAAAGGAAGGGGTTGCTGGGGGGCTTTGGGAGGGGAGGGGGCTGGAAGGAGGCAAGGACGTAGACGGCGGAGCAGTGCTGAGAGTTGCATGTCGTAGAGAAGGATGTGTGCATATAGGGGTGCATAAAGGGATGCATATAGGGGTGCATAAAGGGGTGCATAAAGGAAGAGGAGGGTGGTGGGGCAGAGTACCGGTACGAGAAGGCTCATCAGGATTGGCCCAACCGCGGCGGGCACCACTGGCATTCCTTCCCTCACCCCACCTACCTACCTTAATTTCACTGAAGTAAAACCTAAATAGTAGTACTCTTGTGGTTGCTGCCCCTCCTCGCACCCAGCCATTTCCCCATACCCACCTGGATGTAGCTGAAACCCCCGTTGATGCAGTTCGGGCACTCCGCCTGACTAAACATGGTGTATTGCGACAGCGGGGGACTCTTAACCAAGCCATACCAGTCCCCAAGTACGACAACGTCCTCGTCAATCGCCATCACGTTGTAGCCCAGCATTACCGCACGAGCTGTGGGGATGGTGGTGGCGGGAGTGAGGGTGGGTGCCAGGAAAGGAAGTGCGTGAACATGGCAGGAGGTAGAGGGAACGCAAAAGAGGTTGCTGTACCGGTTAGTTGAGTGCCTTCAGCAGCTGTTACGACCTCTGTGGTACCCCATAGGCCATAGCATGCAAGAGTGTGCACGTACTCTTCAAGCTATGCACGTACACTAGCGTGTACGTGCAACCCCCCGTTGTGTGTTAATAAGGGCCCAAATGCGGCCTCCAGATAGGTGTCGCATGTCAGTCATCCAACTGTAGGACGTTACAGGACAACGCACCTGCACACACAGCCACGGGACACGCGAATCGTCAAGATGCATGACGCCTGCTGTCGGCGGCACTATCACCGCCCCGTTGGGCCCGTTTTTTTGCATGCATGTACGTGCTTGCCAACTACACAGACGATCAAGGCATTGTACGAATGTACGGTGACGTCCGTATAAAACGCACCTGCCGTGAACCATTTACGCCACCACGCGGTAACGCCAACCTCATGCCTGAGGTACTCAAAACCAGATGCGTACGGCACGTCGTTGTCGTCCTTTGTACGATACCAACCGCAAGACATGTTGGCTGTCGCGGCGGAGAGTGCGCCATGGGTTTGGATGGGAACCGTGTGGGGACGGAGGGAAGCACAGGATGGAGCAACGGAAAAAGGCAAAAGGGCGGTTGCTGCTTAGTCGTCTTGCTTATAGAGTAGGTAATAGCAGACAAAGGTTTGCTTACCCACACTCACAACACCGCATACGCAGCGTATTGTTGACATGAAGGCGAAGCATATGGAGGCATGCCGTACGGGTATAATGTGTGACAACAGCAGCAGTTCATTAACGCTCGTGGTAATTGCCTTTAAGCAGCAGCATTGGGATGAATCATATCCCACGGATAGGCGGTGACATCCCCTAATGGGTGTTGAATAGGGTCGGCTAACGATGACAGCCATGACATGGGTTCATGAAGCATCTGTGCTACAGATGTCACAAACAACGGCATAGAGCAACTGGAGGAGACTTGCGGCGCTGCGGAAGGCTTTCGACCAAGGCTAGTACGTACAACCGCCCACCGATAGCGGCTTCCACGCTCGCAACGAGAAGAGCCTTGGCTAGGTTCGGTATGCCATGCTTTGTGTGCACCCTTATTTGGAATTCGTCAGGCACCAAGACTCACCTTCTTGGCTGGAATTTCTATATCTGCCGTCATATGTCGTGAATAGTCGCGTATACCTCTGCAGATACGGATATTTGCTCTCGTCTATGATAGAATGGATGGAAAGTATTTTCCATTTCTCAATGCAAAGACAATATTTTTGGGTTCACCTTATGCTTGCTTGCGTTGGTCACACGGGCAGGCTTGACCCACCCGGCGCCCTTCAGTTCCTGCTTACCTGGCAGTCGTCTGGCAAGACGAGGACTGGCAATACATGATCGTATCCAGCCCTCCTACAACGGTCCGCTGTATGTGCCGCGAACTCGACCCGAGTCTCTCCGAAGATGATGAGCTCCCGCTTGTAATGGGTGTTTGTGAATGCAGCTTTTGATTGCTCCACAGTATCCAAAGGCCCGACGTAGCCTACAAGCTTTCCAGTACTGCAATAGGCGCTGTTCCTACACGATACGTCGCTGGCGCAAGCGAGGCTAAGGCAAAACGACAGGAGCAGCACTGCGAGCAGCATGTCGAGCAAAGCATGCATTTCAAAAAAAACCATTGTTGTAACACGTATTTCCGGTCGTTGCAAAGCCTTAAGCCATGACCTTGTAGTACTGGTTCTGGAGGCGACTGTTCATTTTCCAAACTCAAGATACCGACATTGCTTTACAGGTAACTTTGTTTAATTTGCTATAAGCAATCTGAAACTTGATACACAATTTTTAGCTATTGCAGAGCCTGATAACATACATGGACATCTTACAACAGAGAAATAGCCGAGTGCCCGAACAGTGGGCCACAACAACCGCCTTGCATATACACCTGGCTGAGGTTACGCAATGCTGTTCATGGGAAAATATTTGGTTACTCGCCGCATAAACCTCTCCGTTCGAAACCGCCTCGTAAGCGAACACAACGCTAATAAGCACTATTTGCGCATAGGAAATATATATTTCCGTGGAATGGCGCTATTTAAGACAGCTCGGGTGGCCTGTATAACTCGTACTTGCCCTGACTTACACGGGTCGATGCCTGCTTTACATGTACGTTCGTACTCGTACGTTTCATACCGGACCTTGAGTCTCCCAGTAGCCGTTACATGGGATATACAATCCAACGGTCTGGACACGTCACGCCGGCACAAAGCACCTTTGGGAAACGCTGCATTGGATAACCGCGCAGGTTCCAACCACCCCCAGGTCCCACAATCTTGCTAGTCACAAAGACAGCCTTGGCAAGGGACCTTGTTACAGGTTGTTTTACATTCTTGGTGCAAGACGTTCCGTACAGGCCGTACCCTACATGCCGCATACAGTTAGGCGAGGCAAGCAGCAGTAATCTGCGGCTCGGCGCCTTGAAAGCCACCATCACGCAGCTGCGCACAGTAGACATTCCACCGACGGCCTCATTCCACCCTAGGAACACTTCAAGGGTACCAGCTGCAACCGATTGGAAGGGGACTTGGACCTCGTTTGGTATACGATTTGGCACCCTTTGTATGCTCAAATGGCGCGGAGGCCGGAGCGTATCCCCTGAACAGCCGAGACTTGCATCGTTAGGATATGAGGTGGGCACAGGAAGGTATGGGCAGAGGCAGCGTTCGGTCATCGGCTTTCTCATGCGAAGCGATACCAAAATGGCAGGGAGTAGGCGCCGCGCACAGGCCATGAAGAGCGCTGTGTGGTTTTGTTTTGCAAGGGCATGTCTACCACACAAAGTTACCAAAGATCACGGACAAAGCCCGGGCTGCGTCGATCGATTACGATTACGATTACATGGTACGGTGTAGGGCCCTCCCGCCCTACCGCACAACCTCACGAACCATTCCGGTCAAGAGGTGCAATAACAAACAAAAGTTCGCGGGGAGACAAAGCGTCGATCATACGGCAGTCCGTATTTCCGGTACGGATCCTTTCGAGTAATTTCCAAGTCACAAAGCAACTTGCGATTTACCATCTTCTTCCACATGGAAGCAGTTCTCCCAGATAGACGTTTAGCTTCATGTAAATAATAGCAGTTAGAATGTTTCTCATCCTGCTTTCTGCCATCTTGGCGGCAGTAGCGTTCTACTACCACAGACGTGCCAGGAACAGCGAACTACTATGCAAAGCAAAGACTGCAGAGGTTGGCTACGTGCTCCTGCGGCTGGAGGATACCACCCAGCAGCTCGAGGATGCTCGGGCGCAGATGGTGCGTGGTAGCCGGCGACTTGCCTTGCTGTCTTAAGGATTTGCCAAAGGGCTCGTTCACTGAATGTGGTGTTCCGCTAGCTTGGATGTCCGGCTGGGGCGGTTCGGGGGCACGAAAAATTCCGGCAACGCCATAGAATAATAATAATAAGCCTCCACAGGCAGTTAACGTTTATGGTACTGTTTGCACCTTATTCCGCCCTGCTATTACATGTAAGCTGTCGTAGGAAGGGGTGTGGCGATGATCGCTAAGCAGCCCTCCTGTCACACTTTGCTCAGGCTGAGCAACAGGACAAGCTTAAGGCACAAGAGCGCCGGATTGACAATTTCCATGACCTTGTGGACCAGCGTGACAATGACGTCAAAACCTTACAGTAGGTGGAGGCGCGGCGACTTGTCTTCCATCGGTGTTGTTGTGTTTCCGACGCACATTGCAGGCCTACAACTTGGATTCCGTGTCTGGTTGAATCTCTAGTACACCATTCTCCCGACCAACAATTGCCTTCCAGGGGTCAACTGCGCTTTAGGGAAGCCGCAGCTGCTCAGCTCGAGCAGGACCTGCGCCGCGCCAATCTTCAGCTGCGCCGATATAGCCTTACACCGCCTCCCAGCAACAAGCCCTTTACTGCTGGCAGCAGCATTATGCACACAGAAGCAACCCCTACACTCTTCACGCGAACAGCGCGCTCTCTCGTCACGCCACTAATTAGCGGTATTGGGAAGTCCCGTCAAGCGGGCGGCACAACATCAATGGCAACCAGCCGTCAAGCCGGATCACTTTTCTTCGGACCCGCCTCTGGTGAGAACCGCCGCGCTCGGTATGAACGATGCTGAATTTGGCGAAACGGCCGGAACGGCCTTGTACTCTGGGGGGGGTACGTTTGCGCTCACAGAGGGTCATTCGGCCTTGCCGGCTTAGCTTCGGCCTTCGCCCCTTCGCTCTGTTCATTTAATGCTCTCATGGGTTGCTGCCGCACTTTTTCGGGACTAGGTGCTGTTCACGGCCAGGACGACGATGAAGTAATGTCGGCTGGTCGACCCATCGGCCCAGAGAACCAGGTACGGTTCTTCCACGATCTGGGTTACGATTTGCGGCGAACACCCGAGCCTGGTGCCCCATTCTATTGATGGGAAACGTCGCGCTGCCATTGCTGGTGTGGGTATTCAATATATAGCGGAACTGTGAAGTCCCCAGCCGCCCAGGTTGATGTGGCGCATCAAAGCAGAGAGCATGCAATTCATGGGTCATGTGGGTCGATTTGGGTCGGGCCCAAACGCATGCATTAGCAGGCTTAAGTGTATGGTGTACGGGGCCCTGTACAATGTACATCCCCAGCACACGTTTGCGCCCGACCCAGATGGGTCCATGTTACCCATGGATCGCACGCATGTGTACTTGTGTAGCAGGGCGCATGCGACCCTGGCCATTTGAGCGAGAGTACAATGTATAGCATCACGGTGCGAATATGCACACACGTTGCGTTGCCCAATCTTGTCGATTCTGGCCCCTTGTGGACCCTCTTCCCCGCAGAACGAGCACTGGCCCGAGCTGCTGCAGCAGGCGCGGGATGAGGCGACCAGAATGTCGGGGGAGGCAGAGGCGTTACGTCAGCAGGTTTCTGGGCTGGAGGGCAAGGTTTCGGAGCTGGAGGGTCAGAACGTCGTTCTACAGGGCCAGGTTTCGGAGCTGCACGGACAGAACGTCATTCTACAGGGCCAGGTTTCGGAGCTGCACGGACAGGTTGTCGTACTGCGCAACGAGACACAGCAGCGGGCGGAGAAGCTTGAGCAGGCCGATTCGCAGCTGTAAGTTTGAATGCTATGGCAATCAGCAATTTGGTATGGGTGTGTGGAGAAGGGAGGAAAGGGAATGCTTAAGCTCAGGGGAAGATGTGCGTTCAGGCTTGAAATGCGGCGTAAACCCCGCTGTTGGTCTTGCTCGAATATCCAAAACGTCCATGCTTGTTCCTAGGACCACTGACAGTAAGCTTCCCCGGCTCAAATGCAACCAATGCATATCTTTTATCTTTGCCCCTTTCACCCCTTCCCGGTCCCCCCCTGCTTGTTCCCTTTCTCAGGTCCGCCCTGCAGTCCGAGTGCGGCCGGCTCCACACCGCTCTAGCCCAGGAGTCCAACACCCTACAGACCTACGTCGCCGCGGTGTCCGCAGCACGCACCGAACGCGACAAGGCCGCCGCCGCTGCCGCCGCCGCCATCGCTGAACGCGACAGGGCGGCTGCCGTTGAGACTGCTGCCACTTCCGCCGCCGCCGCTGCTGCGGCCAAGTTCTCCGCGGCCGATGCCGACGCCGCCAAGCTGCGAGACCTCATCACTCAGCTACAAGGGGAGCTGGCCAAGACACAAGCGGATCGCGACTCGGCAAGAGGCGAGCTGGCAAAGACGCAAGAAGAACGCGACGTGGCTCAGAAGGCCGCCGACAGCGCTGCCGGCGAGGCCGAATCGCTCCAAAACCAGATCCAGGATGTACGGCAGCAGCTGGTGAAGGCGAAGGAGACCGAGTCGCAACTGGCGGGCGCTGTCCAACAGCTCACGGGTGAGAAGCAGACGCTGGAGGTCGAGGCGGAGGGGCTGCGGGCCCGCGCTGCCGAACTGGAGGCCGAGAACCAAGGGCTGCGGAGTCGTGCCGCTAAGCTGGAGGAGGAGGCGTCCGCTCGGCAGGCCAATGCGGAGGGGCTGCAGGCGCGCATTGCCGAGCTGAAGGCGCAGATCCAGGGGCTGCTGCAGGCGGCGGCGTCTTCGACCTCCGGTAGCAACAGCGCCAAGCAGCAGCAGCAGGAGCACCCCGAGGCGGCCGCTAGTGAGGAAGCGCTGGAGGAGCAAGAGCAGCAGCCGGTACACCAGGCACAATACGAGAGCCCATCCGCTGAGGAGGAGAACAAGCAGCAGCAGGAGGACGCGGTCGAGCAGCTGAGGGCAGAGCTGCAGGTGGTTCGTACCAAGCTGGAGACCGCTAGTGCAGAGCTGGAGGCTGCGAAGGCTTCTTCGGCAGGAGCAGAGCAGCTGAGGGCCGACTTGGAGGCGGCCCGAGCGGCAGTTGTTGAGCTGGAGGTCGTTCGTGCGGAGTTGGAGGCGTCCACGGCTACGTCTGCCGCGGCTGAGGGCCTCAAGGCGGAGCTGGAGGCGGCAAGGACAGAGCTTGGGGAGCGTGTTGCTGCGGCTGAGGGCATGCAGGTGAGGGGGACAGGGCCTGCCGGGGGAGGTATGAGGAAGGGACATGGCGGGGCGGGGGTTGCCAAGTGATGTCGGGAATCCGTTTGGGGCTTCGCATTGTCCTCATGATACATAATGAACAGCATAACACGGATGCGGCTGCTGATGTATTATAGGAGCATGCCCGTGCGTTTATGTTGTAACCGGCGCCATGCTGATCCGTTGCGTTGATGTGCCCCATTATTATGACTTCACAACAGGCTGAGCTTCAGGAGCTGCGTGCGCGGGTGGCCCGCTACCAGCAGGAGGTGGACAAGGCGCAGGTGAGGGCGGGGTGGTGGGGTGGTAGTGAGCAGACAGGGGTTGGGAGGCAGGGTGGGACCGAGGTGAGCAAGTGCGGATGATGAGGGGCAGGACAGCGTCTCTTGGGGTTGCTTGGTTGTACTGCGCTCCCCGGGGCAATCCGCGGGGTCTCCCTTACCAGGCGTACCGAAAGCGCGTCGGTGTTCTTTCCTGTGCCAAGGTACGGCGTGCGGTCTACTAGCGGTAACTGTGATCGCCGCCATGTAACGAGCCTTCCGCATGCCCTCTCGCGCCAACAAAAGATGTTGCGCCTTTTGTATCTCCTCAGACCGACCGCGAGCAGCTTGTGGAGCAGGTCATGCGCCTACAGGTGCGACATATGGAGGGGTGTAGCGGTGACGTAAAGGGTGCTGTGGATGGTGGTGGAGGCGAGAGATGGAAGTTCACGCGCCCGCCGACGGAGGGAGGCCAAGTCCCCTAGTTCATTTTGCACGCTCGCATGCCCTAGAAGCGCTGCATGAGCATACGTGCGGCTTGCTCATAACAATAGCTGATTGGGCATATGGTACGCCACCATTGATGCCGGGTCATCATGTATTGTCCTGTCTTGACGCGCCCTTACTGCATGCCCCTTTTGCATCCGCTGCTGCCCTCCACTCCCCAGGGCGAGCTCAACTGCGCTCGGCAGCAGGTGGGCAGCGCCAACACCAAGCTGGAGCAGGACCGCAGGACGCTGCAGCTGACGATGGTGAGGAGGGGGAGGGGGGATTAGATAAACTGAGCCGCGAGAAACCACTGACCTTGACCATAGGATGACCCGTTGGCGTCCAGCAGAAGATAGCAATGTGGCTTATACGTTGATGGTAATGTATCCAGGGAATGAAGAGTGTAGGATACTATTAGATACCAGTAGTAAGCGCAGCCCGTAGGGGGAGTGTAGGGGAGGGTTGCAGCTGCTAGGACGACCCAGTTGATGCTCCGGTGTGTCGAGGGGAACCGGTTGGGTTTTGGGCGGGGCGGGAGGGATGCTCAACGGAGTTTGGGGACAGGGTGCGAGCGGGATGAAGTATGGTCACGAGATGTTGCAGCCCTCGCTTACAGGAATGGACGGGATTTGTGTAGGAGTTGCTGACGTGCAGACGGAAAGAGGTGCAACTGTAGGGCATGGATGGAGTGAGCTCCCTTACGCTTCTTCCTCTCCCTCTTTTACTCCCCTTGTCCTAACGTGTTTCGCCCCTTTGTCGGGTTGTTCTGTGGCATGGCTTCGCATGTGAGTCATGAAGCTTGGTTTTTGTGTGCATGAATTAACGAGGTTCGGCCTCACGCTTGTCACAACGCATCCTCACCCCCGCGCCCGCCACCCTCTCCATGCCTTCCCTCTCCCACCACCCCAGGACGAGCTGGAGGAGCAGCAGCTCTTGATGAGCTCCATGGACGCGGAGGTGGAGGGCGCGGCTGTGGCGGTGGAAGGCGTGGGTCGGCGGCTGGTGGGGGTGCGCAGCGAGGCGCGCGGGCGGCTCGAGGGGCTGGCGCAGGGCATGGAGGGAGTGGAGAGGTGAGGGAGGTGGGGTAGGGTTTGGGAGGTGAGGGGTGTGACTTGAACAGGGCATGGGAGGACATGGGCAGGTAGAGAAGATGAGGGAGGCCACGGTGCAGGGAAGAATGGCAGCTTGTCTGATGATTCATGACGTCATCAAATCCTTATCTCCCATAACCCACCGCCCTTCCCCCCGCTACAGGCTGGTCAACGTCCTCTCTGCACGCCTGCTGGACAGCAACGACCGCTACGCTAAACTGCAGGTAAGCGCACACAGACGTAGATAACGCAGTTACGCGGCTTCGCTGCTCAAAGGTTCGCCATGGCTAGACATTGTACGTTCGGTTACCGTTGCTTTGCCTTGTTGCTTTCCCGTGTTGATTTCCCTTCATTTTCTACATTTGCTCCCACGTGTACCCTGTGCTGCAGGCCCTAGCAGCCCAGAACGCAGCCAATCTGGACAACGTGAGGCGCGAGCGGGTCGCTTTGCAGCAGGTGAGCGAGAGGATTCGAATGCGTTTAGGTTACTTTCTAAGTCCTCCTCTTGCAGGGAGGCCCCTTCGTGACTGTGCTATACGCTCATAACCCAGATGTTTTGCCCCTTACCCCTGCTTGCTTCTACAAGCCACGTAGCTTACTTTCCCTCGCGCGTGCTTCTCGTGAACCGTTGCGCCAACCTGCACATGTCTTAGTAACCATGGTGCGACAGTTGGTGGAGTCTTAACGTGAAGTCCCTTCCCTCTGTCTCTTAACGCCGCTGTAGGTCCGCAAGGCGCTGCAAGGCGCCCTAAGTGACACGGAGGCTGAGCGTGACAAGGCTCAAGCCGCCCTGGAGCAGCTGCAAGACGAGTCAACCACCCAACGCGACGCCATGTCCGCACAGCGGGACGCTTTGGACGCTCATGTCGCCGAGTTGACGGCCAAATGTGCCGCCATGGCCGCTGAACGGGACGCCCTGGAGGCAAAGCTTCGGGAGCTGACGCACAGCAATACCACACTGACGATACAGCGAGACATGCTGGCGGCCGAACGCGACGGCTTGGTCGCACAGCGCGACGCCCTAGACGCTCGAGCTCGTGAGCTGGCGGCGGACCAGAATGTGCTGAAGGAGGAGCACAGCGTGACGGCGGACGACTGCGCGTTCCTGCAGACGGAGCGGGACGAGCTGACGGCGCGGGTGGAGGCGCTGGCGGCGGAGGTACGGCAGCTGACGGAGCAGTACGACACGGCGGCGGCGGAAAAGGAGCAGCTGGCGGCGGAGGTACGGCAGTTGAAGTCGGAGAAGGAGGCGCTGGAGGCGGAGAAGGAGGCCAAGGTGAAAGAGATGGCGGCGCGCTGTGCTGAGGCGGTGAGTGTAGCGTGGTGGGTGCGTATTTGTGTCAGATGTTGGGCTGTCTCTCTGACTCTTCACTGTGTATGTAGCTTGCCTAGGTCAGGGGCTCAGGGCTGCTAAGAAACCCAATGAAGGGTCAGAGCGGAAAAGGAGGGAGCGCCCGAACCCATCGCTGACACCTGGTTCCATTTGTGTCCCGATCCTCCATGTCCCCGTGTTTTCCGCTCCGCAGGATGAGATTATGCGGCGGCTCTCGGCGGCTGCAGAGACGGAGGCGGCGGAGACCGAGGCGGCACAGGTGAGGATGGGGTTGTTGGTGGTGGTGTTTTATACCGGCTACGACTGGTTCTGTGGCGGGTATGGGGTTTGGGGAGGGGCCTTATTGACCTTCACCTCAATTCATGTGTTGGTTGATGTCTTTCCGCGACGGGTCAGGTAGTATTTGTCAATGTCGTGTTTGGGCACTGGTGTGTCAGCCCTCTTTCAGGAAGCGGTGATGGGTTGTCGGCGGGGTTATTTTCAGGAATGCCGCCCTTAAAATGCTGCCTAGAAAGAGCCTGGCGAGGTATCAGGAGCAGCATGGCCACTTCAAACGTAAAGGGTCAACAGGAATGCGAACCATATGCCGTTGACATTCCCCTATTCCTGTTCTATTTGTATAGAGCTCGCGCATGCCATCACATACCTAACTCCACCGATACGGCCTGAACAGAAAACGCCTACGTCTACAACCGTTCAAAACCAATAACTGCTACTGCGTCGCGCTGAAGCCGTACGGCGTTAGGAATACATCTCTGTTAACGCGTTTACGGTTTACCTAGCGCGGCCCGGCACCCCTCCTCGCGGTTCGGCAACTCGTCTTCATTCCTCGTAGCTGCATCCTCCCTAGCGCGCTCCCCTCCCCGCGCCCCTCCACTCCTCCGCTGCAGTCCTGGACGTTGGTGGCCGACCCACGGGTCAGCGGCAGCCCAGAGCCTGCATCGGAGGAAGGCCCTAGTAGCGCTAGCCCCAGTCCCAGTCTGAGCCCCAGCTCCCGTGCGAGCTCCGAATCCGCGGTCCTACCCAATGAGACTGAGGACAGTCTCTCGCAGTGATAAAGGAAGCGGAAGCCAGTGTATCCCAGATAAAGATCGGGAATGAAAGAAAGCTGTCCTTCAACGTCGGCGCAGGGACGTTGTTGGGTACCGGAGTTGCTGGGTATGCCGAGGAGTAAAGGAGGGCCGGGTGTGCATACGTGCACAGGATTCAGGCGGGTTACATGTTTGCAGCCTTACATTCGTGCCGTTTGCATGTGAAAAAGATAGTTTTGTTCCTTGCTAAGCAGGGTTGTTATGTTTTTCGTGTTCCGTGTTGCCGTAGTTGTTCATGTGCTGTAGTGCAGGGTGTTGCTAAAAATGGGAAAACGCAGGCATGCCATAGCGCAAGTGTTGCAAAGGTAGAATGCAGGATGCCATACTCATAGAATATATGCAGATCCCATGCTCCAGTACTGCCTAGGTAATGGGTAGGTTATCGAGTCACGGACTCGGGTTCAGTGGTCGCTGAAATCGCGAAACGAAGGCGTCATTGCGAAGCCATACTCCTTAGGGCTAGCTGGGCACATGGAACGTCGGTTAACATAGTGTTTCCTTATGCAGGGCGTTAGCTCAGCATTTGGATGTCCTACCCTGTTCATGGCAGTCCCTAGCTGTTGTATGGCGTTGCTACCATGGCATGCCCCATCATCCAGTTTCCCCAGGGATGGTAAGGAAAACATGGATCGGACATCATCATACAGTGTCCAATCCTGGGTTGCATAATAAGTTCGCTGCATGGACTTCATGGTTGGCTAGATGTGGTGGCAAATGTGGGTGTTAAAGATTCCGGGCTTTTTCGGTGGGTCGGTCAACATGTTGATGAGGGCTTCGATGGCATGACTTGATGAGGGCTTCGATGGCATGACTTGTGTATCCCAGTCGTCAGCGTGTAACACGACTAAGCCGCTTCATGGAATTGGGTATCGTTCAGGTCACGAAGCCTTACTTCTCAGCGGCAGCAACATGAGGATACTTTACGATCCACACCTAACGCTGAAACCCGCAGATACACGGCCAACCTACAGTAGTACCGGCATTACAATCAATCCCTCCTCTGCGGCTCTCTTTCACTCTCTCCCTCCTGGGACCCCACACCAACTCCACCCCACAGCAGCGGCGCCAGCAGGAGCTCGCGGCAGCCGGGGCGCGCCTGCAGGAGGCACAAGTCCAACTGTCCGCCGCGGAGTCACAGCGTTCCGAGACACAAGCCCGTCTTGCAGAGGCGCAGGCGCAGCTGGCGGCATACGAGTTCGACGTGCAAGCCCTGCAGCACGGCAAGGAGGCGGCCGAGGCTGAGGGACGTGAAGTTCGGGCCGAGATGCAGCGCCTGCAAGCGGTAAGAGGGCAGTGGGGGTGGCGGCTGTATTGGATGGGATAAGGGAGCTGTTCAGGGAGCAGTTGGAAACCTGCCCGATTTACTTTCCGCTTGCTTGCCCGGTGGCCTGGTCGCACCTGCCCTGCATACCGGTATCCTTGTCCGGTACTCTGGCCGCTGATGCCATGCCCATCGGCCCATGACAGGCTGTTGTGGACCAGCAGGCGGTGGCGGATGCCGCAAACCAGCGCCTGGAGTCATGCCAACGTGGTATCCAGGTGTGCTCCGAGGGGTGTCTGGAGCTGTCGAGGGGGTAATGAAAAGGGAACAAATTGTTGGGTGAAGGGGTGATGCGGGCTGGTCGTTGTAGTTGGCACGAGTCGGGGTTGTGTGCATCCAACATCCACTGGGTTTCGTATGTATTCCATGCCATCTTTAGTCTCCCCCAGTAATTCTCCACCACCGCCCCTGCCCAATGTTCGCCTCTCAGGCTTACAGCGCCGCCCTAGCCGCCGCCTTCACAACCCTAGCCTCCCGCGAGGTCGACAACACGCTCCGTGCCATGGAGCTGTCCGAGCTGCAGGAGCAGCAGGCAGCAGCCATTACACAGCAGCTCGCGGCAGACACCGCAGCGCTCCGAAACCGCCTGGCGGAAGCCGCCTCGGCCGCGGAGCGCCATGCGGCGGAGATTGCCGTACTGCAGACCCAACTCGCAGCCGCGAATGCCGCCGCTGCTGAAGCGGCGGCTGCTGCTGCGGCTGCGGCCACCAAGGAGGAAGACAAGCATGGGGAGGGGCAGGAGGTGCAGGCGAATCAGCTTCGGGAGCAGTTGGCGGAGGCAGAGGCGGCTGCTGTGTTGGAGAGAGTCGTGGCTTCGGTGGAGGTTACGGCCCTAGAAGAGCGGCTGGCGGCGACTGAGGCGGTTGCGCGACAGCGGGAGGCGGAGGCTGCGTCACTTCAAGAGCGGCTTGCGGCAGCGGCGGCGGCGTTGCAGCAGCGTGTGAGTGAGGCGGAGGCGGCGGCGGAGGCTGCTGCAAAGCAGCGTGAGGCGGAGGTGACGGCGCTAAGGCAGCGCACCAGTGAGGCGGAGGCTGCGGCGCAGCTGCGTGAGGCGGAGGTGGCGTCTCTGCAGGAACGTCTGGCGGAGGCGGCGGCGGCACTGCAGCAGCGGATGAGTGAGGCGGAGGCGGCGGCTAAGCAGCAGGCGGCGGAGGTGGCGACGCTGAGGGAGCTGCTGACGGCGGCGGAGGCGGCGGCGCGGGGGCGGGAGGAGGAGGTGGCGGCAGCTCAGGAGGCCAGGGGGGGACTGGAGGAGAAGCTGCGGGTACGTGTAAGGGTGCTGTGGAGTGGGGTGTCGATGTGTGCAGATTCAGTACTGCTGCAACGTCGATGCTTGCTTAGCTCTAATGGGCAGTGTTTAGAAGCCTTAATTGTTCACATTGGATGGCAAACGTTAACCCGAGCACCGCGCAGCCGCTTTGGATTACAACACGCTTCTAACACCCGATTTTATACACCTTGCACCCTGCACGCACGTGTAGGAGGCCGAGCGCCAGCGCCTGGTTTCAGAGCGGCTCCTCGCGGAGGTTCGTAAGACGGAGGCAGCCCGGGTTTCGGAGCTGAGCGCGCGCTTGTCAGCGGCGGAGGAGCGCGCGACCGCTGCTGCTGCCGACATGGCGGGCCTTATGCGGCAAATCGACATGCAGGCTGGGTCGCTGCGGGTGGGTAGTTCAGGCTCGGGTTCGGGTTTGGGGTTGGGTTGGGGTTGGGGGGAAAGCGGGAGTGGGCATGGAAGCGGGGTTTCCAGGAGTGGGTCACCTGGGGAATATGGGACGAAAAGCAAAGGGGTTGGAAGCGGTGCTAGTGGGGGCGATGAGGGGGTTGGCAGCAGCGGAGGGGAATTTTCGGGCGTGATGAGCAGCGGAGGTGTTGTTGGGGAGGAGGAGCAGGAAGTATCATCCGGGGTTGGGCAGGGGCTTGGGGTTGGGGTTGGGTTGCAAAGGGAAGGGGCCCGCTCGGACGCGGATGGAGAGGGGGATGAGGGCGGGGATGCGGAGGAGGATGGGGAGGAGCAGGGGGGTGTCATTGTTGCGGTGGGGGATGGCGGGCTTTGTGTGGAAGACAGCCGGGGTGGTGGCGAGGAGGAGGAGGTGGGCGAGAGCGAGGGTGTGGTTGTGGAGGTAAAGGGGCTTGCGGTATCGCAGGGTCGGTTGGGAGGTTCTCGCGCTAGTATCACCCATACGACCGGTAGGTAAGTGACTTGACGAGGGGGGCTAAATTTTGGGTGGGGTGAATGCAAGTTAGCAGGATTGCCACGTGAGACACTTTGGATTTGTATCGCTTGCGGAAGGCTTTCACATCTGACGTCCGGACTCACGGTATTTATGTATGCTTCGGGCTCTTAGGCTTATGCTTATAATGCTCCAACGGTTTGCTATTGTTGTGTGGGCATGTTGTTGTTGGCATGCCTCGGAAGCAGGTAATGTGCGATGCGAATTTGCTATTGTTGTTGGCATGCCTTCTACGACATGGGATTGCTACAGAGCGGCATTTATGCCCCTCTATGAACGCCGCTGTAACAGTTGCAAGCCTGCTTCACCTCAGCTATACAAAGTACCCGCTTAGGATATTGCTTTAAGCGGGCCGTATGTCCAAAGGATTCTGCTTATCCCCCCAGAAATGCATGAAGCCTTTTTATCGCGTTTGCCTTAGTAAGCCGCATACGTACAGCTAGTACCTAGTACGTCCCTGTTCGTTTCAAATACCTTCTAGCTATAACGTCCTTAACGTGTACGACCAATCAACGGATAACCGTCACTATGTCGTTGACCCCATCCGTGCACCCTCTTCGCATGCACCCTCCTCGCCTGCAGGCCCTACTGGAGCGGTTGCCAGCCCCGGGCACCTCACCCGCTTTCATGGACTATTCGACAGGTCGTACGGCTGTTTCGGAGCCGGCAACAGGTAGGAGGTTGCTGTATGTTTTCCGCACACGTTTGTGTGTCGCCGTCATTGCAGGAATGTATGAACGGCTTTTGACGCAGTATTGCCGGTGTAAGACTCCTAGCGTTCATTGTGAGGTCGCATATCCGTTTCCTTTTGTTGCTTGCTTGCTGTAGTGTTGTTAGCAGAGCTTTGCTTCCCTGTACGGCTCATCTTCATGGACCACGTTTTCATCCACTCCGAAATCTCTTAACTCTCTTAACACTTAATTCAATTCCTTTCGCCTCCACGGCCCCCACTGCTGCAGGTTTCCTCGCGCAGGCCTCCAATGAGGTCGCCCCCGATGCACCGACGGCTGCAAGGCCCGAGCTGCTGGGTTGGCTGCAGCAGGCGAGTGGAAAAGTGGGCTGGCGTGCGGGCTGGCGGGAGGGGAAGCAGCGCCTCCCAACGACACCCCCCCCTCCCCCTCTCACCTCCCCCCCTTGCGCCATGTCCCCCCGACCTCAGGTGGAGTTGCTGGCAAGTCGCGCCGAGTGCTTCTCCCAGCAGCTGCTGGCGGCGGAGTCGGAGCTGCATGCGGTGCGGGAGGAGAACGGCGAACTGATGGAGGCGTTGGCGGATGCAGATGGCAAGGTGGGGTTGATGTGGGGTGGGCGGGTGGGTGGGTTGGCTGCTGCTGCTGCTGCTGCTACTGCTGACACACAAGAGGTATACCGGAGCGATGAGGTGGAGGCTTATGTAGGGCGCCTGTGGGTGATTGAAAATTGGGCGCTTCAAAACCTCTACGCATTCTGCTGCGTGGAAGTCCTTGAGTCCTCGGTGAACCTGATGCCCCTGCCTGATGCCTCCACGCCCATGAAACGCCTGCTGAATTCTAGTAGCAGCCTAACTTGTAGCACCTGGTACGCCCTAACGAGGGCGGAAAGCCCGATTTCCCTTCCACGAACCTGCCGACCGTGGCCCTCCCTCCGTTCCTTTCTACCTACCTATCCAACCCCACAGTTGACCGCCCTCGCTTCCGCCGCCGATAAGGCCATCCGTACCGACATGTCGGCCTCCTCCGCTGCAGCCGCTGCCCTAGCTGCAGCTGCCGTCGCAACGGCCGGTGGTACGAACACACCCTCGCACGCAGCCGCAGTTCTCACTTCCGCCAAACCAACCACACCGCTCACCGCTCACCGCGCCGACAAGGGCCCTACATCCAGGGGCGGCGCTGCTTTGTACGGCAGCACTGGCGGCGACAGCGGCAGCGGCATCAGCAGTACGGAATGCACTCCGCAACGGGACCAAGACGGCCGGGCGAAGTCGGGCAAGGGCCAGGGAATGGGTGGTGTGATGCCGGCGGTCATGATGACGTCCACCGTCAATGCTGCAGCTGAGGCTGAGGTCGCTGCTGGTGCTGGGGCCGGGAGTGGTGCAGCTGACGCGGAGAGGGGGGCAGACGCGGCACATGAGGCGGCGGAGGCGGAGGCGGTGGTACGGGAGGAGGACCAGGAGGGAGAGTGGGAGGCACAGGAAACGGAGGAGGAGGAGGAGGAGGAGGAGGAGGAGGAGGAGGAGGCGAGCACGCCGCGTGCATCTACGGAGCGGACACGGCGCCTGACCGTGGTAGGTGTGGGTGCGCGTGTGTGTCATTGCAGGAGCTGCACACGTACCGATTGTCTGAATCTCATTATGTACCCCAAGTCCTGCCGCACCCTACCTTGGTCCAATCGTGGGCCAGTCCACTTAGGGTGCCGGACTAGTACTCTCTCAGCCAACGCCTGATTAGCAAATTCACTACCATTACGGCTACAGCCCCCTCCCCGCTCCCATCCTATGGCGCAGCGCAATGCAACGTCGCTTCCTAGCAGCGAGTGCTTCTTGACTTGCCTAATTAGGGCTCCTGCCTTGTACCCAGCGCCCTCCTCTTCCTCCGCTGCCGCCCCTTCCACCCCCTGCCCATGCAGTCCGACGTGGCCCCCCAGATGGCGGGCCTGGCGGGTCTCGCCGCTCGGTTGGAGCAGCTGCAGCGCGGCAGTGCCGAGGTGCAGGCGGAGGCGGAGCAGCTGCGGGTGGACAATGCCAGGTACCAGCGGGAGATCATGCGCTACTCGGAGGTGCGTGGAAGGGGGGTAGGGCTCTACGGCATGGGAACCGCGAGACCTACAGGGAGGCAGAGGATTGCGTAGACAACACCCTAGTAAGGGAACCACCTCGGAGGACAGGGGTTAAGGGTGGCAGCAGGTGGGTGCAGGTGGTGGCGTGAGCTTCAGCCGGGCGCCGGTTGGCTGACGTGGAGCCCATCACACTCTACCGCTTTAGGACACCCCGCCACACGTCACCCGCATCCCGACCCGCAACCCGCTCCCCTCCGCGACCCGCCTCCCCCCATCTGCAGGGCTTGAGCAGCCTCACCCTCGCCGCCTCCCTGCACGTTACCTCCCTCACTGCCAGCCGCAGCCACAGCCGCCGAGCCACCCGCAGCAGCCTCCTCATGCCGACCGCCGGACAGCAAACTGCCACCCGTACGACAACCACAACGGCGAGGGCGAGGGCGGGAGGGAGTGTACGACAAAGGAACTCTTTCTTCCTGCTGGGAGGGGAGAGCGTGCTGCGCGGTAGCTGCGTGCTGGGGGATAGCTGCGTGCTGCGTGGGAGCTTCCCGCGCTTTGCAGCGGACGCGTTGGAGGAGGAGGAGGCTGGGTTCGGCGAGGGTGCGGTTGCGGATGCTGCTGGTTTGGATGCTGTCCCCAGCGAGGGTGGCGCCGCCGGTGCTGCGGGTGCTGCTACGGAGGGTGCGCAGGGTGCTACTGCTGCTGCTGCTGCTACAGCTCCGGAGGTCGAGGCTGCAGCTGCCGCTGACGCCACTGCAGAGGACAGGGAGGGCGAGGGCGGGGCCAGCGGAGAGGGTGATGTTGGGAGTGGCGACGGAGGTCGTGGCGGTGGAGGGGAGCAGGCGGAGGGAGATGAGGACGGCGAAGAGGAGGGGGAGGAGGAGGAGGAGGAGGAGGGCGAGCTGCTGGGCGGTGCGGCACGGTTTGAAGAGCTCCGGAGATACTGGGAGGTGAGAAAAGGGGGGAGGGCGGGCGAGCGACCGAGCGAGTGGGAGTGACGAGGGTGTTAGCTATGTACAGTCCTCCTGTGTTGAGACCCGTGCTGCTGCTGTTTCCTTTTCCTGGCGTAGCTCTCGTTCAGCTTGTCTAGTGGCAGTACTGCTTTCCTTTCTGCCTAGCAGAACCCTGCCTTCTCCTAGCTCCGCCGCTGCTTCTACTGCTTCGCTTTCCTAGACCCGCTGCTACTGCCGCTGCCTTGCTTACGTGCACCCTGCCGTATACTCGTGCGTCCCTTCCGCTGCCGTACAGGCGCTAGCAGAGGCTGAAGCGGAGGCGGCCCAAGCAGCCGAAACAGCCGAGGAGGAGCGTCTAGCCCTGGAGGCCCAAGCCGAGGAGATGCGCCGCGTGTTGCAGCAGGCCCAGGACGTGAAGGCCACGGAGTCACAGCGACTCGCGAGCCTCAAGGCCGAGCGAGCGGCCCTGCAGGCAGCAGCGCAGGAGGCCGCAGCGGAACGTGATGCGGCATTGGTGCGGGTTCGGGAGCTGGAGCGGCGGGTTTCGGAGCTGACTACGGCAATTGAGGCGGCGATTGCGGAGCGCGTCAGGCTGGATGTGCTGCTTGTGGATATGCGGGGGCAGCTGGAGGACGCGGCTCACGAGCGGGCTGGGCTTGAGGAGCAGGTGAGCTGTGGGGGTTATGGGGGCTTGGTGACGCTTGGTGAGGTTATCGTAAGGGTAGGGGATACTGTCTCTTTTCCTCGTCCTGTGCCCTTAGTTAGAGCTAAGCCGTCGGATGGGTTCTCTCCGCTCGCCTGCCCGTCTATCAAAAAGCACCTTAAGGCGCGGACATCCTCCTCCTCCTGCCCTATACCGCCACTCACCCCTTCCCTCCTCCCTCTTCCCATGCATGCCCTCCTGCATGTACACCCGCTGCTGCCGAGCAGGTGGGTGAGCTGATGCGCGAACGCGACGCGGAGGGCGCGGAGCGGGCCCGTCTGGCGGGCTGGCTGGAGGAGGTGGCGGCGGAGCGGTCATCGCTGTCCGCCCGGCTGAACGAGGCGTTTGGGGTGGTGGCCAAGTTGAAGGAGGAGCGGCGCGCGCGGGAGCAGGAGCTGCAGGTGGGTGGGGCGGAGGAGGGATGGGGGGGTTAGGGAAGAGAGGGTGCAGGATGTGAGGAGCCGTGGATTACATATCTCGTTGATGGTGATTGCGAGCGCAAGTATCACGTCCATCCTTGCAGTGCTCACAGTGCTTGTACTGGCAACAGATGCGCGGTGTGAGACGGCTGTGAAGCACACAAACGCCTTTGTAAACAACCCAGCCTTGCTTCACCTCATTTGCTGGCCTGACCCCCTAATGGCTTCGTATCCGCTGCATTGCCGCACCCAGGCTAGCGCCGAGGCTCACAGCCGGCGTGCGGAGGAGCTCGCGGACAAGGAGGTGCAGCTGAGCCAGGTGGGTTGGGGGTGATGGTGTGAGGCGCGGTGGGGCGGTGTGAGGGTTGGAGAGGGGTCGGGTTGAGGGAAAGAAAGAAATGGGATTATAAATGGGCGGACGGGCGCTGAGATGGGTGCTGGGGCGGCGTGGAGTGTCTGCTACTTTACGCCTGTGGGAGACCTCCCTGAGTCGTGGTACGTGTGGGGTGTTGCTGATCCGTAAAGGGGCGTGTGCGTTTAACTAAAATTGCTTCCAGCAACCGTAGCCACAGCGTCGAACCCCGTAGCAAAGGCTACCTTCCCGGCTTGAGGTGCGTTGAGCTCATGAAGCAGGGCGTTGCAAAGCGTCAGTCAACACGCGTAATTCCGAGGTTGAAAGCCCTTAGCACCACACCCGCAACACACACGCACACTTGAACGACGCACGGATGCAAACCGCAAACCGCAGGTGGCATCATTCGCGTCCTCCACCTCGCCGCTCCCCGCGTTCCATTCGTCATTCCACTCGCAGCAACGTCTGCAGGCGGGGACGATGACCCATGGGTCGGTCCGCCGCCACCTCACCTTTTCCGACCTTCGCCTGTTAATGCAAACGCAGCCGCAAGCACGCGAAGCATCAGCCCTGCTGCTCTCCTCGCTGCGTGGGGGAACAGCAGAGGGAGAGGGAGGGGCAGCAACAGCAGCAGGGGCTGTTCCTGGGGACCCGCCGCTGTCCCCCTTTATCACGAGCGCAGCAGCGGTTGTGCCGGCTGCAGCTGCAGTGCCCCCAGCTGTATCTCCTTCCGTGCCAACTGTGCGCCAGCCGCAAACACAGCAACAGCAAAACGCCCCGCAATGACAGGAGCAACAGCCTCGTGCGGTGCACTTGCGGTCCAGGTAGCAGCAGCGTTTACATACAGTGGGGGGACAAGCACTTTTTCGTGCTTGGTCTGAAGGGCCTGTCCTGCCCGGGGGGTATCTAAGAGCCACGGTTCATACCTACATGGCCCGGGATTCCTGATTTGCTGCTAGTACCGTACCAACGACCGCATCAACCCCCTGCTGATGCCGTATGCTGCTTCCGCGACGGACTGAAGTGGGCGGCTAGACGGGCAGGACTGTAGTGCCAGGGCGCGTCATACAGCATGAAGAGCATGAAGAGGTTGCGCGTTGCTGGGCGATGGATTATGGATCTAGGTTGGTGGTTGTGGGGACAAAAATGTGGGTGTTTTGCATGCACTGGCAAGATGCTTTGGAAAAAGGCACGCCATCGTGTTCACCGTCAAATACTTGTCCCAGAGGAAGTGTCCCAGAGCAGGAACGATAATCAAGCAGCATATACTTCAAGAGGCAAGAAAATCCCAAAAAAATCCCATGTGTATTCTTAGAGGCAAGGACCTCGCATACTGGTTGAGGGCATGTCGAAAAAGGAGGTACTCGTCGTTTGTACACTGCATGCGGGGAGGGTGAGCTGTGAGCGTCAAGGGAGTCTGTAGCGGGTGCGGTAGTGCTGCGGGCGTTAATAGCCAAGACACGCAGCCCTCCGTATACGTTGCCTACATGTCCCCGATTCATAGATACCTGTTGAACTCAACTCAGATGCTGTAGTCCTGACACTAGTTGTACACATTCTCGCCGGTACACATTGCCGGCCCGAGTGTTGAAGCGGAGTTGGCGTGATGCCGCCAGCGAATGGAGTTCGTTGTAGCGAAGTGCTTGTGGCTGAACCCAATCACTGCGCTGCACGTGCATGCTATTATGAGGGTTTTGAAGAAGTGGAGAGTTCGGATAGATATGTCAATCGTTGAATGTTAGTTCAGGTTAGGTTGTTTGCTAAAGAAGGCATACTAAGAGCGGCATACATAATTGGATTTGCAGGCGCCGTTGACTGTTGTGAATTGACTGATTCATGTCCATTGTGTAGCTCACCACGCGTTGTCCGTATTCATTTCCCGCTGCGGCTCATCTTTCCTCTGCCTCCTTCCACGTAGAGAAGCACCCAACCCCGCTTCCCTCATGCGCTCGTCACCCCGCACCACCCCCACCCCGAAACCATGCACCGGCGGCCTTCTCATCCCATACCTCCTGACTGACTGGGGAAGCCACCCATGCCCCCCTTGCGCCGTGTGCGGCCGTTTTCTGGCGACGATCCGTCCATCCTAGCACCTGCCGCCCCGCACAGGCACCTTGGCGACGCATACGCTCCCTGCACACTGGTATATGTTCTCTATGCATTTCGGATCCCTCTCAACGGCCTTTCCATTACCCCCTCCCTTGCCTTTCTTCGACCTTTCTCTCCTTTAACCTGCCCCAACAGACCCTCCAGATGCTGGCTGGGGATACCAATGAGCTGCGGCACGTGAGCCAGGGACTGACCGGCATTGCAGACAGGGTAAGTCAGGTGCCTTGGGTTTTAGGGAGGTGATCGCAGGCTTGTTGTACGCAAGTTTAGCTGGTATATGTACGGTCACCACCACCCTTGCGCGTTAGACGTTGCTTAGCCCACCAAAATGCCCAGGCGACCCGTGCTTTCACATTGCCTTTGCCATGTGCAATGCCTACCGGTGACCAACCATTCCTCTCCTCCCGTTCTGCTGCACCACCACCCTCCTCCTCGCAGCTCGCGCTGCTGCTGGGAGTGAGCTTTGAGGAGCTGGGCGAGGGGCTTACGGTGGGTAGAAGGGATGGCCGTGTCACTCATGGCTTGGTGCACTGAGTGACCCATGGGTCGGCAGGGCTGTCGGGGCCCCCACATGGCTCCTACCGCTGGGAAGATGGGTCAGGCGCCGGCTGTCCTTTGTCCTGTCCCGTTCCGCATGCAGCCGTGTCGGAGTGGTTACCAACCCAGTTGCAAAGCGCGCACCTTCTCACGCAGTCAGGGCCTCTCTTCATCTTGCACCCACCTACCGGTATCACCAACCCTCCCAACGACCCTCCCAACCGCTGTGTCTTCTGCCCGGCAGGACGGTGCCGCTCTGGCCGCCAAGGTGGCCCTGCTGGAGGCTGGGCTGCGGGAGCTGTGGCAGCCGGACGCTTCCGTGCAGGAGCTGCTGGCGGAGGTGAAGGGGAGGGTGGCGGAGCTGCATGCGGCTGGGGCGGAGGCGGAGGAGGGGGCTGGCACTGTTACGTCATCAGGAGCAGTGGAGGCGCGGAGGCAGCAGCAGGATGAGGATGAGGATCAGGATCAGGAGGGAGGTCATGTGAGGGTTGCTGGGCTGCAAGCGGCGCTAGAGGAGGCGGAGGGGCGGGTGGAGGAGCTGACGGCGCAGTATCATGAGTTGCAAGCGCACTTGGTGGAGGCTGAGGGGCGGGTGGAGAAGCTGACGGAGGAGCTGGAGAGGAGTACGGCGCGCGGGGAGCAGTTGCGGCAGTTGAACAACGACCTCATCCGCCAGGTCGCCCAGCTCAGGGTAAGTACGGCTTCACATGACAACTAGCGTGGAGTGTCGCAGCCGTCTGTGGAGCTCTTGCCTCCCTTGGCACCTTATGCATCTTGGTGGGGGAAGGGGCTGGTGACCTTCCCCCATACCCCCATCCCCCCTTACATGCATGCGTACAAGGTGCTATCTTGCAAACGCATCCGATGCAAAAAGGGATAAACGTTTGCTCTTGAAATGCGTTGCCTCCGACCTGATATTGCACCGTTCCCCCATCCCCCCTGCTGTAAGTGTCCTGTTGTTGCAATAACTTGAGAATTGTTGTACGCTTGGCTTTCCTTGTCTGCATCTTATGGCTTTTTGCCGTTGTTTCTCTTGATTGTCGCAAATTTCTGTTGGCATGGCGTCCGTGCTCAAGCGCAGGTCTTATGCATGCAAGGTACTGCTGCAACTGGATATATATTCCGCAGCCACTTGTAGACCGAATGTTTTCAGTGTTGTGTGGTCGGGAAAGAGACTGCACTTGTAGAGCGCATGTCGGTGACGTCGATGCTAAAGCTTAGGTCTTTTGCAGCCGCCGTAGCTATGCCTCATGTTAACCTCCTTTTGCAGCGTTTGCCAAATGCTACCTGTTGTCATGGGAGGAGCTGCTGTTTGCTAGCTGCATGCTGTACAATTGGCATTTTTGCAACTTTAGCCAGGATCCGCATTTGCCCTGCCTGCATTTATACAACGCAAACTGCCCAGCGGCTGCATGTGCTCAATGGTGCTACTTTGCGTACCGTTTTCAGTTGTCTCCTCTACGACAAAGGAAGCTGCGCGAAGGTGTCAGCTCGCTTGAGCGACTGAGGCTGCGAATAATTATGGGAGGGTGCTGTTACCGTTAATGCGTGTTTCACATGCACGGTTGTGCCTTACGGCGGTTACGGTCCGCTTAGGTACCGGTAATGGCACTTATCATGTCTTTCTTATGATGTGTTATTTCCAGATACGGTAATTGTTGTCTCCCTGATCAGCAGTGCTGGGATGCCTCCTAGCAGGAATCCACTCCGATGTGCAAAGGCGGGGTGGTGGAGCTGCCTCCCTCGCTGCGCGCCAGTCTGTCCGACCTGACATCCAATCTGGAGGACATGTACCGCTGGATGCAGGCAGCGAGGAGGTAAGTGCAGTGGAGAGCGGGAGGAAGGGAGTTGTGTGACCCACGGGTCATAATGCGTGCGCCACTGTCTGTCCAGCGGCGGGGAGCTGTTTAAGGTTGGAATTGCGTTACATGCGAACCCAGGAGATGGGTACATGTCGTAAAGATGCTTCATGCGTCGCCGCATCAAGGACCCTGCGTCCTTCCTTGTACGTTTACCGTCACCAACCCTCCTGGCCGCAGCACATTACCGACCCTTCTAACCCGTGTGTGCTGGCCCGTGCCATTCCACAGTACACATAACCCCAACGAAAACATTCACAAGACTCCTGCGGGTCGCTTTCTGTTTCTTTGCACCGAACCAACTAACACTCACCTGCCCTCAACCCTCATGCACAGGACTCCACGACCCACGGGCTCTCCCGCGGCCGGCCTCAGCCCCGCTGGCAACGCTGGTGGCGGCGGCGGTGGTGGCAACGCTGGCCGGGCTGTCGTACACCGCTCCGTGAACAGCAGCCCCCTGGCTCGCCGCGTGCTTGGAGCCGCCGCAGCAGCCATGGCGGGTATTGCAGGCGGCGCTGGTGGCTGCGGCAGACGGGGCGGCGGAGTGAGGTCGTCCACATCCCGTCCCTTGTATGAGGAGGAGGGCTGCGAGATCGGCAGCAGCAGCAGCAGCCTCGAGCAGGATATGGACAAGGGTAGCGGCCAGGTGGAGGAGCCGGGAAGTGAGCAAGAGCTTACGTTGAGGCCAAGCAGACGATCCGCTGCTACGAATGAGGAGCCGAGTGAGGAGGGCAGTGAGGAGGGCAGCCGCGGTGACGGGGGTGGCGACCTGAGCAATGAGGCATCACCCCTGTCTCCTGCGATGTACGGCGTGCCTCGCCCGCTGGAGGTCAGCGCCTCGCCCTTCCGAGCCACCCGGCATGGCAACGTGGGCGGTTTCGTGAACGCGCTGTATGAGGATGACGACGAGGGCGAGGGCGATGAGGAGGCGGAGGAGGAGGAGGTGGAGGTGGAGGGAGAGGGAGAGGAGACGTCAGCAGGGGTTGTGACCACCACCACCATCATGACCACCGGCACTGCTGGCAGCGGCGGCGGCACCACCACTGGTAGCGGCGCTGAAGCCGAGGGTAGCAGCGAGGATAATGTGCATCTGCTGAGTGGCGACGCTGCTGCCGGTGAGGTGCGTGTTGTGCTACAGCCTGTGGTACGACAGCAACAAGGCGGTGGTCGGCAGCACCCGGCTCGGTACGGCAGCGTTCAACATCACCGGTACGGCAACAACAACAGCAAGCGTCCGTCGGCCACCGTACGACCGTCGTCACTACCGGTAGTGGCCGTACGGCAGTTGCCTGGCGGAGAAGTGGGTAGTGAAGAGGAGCAGCAGGAGCAGGGGCTGGATGGCGCAGGCGAGTCCATGTCGTACGACACGCTGTTGTACGACGAGGACGCGATGATGGACGGGTTGGCCCGGGCCATTGCGGTACTGCAGAACTTCAACAACACCCTTACGGCTTCTAAAGGCTAGTGTGGACCGTGGTGCTGCAGCATGGCGTGGTTTTAGCCGTATGGATTATGTGGCAGCAGTAGCATGGGGGGGGAGAGAGAGAGACGTGTAGTGTTTAGCCCGCCGACAAGGCGCCGAGTGTGTGTGGCAGGCTGGGGTTCGTGTGTGGTCTAGCATAGGATGGTAAAGTGCAGCCGATGGCAAAAGGTGACCTTGCCAGAGCTCCAATCACGCATGCATGTGTAGGGTGTGATGCGCGCCGCTTTTTTGCGTTGCAACTGTGAAGCGTCAGCAGAGTTGTGGCAGATACAAAGGAAAAAGGCTACATGCTTTAGCCACTTTTACCGCGCTTGCACTCTCACGGTATAGGTCATGTTGGTCTGCAATATAACAGCAGGAATAGCGGTGGTGTTAGGGTAATCGCGTAATAAGGGTAGAGGTATGGAATGGTGTTTGTGTTAGCCTGGATATGGACAATCATGCATGTTCAAGTACAGTAGCAGCAGAAAGATTAAGAGCAGGAGAATAGCATGGAGCTATGACAGAAGCAGGACAAGCAGCACAGGTGTCCATCTTAGTGCCTTTGGGAGGAATATGCAAACATCATGTTTTGTCTCTTTCGTTCCTTCTTGACCTGATTGGCGGCTGAATTAGTACATTGCGGAGCTGTTCCGTTTACTTATCTCCGGTCTTTTAAGATAGATAGCAGGATGGCGTCTTTGGCGCTTCGATGGTCGCGAGTAGTAAAGCGGGGCCCTTGGCAGGCAGGCACCGAGTTTTACAGGCGGAGTACGGATTTGACAGATGATGTTAACATCATTCGTGTCCTGCACGAAGCATGCGGCAGTGGCCAGGGGCATAATCCTAAAAGACAAATTTTGTCGCACACACTCCAGTGCCAGAGGAGTCGCACCCCTCATCAACTTACACCGCCTGGGACCTGGCCTGCGGGCCCAGACTCCGAACAGCGTCTAAGAGACCCAACTCTGTAACTAACCAAGTTTGCTACCTAGCCGATACCTCACCCTACCCTCTCCGGGGAACAACAGGAGAGGGGGAAAACCAACAGCCGGGCGCGGATGGGCTCTAGCCCCCCAAAACCCGCCCCGGCGTACTAGGCTCTAGGCGCGCTTCCGCATGCATGCACGCCTAGAGAGGACCCCGGAGAGAGTAGGGGTGGGAGGGTGGGAAACAAAAGGCTCGCCTACCTACAGCTGCAGCCATACTTAAGAACTGTCTGCAACTACGCAAAAGTCAGCGCCTTCCTAACTGCGCACGGAAACTCAGCGGCAAAGACCTGAAAGGCCAGCTGAGGGCAAACTGTTTAACCAAGGTCAAAACGTCTAGCACCGTCCACTCGCAAGCCTGGTGGCGACTGCTCTGCTCCCTGTCGTACATGCGCTCCAAAACCCCATTTTTAGTTGACACTCAAAATGATACTTTTGTCGCACACACTCCAGTGCCAGAGGAGTCGCACCCCTCATCAACTTACACCGCCTGGGACCTGGCCTGCGGGCCCAGACTCCGAACAGCGTCTAAGAGACCCAACTCTGTAACTAACCAAGTTTGCTACCTAGCCGATACCTCACCCTACCCTCTCCGGGGAACAACAGGAGAGGGGGAAAACCAACAGCCGGGCGCGGATGGGCTCTAGCCCCCCAAAACCCGCCCCGGCGTACTAGGCTCTAGGCGCGCTTCCGCATGCATGCACGCCTAGAGAGGACCCCCCTTACCCTGTCACCCACCGCACGCCTCGTCACCTCACATGCACCCCACAATGCGGGCCTTAGCCGCCGCGGAGGGGAGGATATACGCGCTCACCGCCTCCGACCGCCACCTCCCGTGCGCCTTGATCTGCTCTCCAGAGGCCCCCCCTTCCGCTGCAGCCGTGGCTCCCCCCCTTCTCAGGCTGTGGGACGCGTAATCTGGTACCCGCCCGGCTATTTGTGGTAGGGCGCGCTGCATCTCTCCTAAGAGCGCCCTAAGCCTACGCGTAAACCCCTCCTTCCGCCAAGCCTCCGACCCCGGTCCCCACTGGGGGCCCCGCGTGAAGAGCGGCGCGCTGGGCTCCGCCCCCCCTGAGCGGGCCCGCTCTAGGTGGCGCCCTATAATGCGCCCGATGCGTACTCCGCTGCCAGACGATGCCCCCAGGTGCACATCCACCCCTGCCCCAACCTGATCGGTCTTGCTCCTCGTTATCCGCACCACGTGAACCCCACCAGTCAGCGAATGCACGTCACCTAGCCGCAGCCCCGCCAGCTCACTTCTCCGCAGCATCCCAAAGAAACCCACCACCAGCCAACACGCATCCTGCTCGAGCTCCGCTCGGCGCGCTGGCGCCCCGTCCGCCGTCGCTGCCAGCCAGCCCAATAGGAGCCGCAGAAGCGGCACCGGGAACGCCTCCTTCGTACGTTGCGGCAGCGGCTCGGCCCCTGCATCGCCGCCAGCTGTGGCGGCTGCCGCCGGCGCCCGGGCACGCCACGCCTGCCTCAGCGTGCGTTGCACCAATGGGTTCCGGCGGATGGAGGCCTCCGCCGGAAAACCCTTCGCGCGCTGCCAGTCCGCAAGGGCGCTAATGGTGCCTGACAACGTTGAGGGGGCCACACGGTCGGCCTCATGGGCGATGAACAGGCTCACCAGCTCGGGGCTGAGGTCCGCGCCCCGCGCAGGTGGGAAAGCCGCCCTCATGGGTAAGCCCAGAGCAGCGCAGAAGGCCGCGTAGCGGCGGCGATGGGATTCGTACGTCCCTGCTGAACCCGCCGACACGGCGCTCCCCGCTAGCGCCACCAGCCTCGCCGCGAGTGCCTCCTGCCGACCGCCCGCAGCCCCTGCCGGAAAACCCGCCGCCGCCAGGATGCAGTGGATGCAGCGGAACCAGCCGCCGGGGTACGAGCCCGGCGGCAGTCCCAGGCAGCGGCGATGTGCCCGTATGTCGCATGTCTCACAGCGCAAGTCCCCCACGGAGGTGCGCCGCACGCAGGCCTCGCAGCTCCCGCCACCCTCTACAATCGCCATGGGGGCGCAAACGCGGATCGGAATTCGGTCAGGGCAGGCGTAAGACCAGCATATCGTAAGGAGAAGGACCCGCCTCGTCGCCCCAGGGCCAAACGCAGAGGCGGCCGCCCCTGGGCAGCACCTGGGCGACCCGGAATGGTGCGGATCGGCTACGGACGAAGGCCCGGAACCACCCCCGCTCCGGCCAGAAAGGCACCACCACAACCGCCCGCGTCCGCGAGTCACGCCGTGCCGCTGCCACGAGGGTCGCTAGCACCTCCCCCACCAGGGCCTGGGGTGGGAAGGCCCACAGCGCCTTGCCCGCCAGCTCGGCCTCCTGGCCAAGCACCGACCGCCCCGCGCTGTAGAACACCTCACAGCCGGGCTGCCGGTTGGAGCCATGGGCGTCGCAGCAGCAGTCGGTGGGCCGGAGAGAGAACTTGCGGCATAGCTCCCTGAAGATGCTGGCCTTCAGCCGCAGGTTCTGATCCTGGGCGCTGTCAAGGCGGCGGCTGAGGCGGTCGGCCTGGCCGTTGTCCACGCCGGGAATGTGCTCAGCCCGGACCTCGAACCCTGAGCTAATCGCAAGCTCTGCAATTTGGCGGCTTAGGCTGCGGCCCTCTGGGATGCGGGTGGAGCCGTGGTTGATGGCTGCTACGGCTTGGGTGTTGTCACAACGCACCAGCACCCGGCGCCCGGCAAGGCTGGCGGCCCATGACTGCAGCGCTCTGAGGACCGCCTTGAGCTCCAGCCACGAGATGTGCAGCTGACGCTCCTCCTCTGACCATGCCCCTTGCACCTCCGCCTCCCCCCAGACTGCGCCAAACCCACGCCCACTAGCGTCCGTGAAGAGGACGGCCCCATCCTGGCCGATAAACTCCCCCCTCACTAGGTCCAAACCGATGCCCGCTGAGCGCTTTACCCCGTCCCAGACAGAGGAATCCGCCCGTAGCACCTGCCACCAGAAAGCCAGGTCTTCTACTGCGTCCGCCGCCAGGCCGACAGTGGCCGGCGGGCGGGTGGGGCAGAAGAGGCTGTCGTAGAGGCCCTGCATGAACGTGAAACCCCAGCGGCATGCCCGGGCTATGAACGTTAAGCGGCCGACGGTGGACTCCAGGAGGTGCCGCTGCACTGGTCCGGTAGCTGCCGCGTCCAGGAGGGCGCGCACGTCCGCCGCGTAGCGCTGCCGCTTGTCCGGCGAGATGCGCATCTCCATCTTCTCGGTGTCGAACAGCATACCCAGGAAGTCGAGCTGCCGCAGGTGCTCGTTTCGTCCGCGGTCCTTGCTGGTCTTCCACTCCAGCCCCAGCTCGCCACCTATTTCGTCCATGACCGCGAAGGCGCCAACGACGTCTGCATGGGTCACCCCTAGGATGATGTAGTCGTCGACGAAGCAGAAGAGCTTGACCCGTAGCCCCCGCCGGTCGCACTCCGCTTGGAAGATGGCACACGCGGCGTTGGTTAACTCCACAAAGATTGGGGGCGATTGGCTGGCGCCGAAGGGCAGCACCACCCAACGCAGGACTGCCTCCGTGGTGGGATGCCTAAAGGCCATGTACCGGCGTGCTTCCGGGCTGCACTTGATGTGGTGGAAACCAGATGCGAGGTCCCGTTTGCCTAGCGCCCCTTGGAACGGCAAATGCTCCAGAATTGAGGCGAGGTCGGGCAGCGGGCAGGGGAGCTTGGTCATGCAGTCGTTCACCCCCGAAGCGGTAGGGTCGATGATCGGGCGCAGGTTGCCATCCGCCTTGCTGACAACATGCAGTGGGTTGATAGTGGCTGCAAAGTTGCGCAGGGGGCCATGCTGCTTGCTGTCGTACGCCTCCACCAGGCCCTGGCGCAGTAACTCGTCAATGTGGCTGGCGTACCATTCGCTGTGTTCGCGCACGGATGGGTAGTTGCGCAAGTGGTGCGAGGTTGGCGGCGTGGTGTGGAAGGTCCAGCTGGCTTCGTTACGGGACGCAGGCGACGGGACTCCGAACAGCGTCTAAGAGACCCAACTCTGTAACTAACCAAGTTTGCTACCTAGCCGATACCTCACCCTACCCTCTCCTTGGAACAACAGGAGAGGGGGAAAACCAACAGCCGGGCGCGGATGGGCTCTAGCCCCCAAAACCCGCCCCGGCGTATTAGGCTCTAGGCGCGCTTCCGCATGCATGCACGCCTAGAGAGGACCCCCCTTACCCTGTCACCCACCGCACGCCTCGTCACCTCACATGCACCCCACAATGCGGGCCTTAGCCGCCGCGGAGGGGAGGATATACGCGCTCACCGCCTCCGACCGCCACCTCCCGTGCGCCTTGATCTGCTCTCCAGAGGCCCCCCCTTCCGCTGCAGCCGTGGCTCCCCCCCTTCTCAGGCTGTGGGACGCGTAATCTGGTACCCGCCCGGCTATTTGTGGCAGGGCGCGCTGCATCTCTCCTAAGAGCGCCCTAAGCCTACGCGTAAACCCCTCCTTCCGCCAAGCCTCCGACCCCGGTCCCCACTGGGGGCCCCGCGTGAAGAGCGGCGCGCTGGGCTCCGCCCCCCCTGAGCGGGCCCGCTCTAGGTGGCGCCCTATAATGCGCCCGATGCGTACTCCGCTGCCAGACGATGCCCCCAGGTGCACATCCACCCCTGCCCCAACCTGATCGGTCTTGCTCCTCGTTATCCGCACCACGTGAACCCCACCAGTCAGCGAATGCACGTCACCTAGCCGCAGCCCCGCCAGCTCGCTTCTCCGCAGCATCCCAAAGAAACCCACCACCAGCCAACACGCATCCTGCTCGAGCTCCGCTCGGCGCGCTGGCGCCCCGTCCGCCGTCGCTGCCAGCCAGCCCAATAGGAGCCGCAGAAGCGGCACCGGGAACGCCTCCTTCGTACGTTGCGGCAGCGGCTCGGCCCCTGCATCGCCGCCAGCTGTGGCGGCTGCCGCCGGCGCCCGGGCACGCCACGCCTGCCTCAGCGTGCGTTGCACCAATGGGTTCCGGCGGATGGAGGCCTCCGCCGGAAAACCCTTCGCGCGCTGCCAGTCCGCAAGGGCGCTAATGGTGCCTGACAACGTTGAGGGGGCCACACGGTCGGCCTCATGGGCGATGAACAGGCTCACCAGCTCGGGGCTGAGGTCCGCGCCCCGCGCAGGTGGGAAAGCCGCCCTCATGGGTAAGCCCAGAGCAGCGCAGAAGGCCGCGTAGCGGCGGCGATGGGATTCGTACGTCCCTGCTGAACCCGCCGACACGGCGCTTCCCGCTAGCGCCACCAGCCTCGCCGCGAGTGCCTCCTGCCGACCGCCCGCAGCCCCTGCCGGAAAACCCGCCGCCGCCAGGATGCAGTGGATGCAGCGGAACCAGCCGCCGGGGTACGAGCCCGGCGGCAGTCCCAGGCAGCGGCGATGTGCCCGTATGTCGCATGTCTCACAGCGCAAGTCCCCCACGGAGGTGCGCCGCACGCAGGCCTCGCAGCTCCCGCCACCCTCTACAATCGCCATGGGGGCGCAAACGCGGATCGGAATTCGGTCAGGGCAGGCGTAAGACCAGCATATCGTAAGGAGAAGGACCCGCCTCGTCGCCCCAGGGCCAAACGCAGAGGCGGCCGCCCCTGGGCAGCACCTGGGCGACCCGGAATGGTGCGGATCGGCTACGGACGAAGGCCCGGAACCACCCCCGCTCCGGCCAGAAAGGCACCACCACAACCGCCCGCGTCCGCGAGTCACGCCGTGCCGCTGCCACGAGGGTCGCTAGCACCTCCCCCACCAGGGCCTGGGGTGGGAAGGCCCACAGCGCCTTGCCCGCCAGCTCGGCCTCCTGGCCAAGCACCGACCGCCCCGCGCTGTAGAACACCTCACAGCCGGGCTGCCGGTTGGAGCCATGGGCGTCGCAGCAGCAGTCGACGGTGGGCCGGAGAGAGAACTTGCGGCATAGCTCCCTGAAGATGCTGGCCTTCAGCCGCAGGTTCTGATCCTGGGCGCTGTCAAGGCGGCGGCTGAGGCGGTCGGCCTGGCCGTTGTCCACGCCGGGAATGTGCTCAGCCCGGACCTCGAACCCTGAGCTAATCGCAAGCTCTGCAATTTGGCGGCTAAGGCTGCGGCCCTCTGGGATGCGGGTGGAGCCGTGGTTGATGGCTGCTACGGCTTGGGTGTTGTCACAACGCACCAGCACCCGGCGCCCGGCAAGGCTGGCGGCCCATGACTGCAGCGCTCTGAGGACCGCCTTGAGCTCCAGCCACGAGATGTGCAGCTGACGCTCCTCCTCTGACCATGCCCCTTGCACCTCCGCCTCCCCCCAGACTGCGCCAAACCCACGCCCACTAGCGTCCGTGAAGAGGACGGCCCCATCCTGGCCGATAAACTCCCCCCTCACTAGGTCCAAACCGATGCCCGCTGAGCGCTTTACCCCGTCCCAGACAGAGGAATCCGCCCGTAGCACCTGCCACCAGAAAGCCAGGTCTTCTACTGCGTCCGCCGCCAGGCCGACAGTGGCCGGCGGGCGGGTGGGGCAGAAGAGGCTGTCGTAGAGGCCCTGCATGAACGTGAAACCCCAGCGGCATGCCCGGGCTATGAACGTTAAGCGGCCGACGGTGGACTCCAGGAGGTGCCGCTGCACTGGTCCGGTAGCTGCCGCGTCCAGGAGGGCGCGCACGTCCGCCGCGTAGCGCTGCCGCTTGTCCGGCGAGATGCGCATCTCCATCTTCTCGGTGTCGAACAGCATACCCAGGAAGTCGAGCTGCCGCAGGTGCTCGTTTCGTCCGCGGTCCTTGCTGGTCTTCCACTCCAGCCCCAGCTCGCCACCTATTTCGTCCATGACCGCGAAGGCGCCAACGACGTCTGCATGGGTCACCCCTAGGATGATGTAGTCGTCGACGAAGCAGAAGAGCTTGACCCGTAGCCCCCGCCGGTCGCACTCCGCTTGGAAGATGGCACACGCGGCGTTGGTTAACTCCACAAAGATTGGGGGCGATTGGCTGGCGCCGAAGGGCAGCACCACCCAACGCAGGACTGCCTCCGTGGTGGGATGCCTAAAGGCCATGTACCGGCGTGCTTCCGGGCTGCACTTGATGTGGTGGAAACCAGATGCGAGGTCCCGTTTGCCTAGCGCCCCTTGGAACGGCAAATGCTCCAGAATTGAGGCGAGGTCGGGCAGCGGGCAGGGGAGCTTGGTCATGCAGTCGTTCACCCCCGAAGCGGTAGGGTCGATGATCGGGCGCAGGTTGCCATCCGCCTTGCTGACAACATGCAGTGGGTTGATAGTGGCTGCAAAGTTGCGCAGGGGGCCATGCTGCTTGCTGTCGTACGCCTCCACCAGGCCCTGGCGCAGTAACTCGTCAATGTGGCTGGCGTACCATTCGCTGTGTTCGCGCACGGATGGGTAGTTGCGCAAGTGGTGCGAGGTTGGCGGCGTGGTGTGGAAGGTCCAGCTGGCTTCGTTACGGGACGCAGGCGTGTCGATGCCGTGACGCTGCCACGCGGCCGTATTAAGCTTCACGCCCCCTGGGCCGAACCAGCGGCCGGCCGACGGCGTTTCCGCCGCCGAGTCAGGCATCCACAAAACTGCATGAGGCACAGGTCAAGGTTACGCTTTGGGTGTTCACCCTCGCAGGGCCCCCGTTCGCCGTAGGTCGCGTACACCACCGATTGAACCACATGCGAACACCGTCAGGCCCTTCTTCCTTCAGGCAGAGCCACACGACCCCGGTGCATGCCACGGCATATTGCTTGTCACCCGCGCAAGGCCCCAGTCCGCCGTAGGTCGCGTACACCACAGACTAGACAGCAGGTGGACGCAGGCAGGCCCTTCTCCCCTCGGGTAGGGTCACGCCACATGGACACACGCAACAGCACATTGCTTGTCACCCGCGCAGGGCCCCAGTCCGCCGTAGGTCGCGTACACCACAGACTAGACAGCAGGTGGACGCAGGCAGGCCCTTCTCCCCTCGGGCAGGGTAACGCCACAAGGACACACGCAACGGCACGTTGCTTGTCACCCGCGCAGGGCCCCAGTCCGCCGTAGGTCGCGTACACCACAGACTAGACGGCAGGTAGACGCAGGCAGGCCCTTCTCCCCTCGGGCAGGGTCGCGCCACATGGACACACGCAACAGCACATTGCTTGTCACCCGCGCAGGGCCCCAGTCCGCCGTAGGTCGCGTACACCACAGACTAGACAGCAGGTAGACGCAGGCAGGCCCTTCTCCCCTCGGGCAGGGTCGCGCCACATGGACACACGCAACAGCACATTGCTTGTCACCCGCGCAGGGCCCCAGTCCGCCGTAGGTCGCGTACACGCTTACCTTCTGGTGTCTCCATCCCTGCCGTATTTGCGTCAGCTGCCCCACCGCCGGCCGTACTGCCGGCGGCTGGATGGAGGGGGGGCGCCGTTGGCGCCGGGGCGACCTCGCCCCCAGCTGACGCTGCCGCGTCCTAAGCCGGCCGGCGGGCTGCCTGCTCCTGCTTGGCGCATTCTGCGAATGCTGCCGTTTGGGCCCCAGGTTCCAGCGACCGCAACTCTCGGCAGCCGCGGTAGCTGTGTCCGGGCCTCTTGCAGTAGAAGCAGCCGTTGTCGCGTGGGGCACGGGGCTGTGCCGGGGCCGGCGGGAGTGGAAGAGGCGGGGGCGGCGGGTAAGCCGCCGCGGGAGCGGCGGCTGAGGCGAACTTCCCGAAGAGGTGCTGGCGCTGGCTGTCCGTAAATTGCGACAGGGCGGCTAGGAACTGCTGTGTGAGGGGAGAGCCCTTGCTGAATACGTCCATGACGTCCTTGAAGGGCAGGACACGGGCTGCATTCTGCACCTGCCGGAGGACCTCTTGTGTACGAAAAGCCTCCTCCCACACCTGCGCGGCCTTGGCCAAGAGCAGCGAGAGCTCCTCCGAAGAGGATGCGCAGTGTTTGGCCGCTTCCAGCTGGGACGCGAGATGCTGCAGGGAGCGGAGATGACTGTCTGCCTTGTGCGTGAAGGTCGCCTGGTCCCGGGATGCGAAGCTGACGTCCGCCAGCGAGACCAGGCTGCTGAGGCCTGAGATGCGGTCGAACACGTCTGCCCAGGCCCCTTCACGCTGAACGGTTGCCGCCAGGGGGCCCAGAGCGGACGGCGGTGCTGAGCCGAGGGGTAGGTGGCCGAGGCCCAGCACTGAAGAGTTGCTGTTTAAGTCCCCGCCACTGCCCCCCAGCGTGAGGCCCAGTCCCCCTAGGCCTCCCAGGCCTGCTGACGCTGCCCCAAATGCTTGCAGTCCGCTGCTGCCGGGAAGGCCCTGTAGGTTCAGGCCGGCACTCCAGCGTGCGTTCCCTATGGCAGGGTGCCGTTGGTCGTTCTGCAGGGTGGCGACTGCCGGCCGCCGGTCTTGCGGCAATTGCTGCTGCTGCCGTTGCTGGCGCTGAGGCTGGTGCTGTTCGCTGTCTTCTTCGTCCTGCAGAGCCGCCAGCTGCCGCTCTAGCACCGTCCTCCAGACTTCCGCTGCCTCGTCAGCGGATACAGGCTCCCTGATTTCCCGTCTTGCCAGCTCCAGGCTCGCGAGGCGCCGTACTTTGCGAGCTGCATCGCTCAAGCCCGCGTTCTCAAGGCGATCGAGAGCCCGTACAACCGCTGTCGGTGGGACGGATACGGCGCTGGGTGCCACACCCACGTCCCTCGCCGGCGCTGCCCTTGCGATTGCCGGCGACCCCGTACCGGGCATGGCGGGAGGGCCGGTGTGCTGCAGTGGCGTTGCTTGGGTGGCAAGGAAATCTTCAGCAAGAGCATCTAGGTGACCAGTTACGCCCAAGGTCTCGGGGTCAGGCGCGTTAGGTGAAGCAGTGGTGGCGTGCCGGTGGCTTATCTGACGGCCGGGGGTCGCCTGGAAAGCCTCCCGGACTGCACGAGTGCCCCCCCGTCCCCTGTCTGCCCGAACGCGAGCCGCTGTTGCCCGCCGGCCCCTGGACCGTCCTGGCCGTTGCTCCGCCCCGTTCTCACCATTGTCAATTTCCTCCGGTGCCTCTGCTTCGGCGTTGTGGATGTGAGCCGGCGCTGCTCCGGCCGCTGCGTTGCTGGGCCCTGGGAGCGCGGCCAATTCTTCTTGCAGAGCTGTCCCCTGATTGCGAAGCTGTTCCCAAGACTGGTAACGTGATAGCAACTCATAACCGCGCCTGTGCGTCTCGCGAGCCTGCCTCCGTTTAGCGTTTCTGTTTGAATTGGCCCGCTGATGGGCTTCCTGCCAGGTGCTAACTGCTACCGCGCTGCCACGGCTAGGCCTGGTAAGTCCCACTGGAGCCATGGCTGCCTGATACGCTTGTTCGGCTTGCTCTACCGCCCAATTGTACTCGCGGACCTGAGCTCGGTCTGCTTCGGTCAAACCTAGCTCTGCTAGCTCTTGGTTAATATCTGCTAATTTAGCCTCCAAAAAGGCTCGCCTACCTACAGCTGCAGCCATACTTAAGAACTGTCTGCAACTACGCAAAAGTCAGCGCCTTCCTAACTGCGCACGGAAACTCAGCGGCAAAGACCTGAAAGGCCAGCTGAGGGCAAACTGTTTAACCAAGGTCAAAACGTCTAGCACCGTCCACTCGCAAGCCTGGTGGCGACTGCTCTGCTCCCTGTCGTACATGCGCTCCAAAACCCCATTTTTAGTTGACACTCAAAATGATACATTAAACTTGGAGCTCGCGGATAGCAGACGAGCCGGCCAGGAAGCCTATGTTCCGCTGCAGAAGCCTGACAATAGTGAAGCAAATAAAGGGAATAAGAAACGACTTTAGCATGTCGTCCTCCCAATTTCGAACTTCTTCGCCTGCGTATCACCGGGAGGACCTGATGTACACCCAGCTTATTAATAATAGGCAGGATAAGGCAGTTTGGTAAACTCACTTCGGGCTCATTGTACAGCATCAGGCTTGTACGGCATTGCTTGTATTGGATTGCGAGTGGCAACATAGCGGTAGCAGTAAGGCACAGCAGCAGCGAGCAATCAAAAGGAAAGGGCGAAACGCTGACCCCATTAGGAGCAAAGCATACATTATGCTTTCTTTCCCGAACCATGATAATGCGCTATATACCAGCTGTTTGAAAGTTGTCACGAAATTATGTAAATTAAGCGTAGAGCCAGGTAAGGCCGGAAGTTAGCGCCCAAGCAGTTTGACGAATAAAAATTCGTCACGGGGACAAACGGTAACGGCACAAAAACGTGAAAGCGTGGCTCGGCAGATACATGACCGGCGGGACCCGACGACACAGCCCTCTGGAGGTTCTGGAGTGACCCATGGGTCAGTCTGCAGCCACGGGAAAGTAAGGGGCGAATCGACGATACAGGTTTACTTCATTAATGCAGCCCAGTGTGTGTAATTGCCAGCTTGGTCGGCGTTCCACGACGTAACAGATTACCCGCCTGGCGTTTCTCGCCTGACATACAGTCCCGTATGCATGTGTTGGCCTTGCACTAGCCTAAAGCTTACACTAGAAAGACCGGAAACAGAGCAACGGAAGTGCAGAAACTTAAAGAACGGTTCAAATCGCATGAGAAAGGAGGTGTAGGTATGGATGGGGCCAGGAAAAGAACGAAACCCGGAATTCCGGGTCAGCACGCACTGTGGGCCACGCCATGGGCAAATGTTGTTACCGCGCAGTCCTTTGGGGAAGTAATATAAATCAACGCGCAGGCCCCGAACCAATTATTTATTTTTGCGCTTTAATGCACACGTTTTCCAAATAATTATTTATTTCTGCGCGATGATCACTGGGAGGTACGGTATGTTGGTTACACGTTTTGCGGTTGCGGTTGCAGTTGCGACGTAAGTGTAATACAGACAGTGGTCGGCTTGGGCGTAATGCTGCCCATCATCATATCATTAGCCCGTCGTCTGCATATACTATAACAGGAGTACTAAATCTGCTATCCGTTTGGCGAATCGATACCTAGGAAAAATGTTTTGGAGGTCAAAGAGAAAAGTCATTGGGGCTCCGGACCCACCTACCCACCCTTGCCGTACGACCAACTTTGGGAGCCTATAGCTTTTTCCTTACAACTCTGATTACAACATTGAAAGCGGAATTGGAATGCTCTCGTTGCGTTCTTTAAAATTAAAGCATAGGATCATTTTGCGGCGAAACTACCCCCCCTTGGCACTGTGATTGATTTCTAATTAACCACGCACCCTCAGTTCCACAGGCTCCATGATGATCGAGGCTTCTCCGTTGGCCAGGATGTACGTACGCCTGACATCCGGAAGTGCCGTGTTCACAGGCACATTCACCACGGTGTAAGATGTAGCAGGTGGTGGTGCCGGGGAGGGTGGCTCCGGGGAGGGCGGTACTGGAAACGATGGCGCGGGTGACGGTGGTAAGGGTGAGGGAGGCGCGGGTGACGGTGGTAAGGGTGACGGAGGCAAAGGAGACGGAGGCACAGGTGATGGAGGTGCGGGCGACGGAGGCACAGGTGAAGGAGGCGCGGGGGACGGAGGCACAGGTGCCGGAGGCGCAGGAGACGGAGGCACAGGTGCCGGAGGCGCGGGGGACGGAGGCACAGGTGCCGGAGGCGCAGGAGACGGAGGCACAGGTGAAGGAGGCGCAGGAGACGGAGGCACAGGTGATGGAGGTGCGGGCGACGGAGGCACAGGTGAAGGAGGCGCGGGGGACGGAGGCACAGGTGCCGGAGGCGCAGGAGACGGAGGCACAGGTGAAGGAGGCGCGGGGGACGGAGGCCAAGGTAAAGGAAGCGCGGGGGACGGAGGCACAGGTGCCGGAGGCGCGGGGGACGGAGGCACAGGTGCCGGAGGCGCGGGGGACGGAGGCACAGGTGCCGGAGGCGCAGGAGACGGAGGCACAGGTGAAGGAGGCGCAGGAGACGGAGGCACAAGTGAAGGAGGCGCGGGGGACGGAGGCCAAGGTAAAGGAAGCGCGGGGGACGGAGGCACAGGTGAAGGAGGTGCGGGCGATGGAGGCACAGGTGAAGGAGGCGCGGGGGACGGAGGCACAGGTGAAGGAGGCGCAGGGGACGGAGGCACAGGTGAAGGAGGCACGGGCGACGGAGGCACAGGTGAAGGAGGCGCGGGTGAAGGTGGCTTCAGCGAAGCAGGAGGGTGAAGGTGGCGGATTCTTCGAAGGAGAGGCAGGCGAAGGAGGCTTAAGCGAAGGAGGTGAGGGTGAAGGTGGTGAATGCTTCAAAGGAGGGGCAGGTATGTGGGGCAAATGCCTCGTATCGGTGTGGACGATTGAATTTCCTAGTGAATGATCGAATGCATGTGCCGGAACCGTTAATTGCCTCGGGTTCCCAATCGGGACCTTTATTATTCCCTCTTTACATCCACTGTATGTCAAAATTACGTACGTTACTGGCGTGCGCTGTTAAATACATACCAGCGAGGGGTGGTCGCATTGTGGTGCTTGCTGAGTGGGTCTCCTGAACCTTGCGAAGCTTTCGTCGCTCAATCACCAATAAAATAATGTGCCTTTCTTCAGTAATTGAAATGCAGATCTTCGGGGCGACCTGCTGACGATTAACGTACTCGCCGTGCGTATTCATACGTTTGTAATGCGGCATTTGCAAGGCCATATCGTGACAAGTGATCTCAGGCTCCGGCCCATTTAAAGGCAAAACCTTTGAGCTGAAGGTTTGTCTGGCTGAACCATGCTACGCAGTTGGTCAAGCTCGCTCGTATAACTCACAATTCTCGGCCTTGAAGGAGAGGATTTCAAGTACAGTACAATCACTTCGTTGCACTTACGCCAATTTTGACTCCAGCTTAGGAGCATGCCCTTACTAGCTAACCGGTAACTACTTCTTGAGCAAGTGAGCAGGCATGCTGAGGATGGTTTCCACTGGCTAGCCGGACGGGCTTGTCCACGATCATTATTGAATGAGGATAGCTATTAATAATTTTCATAGCAGTCAGGTAACAGGTGTAGTAATAGCATTTGCTTGTGTTGTTTGTAGTACTGTTACTATTGTCGTCTGGGCGTCCCGGGCATCTTCATAGTAGACTATTACTCCGGGACAGTGTGAATCCATGCTGAGGGGGAGGAACGGGAAGGACCGATAATCGGAGTTACAGTCGGGAAGCCCCGTGCGTGCAGGCCATCCGCAGGCTTGCAGGAACCTGGAGATAGATACGTATACGCTTGCAGAAAATAAAGTACGTCAAGTTCATCAACGGCCAGCGCAAAGTGAGAGCAAGTCACTTTTGAGCCGCACAATGACCCGGACCACCATCCCGCCGCATTTCTCCTTCTAGGAAACATCCATTGTGCAAGGGGCGTGTGCAGCTCCTGACACTAGACACCTGCAACTAGACAAGTCCACATGGACAAGCAAATAATTTGCTCTGTCCTTAACTTGGCAGTGGCTTCTCCAGCATATGATGGAAGGATGCAATAACTTCCAGACAGCTTTTGCCGTGCATAGCCCAGGACATACATACATGTGCCCACGAGCTACTTTAGGCATCATGCTTAAAATTTGGGCCCCTGTAAGAAATAATTCGCGAACATCCTAGCTACATGTCTGACTCCAGCAGAGACAAACGGGCGACTGTACAGCGTGCGGTAGGAAGTACGGTAAATTCTCATCAGGTTTGCCCTGCAGGAGGCAGGCAGGCAGGCCATTATTGCAGTTCTATTATTAAGGAAAGGTACATTGCGTTAGTTCTTGCGTTTACAGTAATGTTGGTTCTGCAAATGGTAAATGCGTTGAAGGAATGGTGAATGGTGAACGCGTTCGCTCGGTGCAAGAGACCTACCCCTTATTGCTCACAAGTGGTCGCCAAGCACGACAATGCGATCACGCCTATACAATCAACGACGCACAACAGTACCGTAACGCGGACGTAAAGTGGACGTAAACCGTATACGTAAGAACTATGTTGGGAACCCGAGGCAACCAACTGTTCCGGCATGTGCATCGAATGCCGGTAGGCCACTCAATCAGTCACTGAGAAGTTCAAACGTCCATACCGATACGAAGCATCTGGCCCGGTTATATACTCAGCAATGGACCGTAAAGCTAGGACTCCAACAACAGCTACAAGCATACACCTCGTCGCTACTTTATACAAGAAGCATTGTTGGAAAGGGCGGGGTGCGACCCCTAGGTCAGTCGTGCCATGGCGACCCACCGCCTGGCCTGTCGCCCCAGGCGCCCCCAACCTCCGCCAATTGCCTCAGCGGGCGCTGCCGCCGGCGGCATCATCATCATCGCGCTCCTCCTCCTCCTCGCAGCCATGACACACCATGCGTCGGCACAGGTGACCGCAACCACAACAGCAACCGCAACCGCAGCCGCTGCCGCTGCCAAAGCGAAGCCAAAACCTCCACCATCGCCTCCAAAGAAAGTGCCCCCTCCGCCTAGCCCTCCTTCAAGTAGTAAACCACCACCTTCGCCCTCGCCCCCTTCGCTTAAGCC